AACCTGGGCATTTTATCATGAACTTGTTTTTATGACCGGGTCTTGGCGGGCTCCCTCGTAATTAGTTGTGGTGCTCCTGCGGCAGCGCCACCTACCGGCCGTGGCGGGAGTAACGAACGACATTGCCCGACATATGCAGTCCCCAAAGCTAATGAAGCAACAGCCCAAGACCCCCTCTCAAAAGTCCCTTCATATCCCCGCCCCCTTGGACTTACAGGCTTCACGGACGCGTGCAAATTCCATTGAAAAAGGAGTTAAACTCCGCTTTTTATTCCTCGACTGCTTGGCTCTATCTGCATTGGCCCAGCAATTTACGTGGTTTGTACTTTGTTTCTTGGCTTCTTTTGTATTATTTTGCAGTTCCGCTGAGTTTCCTATAGTCGAGGCTCCACACACACACCACACACACCACACACCACACACACACACACACACATTGTGGTAAACTGAAGTTAGCGCGGCAGCCACTAATTTTGTATGCGGAAATTGGAGTTTGGCATGTGCCCATGAGGACTTCGAGTTGGGTTACTTTGATACTTTCAGGGAGGTGGCTAAGTAAATTATATTTAAAGACCGAATTTTTGATAGTTTACAAAACAAAAAAATGTATTTAATATCTTAAGCATTTCATATATTTTTTAATAAATGAATTTACTGAAAAATAAAACTTGTATGTTTGATCACGATCAATAGCCGAATCTATATACATGTCAAAATTACCAAGGTCCATCGAGGTATGAAGAAAGGATTGCTTCTTTATAATAGTAAAGCATAAGAAATAGGCTTAGTTCCATTCAACAGTTTATTATTATAAAGTCTAAAATGAAACCCTTGATGTTCTTCGAATAATGGATTCTTAAATTAAAGAGCGTAGAAAATATACACAAAATGTGAAGCAGTCAGCTCAGAAAACCGCGGAACGGCAACGCCGTAGTCCTGTCTTTTGCTCCTCCACCGTGTCCACTCCGAATCCTGGCCATAGTGTATCCGGCGGCTTGTTCCATCGCACAAAGTAGGTTTTGTGGACGGCAGCCAGCGGCAGCTTGGATTTTCCTCGGGGATGATCCAGACGCCGGCGAAAGGGCCAGAGAAACCAGTGGAGTGGTCCCCTACTAATGGGATTCACCGCCAACTTTCCAGGAACCACCGATTGGATCGCCTCCAATTGCAGGGTGGGATGCGGTTGCTCCACTATTGCTGGAACTGGCTGCACAGCCTGACTTGGCATACCAGTTAGTCTGGTACTGGACTCGAAGACCTCAATCTCCTCCTGGTCACGCGATGACCAAGGCTGCAGGCAGCTGGATTTTGCCGGAGAGGATTCCTCTTCGGGTTCCTCATGAATAGGGGAAACTCGGCTGGCACGATTGCATTTGAAGCACCGCGGAATCTTCGACTTTGAGGGTGGAGGAGAAGGATCAGGTGGCGGCATCTTTACCAGGATGAAGTGGTCATTCAGCAGGCAGACATCCGACACCTTTTCGTACTTGGGTTCCTCGCCGAAGAAGGCATCTAAATCAACGTTCTGCTGGTAGATGCGGTAATCCGGCCCAAAAGCATTCGACTGCTTCCGCTGCTCTTCCACCGGACTCGGCATGAGGCATTTTCCGATGGGCCGAACAGGTTGAGTTAGCCTCCAGACCAAGGGTGAACCACTGCCTTGGGGCCGGCTCATAAGGCTGCGGCGCGACGAGAGGATCCTAGCTAAGATTAGTCCATGCAGGCGATGGTTCATAAACATCCTGACAGAGTTTCAGATAGAAATTAGACCTGTCAATGGTTGAAGTGGAATAATCTAGTTGAATAAGACACGACAATAAAACAAAGGAGTGTGAGATGGCTAAAAACTGTAGCATACTTTCAGGCTTGAAATAATTTTAAACATACCCTTGCTTTTCGTTTTGTTTAGTTTGTTTATTTTAGCTTTAAGTGCCTAAAATTGCAAATTCAAAACTAATTATCTATATGTACTTTACAGTAACTGCATACAAATTAAAAAATAATAGTAATAATAATAAATAATAGTCTTGTTAAATTCTGTATATTATAATATTCAAACTCTTATAAAATATTTGAAATTGTAATTAGAATTTAAACACATATTTTATATTGATTTATCCATTCCCAAAAATATTGTATCGAAAAGCAAGTAGCAAAAATAAGCTTTTTGAGAAGTCCTTTAAAAAATAGTATAACTTTGCTTAACAATTTTAGATCTGTAGCATAGGCTTAAATAAGGCCAAGATTAGATAGAATGGGTTTTGGATACAAGCTACATGAAATTGTCTAACATTTTTCTTGTCGGACAGACACATTATCCTTCGCTTGACTTTTGACACTGCACTTGGCCGAGAATAGGAAAAAGGAAGGAAGAGGCAGACAGGCGTGGAGAGTCCTTCGCTGGCTTGTTTCTCGGCTCTGCTACCAATGCCAATAGCAACAACTGGCCGTATTTTATGCCCCACGAAAACAAAAGTTATATTTATTATTTTGACAGGTAAACAAATCACGAGCTCACAGGCACAAACTGAGGGGAAAACAAGACAATGCAGGCAAGGAGACACTCACATTTTACCGCTCCCCTTTCGCGGTCTTCTTCTTGCTTCCGGTTTCCGCTTTCCGCACTCGATTGGGCGTTGTTTGCCGCTTGGCTCAACAACGGCAACTAAAGCCGCCTTTCAGGCCGCCGTCGACTGCAGCACAGCCACATGCGTGGCAAATTAAATACCCTAAACAATTGGCAGGCTCTATCGAATCTCCAGGCAATTCGCTTTGCTGCAGTTAAAATATAATAATAATTTTTTCAAGAGGTGTCAGGATTGTGGTAGGTAATGCAAGTATATCGCAAAACTATATTTTATCACGTTTTGTGAAAACATTGTAAAGCATACTACACAGCTTGTGTTAAAGAATACGATTTGAACAAATCAAAATTTTAAATTTAAATTGTCTAAGTGTCTTAATATACAAGAGGTTGGCCAAAATTACCTATTTGTTTAATTTAATTATCAAAATAAATAAATATTTATTGTTTAGCTATTAGCTAGACTTAGTTAGTTAGTTATGAAAGCATATTGGAATACAAGTTGTAAAAAAATATATTTTCATGCTCTAGTAGAGTATTTTTGGTTCGATTTCCGTCAAATCATAAACTTTCACTTTTTGTGTTTTGCATGTTAATGGAAGGACGAACAGACGGATTGATGGTTGACAATAGGCAAAACATACCAAGTGCAACGTTTTTAAATATTCTAATAAATAACATGTTAATTTAATAGAACATGTTGTACATAACAATAACTTCTATCCAATGTCAAGGCTAAATGAGGTTTCAGTTTGTTTTAGGTTGTTTGGTCAAGTTTAGTATTTGGGTGGCTGTGCAATAAAAGTTTATTATTATTGACAGTATGGCATTTTTAGTATTTTATTTTTGCATTATATTATTCCTAATTTGCATATTTTCACGTAATTTCTCTTATGTATAGCTCAAGTTACGATTGTACTCATGGCACATTAGTGGCTATTTTCACAATGATGGCATCAGATATACTTATATACCTGGTCAATTCCATAATTTTTCCACCCTTCTAGGCTTGCCCGATTTCAAATTTATTCCTAAACTTATTCAGGTGCCTGACATGTCATATTGATTGTTAATGCACGCCACATCGATAAGTCAAATGAAAGCAGAAAAGCCGAAAATGTGGTAGAATAGAAGGGCAGGAAGGGTGGAAAGGAACTATTAAGACTAAACATTAAGCAACTAGCTGGCTGGCGACAAATAACCCCACCCATTAATCACTGAGCGTGGGCGGGGGAAGTACATAATAATCAGAAATTTGTTGTTTACTTTGATTTGTGGTCAGTCCGAGGAATATTCGAGTGACAGGCCGGGCGTTAAAGTTGCGTTTGTTTTCGGTTCTGACTGAGGAGCTTTCGTTTATTCTTAAACATTTTTACATTGTTGTTAAACCAACAAGTTGTAAAATACATTTATTTGCTCTGCTATAGCGTGTGTCTGTGGTTGAACTACCGATATGATTTTGTTGTATGGCTTAAGTTGTTGCACTCAGAATTGACACCAATTATGTGAACGGGTCGTCGATCGCATAAAATTGAACGGCAAATGCGAGGAGAGCCCTTCGATGACCTTCCCCCAAGCAGATAACAAAACAAGAAAAAGAGATCTAATTAATTGTCCAGACTAAAGGTTACCCATTACTTAAGAATTTATAAAAAATATATTGCATGCCTTAAGACGCAGTGCATCTTTTGTAACCTTTATGTACTGTTTATACTATTCTATAAAAAGAAAAATATGTTGGCATACGTTATGTATGAATGATTTTTATAAAAACTTTTTGGGCAAAATCTAAATCTTAATAATAATCTACCATATTAAACGAGCACGAATATACAATTTTTCCCAACAAGTAATGGGTATTAAAACAAAAGGGGAATGAAGGAAAATAAAATGCAAAGTAAAAGTGAAATTCGATACACAAACATACAAGCATACATACATATATGAACTCTGATTATTAGCTCAGCCAAGGACAAAATTGGATACGTGCATTATCCAGATGACGCTGCGTCGCTTTCTTTCTCTTGTTTATGATTACTGAACTTGAACTTGGAGTCGAACTTAAGCTTACTCATCTCAAAAACAGCAACAGCAAGGTATGAAAACGGTAAATCATGCTTAGCCAACTTGGTGTAAGCCAAGTTTTAACTTCCCAGTCTTTTGTTTTCGTCTGGACACCATTGAAGGTCAGCTGCGGTTTTTGTGTTTGTTTTTTCTCTAAAAAGACGAAACAAAGTGACAATCATTTGTCTGTTTTGCGGTGGCCTCCAAGGATCGCGATCCGGCTCTCTTCCGATCCGTCGCTCTCTTAAGCTCTCTCTTGGGGCTAAGCCCTCTCTTGTGGCTTCCATTCGGTCGACTTAAGTTTAGGCTTCGTTGCTTGGAAACGCCTGCAACTGGAATCATTTGGCGGCGAACAACGAGACTTATCGGTCGTTTCAGTCTCGACTTGGGTTCGGATATTCTTCACACCCAACGATCCATTGGGAATATTGTGTAATTAATGCTTGCATCGCGGATTACTATCAATTCAAATAAGTGTTAAGTGTGTATTTTGTGTGACTGAATTGAAATTGCTGCAAACAGATAAAACCACATTTAAAGTCCGACAATAGAAAAAACTATATTTTTTATAATCCAGGATATTACATGGCAAACAAATTAACTATTTCTCTTTTAAACAAATTGAAACACCTGACTGCTGAAAACAATGGAAATATATAGATATATACATATACATAATGAATTCATAATTCCTATCATAACAATTACTAAAATTAACTCATTAAACTAACCAAGTAAACTCAAGGGTAAAAACATAGTTTGACCACCCATGCTCTAACTATTTATTGATTAATCTTAATTATTATTATTAAGGGGTATCACAAAAAATTCCTTTAAAATCATATACATATACTAACTTTTAAGAAAATGTTATTCTAGATTATAACAGCTCTTTTCTCTTTCAGGAAAAGTAAAGTTAGTAAATACATTAATTATCGCGTTATCTAATAAACTATCCTAAGTTACATTTCATTACGTTCAACTAGTTTAGTAATGCTAGTAATAAATCTTAGTAAACATTAATTAGTTACCTTAGTGATTAGGCAACTTAAAAGGCGGGAAAAGTTTAATAGATACCCTCGTTGCATTTTATGGTTATAGCTTTCGGGTTGTTGCAACAAACATTTGGCTTCCCCATTGCAGCAGGCCATGTCTGCCACTTGCCAAGAAAATAAAAGAGCCAACCGCTTAGACTGGAAAAAATGAAGAGAACTTGCAACAAGAGCAAAAGAGAATTTTCCACATTTTGACAACACAAGGGCGTATGCATTAGTTTTTTTAGCTTAATTTAATTTTAGGTTTGCACCATTTAGTACAAATTTGTTTTATTTACTTGATAGAACTCTTTAATATTTTATAATATTTAAAAAAAACCCTGTGTATTAATTATTACATTTATTAATGAATCTAGTAATGGTGATAGTAACCATATCATCCATTTATATATAATAGAAAGGTTAATAATTAATCGTTTGTGAAAACTTCTTTATAGATAATTAATTTTGGGAATGGAAACAATTGATTCTTTTTGTACTGTTACATTGGTAACATTATTTTTTAAGGACTTTAAACTTACATTTTTGGGGACACTAACACTCATAATACCCCCTTTTAACGCCCATGCAAACCAATGTCTTTGTGTGCGTGTGTCTCTTATTTTCTGTGTGCCACATTGGAGTGCACGTAATTTTCCATTTAGTGGCAACGGAATCGAAAACGAAAGTGGAAATGTTGCACTGCCGTTGGCCGCTCCATCTCCTCGCTCACCCACGCCGCTCGCTCTTGGCCAGCCGGTTGTAAAATCGGGAAAAAATCAAAATAAAAATAATAATAAAAAAACCGACTCCTCGCCAAGCTCAAAAGCCAAAAGTTGTGAATAGGAAACCGGCAAATACGGAAGAGAGTCGAGTCAGTCAAACTACCCGTGACTCAAAATCATTATTTTTCATTACAGACACTAAATCGCAGTCGGTTCTGCTTGATTTCGCTGTCAAAGGGCGCCGGAGTTCAAAATCCAGGGAAAACACATAACCGACAACACTCTGACGCCATGATAGAGCGGGAAATTATCCAGTAAATATTAATTCTTATCGCTTTATATATAAGTCAGAGATGAAGTGCAGCTTCACCAGTTAATACAGTATAATAACTCTTTGTTTATTTCCTTGTTTGCGGTATACCTTTCTTAAGTTGAGTTTTATAAAACTTTAAAAACTTTCAGATGTTTAAAAACAATTTACATGACTGTGTTTAACAAATTATCTAAATTGTTTACAACCGTCAAAATAAATGATATAAAGTAAGTAGGTATAAAATGAATTGTATTAATTTGAGATCTAAATCATGTTTTAGATCATTTTGAATTTTTGTTTCCCAAATTAATCATAGTAATTGCCTTAAATAGAATAAATTTAATGGTAAACTTCAAGCGCAAGTTTCCAACAATGGGAGCTTTTACTGTACTTAGCTTAAACCCTTGAGCATCCGAAAAGAGGCCAAGACCCAGTGTCAATACTCGAGGCAGTCTCCATTACACAGCAGTCTCCATTATCTTATGTTGTACTATATTATGGAGACTTGGCAAAGTCCACCGAACCGATCGCCTTCTGTCTGACCGCTTGAACATTGCACATGCGCATACAAATAGATAAATTAAATCATTTCGGGGTTTGCCGGACCTCAACTTTTGTTCAAATATTTGCTAACTCGGAGTGGGCTGTAAACGCGACTAGTGGTTGGGAAATTCGCATCGATATGTGCACTATATTTGTTCTTTATTTCAGCACGACCCCAGCTTCAAAGCGCATGTTTGTTGTGCTCCAAGATGTCCTACAATTCTTGGTGCTCTTTGTGCGCATCCTTCTGGAGTTGTTTGTCACCACGGTGCAGGCTTTTCTGCCCAAACAGCAAAAGGATGTCAGCGGGGAAATAATCCTGGTAAAGGAAATGCGTTTGATATAGTTAGAACAGATCAGACTTATTTATTTATTAAGTTTACGAAGTTTAAACATTGGTTTTTAACGGCTCCTTAAAGATAACCGGAACTGGACACGGAATCGGTCGGGAATTGGCTCTTCACTACGCTTCTTTGGGCAGCACTGTGGTTTGTGTGGACATCGATGAGAAAAACAACCTGCAGACAGTCGAGAAGGCTAAGCGCCTCAATCTAGGCGAAGTGCACAGCTACAGGTATAAGTTCGACAATAAGTGTCCACAAAATATTCAAGTTTTATTTAACTTCCAGCTGCGATGTTTCCAAGCGCGATGAGGTTATGGCACTGGCGGATCGGGTTAAGGCCGAAATTGGACACGTTTCGGTGCTGGTGAATAATGTCGGAATAATGCCCACCCACCCGATCCTGCAGCAATCGGACGAGGAAATCAAGCGGGTGTTCGACGTTAATGTGTTCTCGCAGTTCTGGACCATCCAGGCCTTTCTGTCCCACATGCAGGAGAAGAATCGCGGCCACATTATCTGCCTATCATCGATTGCGGGGCTGGTGGGGATCTCCAACTTAGTTCCCTATTGCGCGACGAAATTTGCAGTTCGTGGCCTAATGGAGTCACTGCATGCAGAGTTGCGAGAGGGACCTTACAGGGATCTGGTGAGTTCATTAAATTACTACCTAGTTTTATTAAAATCACTGCTGCCCATTGCAGATAAGGACCACCACCATCTTCCCCTACATGACCAACACAGGCCTGTGCAAGCATCCGAAAGTGAAGTTCCCCTCGATCCTGGGCCTGCTCGATCCCAAGCATGTGGCCAGACGGATCGTAGAGGCCCACCGCTCCGACCTCATGGAGGTCACCATTCCGAGCTGCCTGCTGCACATCAACAACTGGACGCGACTCCTGCCGGATCATTGTGGCCTGATGCTAAAGGACTTTATTGACAGTGGCGTGGAGTCGGATTTAATTTAGGTTACCGTCGATAGCATAGATCATAGATCGAGGAGTTACAATATGTTGCAGTACAATAAACTTACTTTTGGAGTATGATTTTAAATGAAACAACTTCCACCGTTTTAAATTTAAAGGGGGTGGAAATAGCCACAAGCACGTTCGGAGGAGAATGTGCCGCATCGTTCTGGCGATATCTTTAAAGAAATTTTATATTTAAAGAATTTTAATTAATTTGAAACTTTATTAAAATCGACACTTCACTCGTTAACTGCAATACCAAAAAATGTAATGCATTATCAAAAAAAAAAATATTTAAATGTTGCGCCATTATTTCGTGGTGATTGGCGATACCTGTTGCATGAAGTCGATAATTTGAATGCCGATAACACCAGTGCTTAATGAATACCGTGAACTGAAATGTAGTTGTATAAAATGGAATATTTTAATGTATTTGTTTAAACATAACAAAGAAACGGTAATCAGAAGTCTCATGAACAGTTTAAAAATGTTTTTTGTTAGCTAAATATTAATTTAATTCAGGTGAACTGCTGAAAACAGCTTTTTTCCAGCTAGAAACGGGCAGCACTGTCGACAATACAGTAAATCAGCTGTGTAATGAAAACAAAAGACAATGGCTTGCGAAGTAAAACACTGCGGAGAAATCCGTGATTTTAGGAAAGTTCAGGAATACTTTGGACTCGGACACGGTGAGATGATTTGAACGTAATCGCAGGATAACCATAATCTACCTGTTTCGAGCAGATGACAACTGGTTGAATGCGGTGAACCATGCCATATCGCCTACAGGCGAACTGATTGCCCTCGCCCAGGGCGAAAAGTTGGCCTTTTTGTCCACCTGCTGGAGCAGCCATGGGAGTGCCAACACCTACGCCCTCGGCTGGTGCGGCGAACTGGAGGATCGCAACCAAATCGTGACCAGTCTTACCTGCCTGCCGATGACCCACAGTCGTGGCACCGATGGAGCCATCGAATGGACCTGCGTGGCAGTGGGTCTGGTCTCGGGCATGGTCATCTTCTACACGGACTCCGGCCTGAAGCTCTTCTCTCAATGGTTAGTACGGGGACAAACCCTTAGACACTAACTAATCGACTATGTTTTTTTCAGCTGCCAGGAAGATCCGGTCATCGGAATCAAGCTGGAGTCCCCGCCCCGACATTCCGAAGCGGATTCCCTGCTCTACATCGTTTATCCACGCTGCCTGTGCTTCATCAAGGGCCAGGACATCCTGCCCACGCTGACCAACTGCCGGCACAATGTGCAGCGAAGTGCCCTGGAGCGAAGTACGTATCCCACGGCGGATGTGGTGCCATTCCAGAAGTACAAGTTCAAGCATGAGCGTGAGGGCGTGATCAACGATGCCGCCATATCCAGCAGCCAACGACCGCCCACATACGACTACATTGTCCAGCAGAGCATCGGCCTGGGCTACTTCGCCAAGGTGCACGCCACGCCGCCGAGGAGCGCACAGGTTCTGACCGCCGGAGCGGAGCCATATTTGGGCTTCTTCCAGGCGGAGGAGGGATACAAAACTATATCGCTGGGCGAGGTGGCCAAGGATGTGATCGGAATAGCGTACAAAAACCTGCTGGGAGGGATTTTTCGACGCGCTCCAGAGCCACTGCCGTCGCCCGAGGAGTCCCCACTGCCGGTGCCCACAAAAGAGGCACCGATGAGGATTCGCTGTCGCCTGTACGACGGAAAGCGGGATGGCCTGACCTTGGCTGTGGCTCCCAGTGGACGCCTGGCTGTCGTCACTGATAATCTGGACCGAGTGATGCTGGTGGACACACAGCAGGCCATCATCCTGCGCGTGTGGAAGGGCTATCGGGATGCCCAGTGCGCCTTTGTTCCGGTTAAAGAGCGCTCTGTGCGCGGCATCAAGACGCACAAGAGAAAGGCTTTGTTCCTGGTCATCTACGCTCCCCGAATGGGCTGCCTGGATATCTGGGCACTGCAAAACGGACCCAAGGTGGCCGCCTTTAATGTTTCGAAAAGCGGGCAACTGGTGTACAACAATCACAGTGCTCTAGGCGCCGTAAGTAGTGGTTCAGCGGGTGCCGGCAAAAAGGCTTTTGCTATCAATCACTGCCTTTTCCTGGATCCCAGCGATGGCAGCCTAAAGGAGGTGCACATTCCCTTTCACTATGCCCTCAGTGAAACCAGTTCGCAGACATCTCGGGACATCCATATGCTGAGGCGTCTAAGAAACCAGTTGAGAGGCTTGAATCATGGAGATGCCAAGGATACTATGCTGGGCGAGATAGGGGAACTGGCAAGTGAACTACTGACACTAGAGGTGCGTCAACAGTGCCTGGAGATGGTGCTCAAGAGCAAGAAGCTGCAACCACGCGTGTTTCAGTGCATCATTAATGCCTTTATTGAGAAACCTCTACCCAACCCGGCAATTTGCGAGGAATTTGTCAATCAAATCGAGAACTATAAACGCTTGACCGATCTCTACTTGGCCCTGAGTCTGGCCAATCAGCGGGCCGACAACGAGCCACCCGTGGAGCACCTGGAGCTCTCCGATGCAGATCTTGTGACGATTAACAAGTTGGTTTTGCTCCTGGACGATGGCACTGAGAAGGAAAAATCGGCCACCACCCGCGAGGTGAGCTTCAAGCTGCAGGAGGAGCACAAGACCGAGGAGTTTGTGGATTACCTGAGCATCTTCAACATTGAGAGTCCGGATGGCATCAGTCTGCTGCCGGAGAAGTCCGACAAGTTTGGCGCCGTTAGCATCGATCTCTTCAGTCAGTTTTTTGCCCAAGGTCTGTGCTTTGGCCAATTCAAACAGTGGATCCATCAGGCCTGTCTGCCGAGCAGGGATCTGCTAAAGCTGGTCACTTGGTTTTGGCTGGAAAAGCCTTTTAAGTACAACAACTGGTAAGGATTACGTTGTGACACTCTATTTTATCGCTTGCCTTACCATTTTCTCTAATTAAAGTGATGAAGTGGTGGACGACATGTCTAGGATTGCTGCCATGGTGCAGACCGTTTGCGATCTGGCTGGTGAACATATCCACGACTATGCCTATAATGCCATCTCGCCGTGGTGGCAAGAGGTACGCGAACTGCTCCTGGAGAGCAAACAGTTTTCCGGTCTGCTAGTGGCCATTGTCTGCAAAACGGTGGCCAGCAATTTGTGGCGCAGCAGAAAGGAGGTGAGTCGACTGAATTTTAATCCGATTTAGTTGTCAGTTATGAACTTGTATCAGGGTTCCTGTGACGAAGCCTCGCAAAACGAGGAGGAGGAGCGCTGGGAACGCATCTCACACGACGAGGCCCAGTGGGGATTGCTCACCGGCAAGCTGGAAGATGTGGCTGTGCTGGGAGCCATACTGGGGTAAGTTCAGATATGTTCCCCTTTCGCTCAAGAGATTAGCCCAAATTGGTGCTTTTTTAACAAAAAAAAAAACAAAACAAAAATGTATATATAACATATTAAATACAGTTTAGTAATTTTGTATTGATTTTGTTTATTTGTAACCAATTGTAGTATTAAAACCAAAAATGTCAATTAATTAAGCACTATTAACACCAAAACTAGTCGTTAATCGAAGGGCTTATAATAATATCACAAAATTGATAACAATCAAAAGGTTTGATTAATTTTTAGATAATCCTAATTCAAAAAAAAGTATAATTGTAAAGTTACAAGTGGGCTATCCATAGTTTTAATTTCTTCACATCTCCCTTTCCAGGAAGCCACTCACCTGCAGGAATCCTGTCGGTCCGGAGATGTCCTACGAACCACCCGACTGCAGCCTGAAAAGCATTGTGAGCAGCGGAAAGGGCATCGTCACAGAACTAACGGCCAAGTGGCTGATCAGTGCGCAACTGCATCCCAGTAAAATATTGGAGATTTCGGCACCCGAATCCTTGGACGACGAAAGTAAAATGAAGCCGAAGGGAGGCCCAAAAGAGGAGCAGACCGACGAGGGGGCAGAACTAGAAGAGGACCAGGAAGAGGACCTGGAAATGGCCAAGGAAGTTCAGGAATCCAACAACGAACCGATTCTCGAGCGATTGGCTCTGCTACGCGCTCACTTTCCCTTCAGTTTGGAATCGGGCGTGCTGCTGAGTCTCATGTCCTGGCAGTACATGGTGCAGTGGAGCAAGCAGCTCTCATCGCTGGACCACCTGAGGGCAGCCTTGCTCTGTTTGACCCAATTCCGGACCACCGACTGGGCCCTGAAGCATGGCATCTGCTGCATGCTTTGGAATGCCACCTTGAAGTATCCACTGCAGGCGGCGGCCAAGCTGATACAGAAAGTGGGCCGCCTGCCGGTGGACAAGATGTGCCAGCAAGATCTGGATATGTCGGCGGGCAAGGTGCCGGAGTTTCTGGAACTCAGCCTGGAGTTCCTTCAGCACTTCACCACATCGATGGAGCACGACAAGCGGGAGCTGCACTTCGAACAGTCGCTCAGTGAGGGAGCCCTTCCCCTGCAATTCCTTGCCCTCCAGCAGCACCATGCCATGCCGCAGTTGCTCCGCCTGCAGACGGAACTGTGCAGTGTGCTCCACTTCGTATCCTTCTTTCAGTTGCGCGTTCCCAAGCCGCTGACCACGCTCTTTGACTCGATGAGCAACAAGGCTCTGCTGGCGGACATCAACAAGGAGCTACCCTACGTTCTGCCCGCTCCAGATCTCGTCCTGCAACAGCAGCGCACCGACTTCCTATGTCGACTTGTGGCCGCCACCATGGACCTGATCAGAGAGGATCTGCAGCAGTTGTACATCCTCGATCACGTCTTTTACATGGCCAAGATCTGCGCTCTGGCTGACAGCTGGGAGCTCGACAAACTTCCCATCCTAAGAAAACAGGTAAAAATATTGAGTTTTTAAAAAACCTTGTAAAAATAATAGTGTAGGGTTTACTGAAATATTTCAAGTTAAGTTTACAAAAATGTCATTTTAATATGATTATTATACATTGCTTTTGCCACCAAATAGGTAAAATAACTACGAATAGTAAAATGACTAAAACTTAGTAGTATTTCTAAGATAACTAATGCAATATAATACTGACATAATTTGGTCAAATGGTCTCGAAAAATATTATGACTCCTCTGTTTTTAAAATATTACACATTAAATTCCATAATTAACATTTTTAGATCCATAAAGATGGAGAGGTTCTTTACCTTTTAAGCATAATAAGTTTTGATAAAAAATGATTCACATCTAGTTACCCACATCTAGTAATCCATGACAATTATTTTGTGGCCATTTGGAGAAGCCATTTGGTTCGAAGGTTCAGTTTGTTAGTTAGTTCGTTAGAGAGCACAACACAGGAAACACATCGGAATAAAAAAAATATTAAATATATTTTTTTCCCTCCTCCAGGTGGTGGAGCTGTACGCTTTCGGCTATGATGCGGAGGCCCAGATGCTGCTCCACGACATCAGTGAGGACGAGGAGCTGGGCCGACTGCTGCTCGAGATAGCCGGCCGGCGGCTCAATCTCTACGCGGAGAGCTCGCAGTCGACGTTCCTCAAGATTGCCTCCGTAGGGCACCAGTTGCTGGCCTACCTAGACAACCTGGTAAGTGCTGCCGGCGTATACCATCCGCAGTACTGATACCTACGTCCACTTCTCGCCCCGCCCCGCCCTCGCAGAAGGAGCCGATGACGGAGCAGAGCATCCAGATTGCGGCCACCAAGCCGGACGAGATCGATGTGGCCGCCCTGGACAGGCTGCTGTCGCACGCCTACAAGTGCCTCTGCCGGCGCGAATCCAAGCAGTTGCCCATCATAGCCCAGATGTACAACGCCGTGCGCATCCTGCAGAACTGAGGAGGAGGAGGATGACATGGAAACACTTTCGTTGTTCAATGTTTATAGCCAGCAAATCATTGCCGCATTACCACATTTCAATGTCCTACGGAAAGACATTCACTTAACCATTAGCAAGAACTTATAGGTACGACATGAAACAGAGTTGATCGATTTATTATTTTAGCAAGAACCAAACACATTTGATTGATCGTTAATTAGCAAGAACTTAGGAAACGAAATGATGATACCCATTAGCAAGAACTTAGAGCACGAAATGATGATACCCATTAGCAGGAACTTGGGAAACAAGATAATATACATTGATCTGAAGCACATTAATTGATTGTTAATGAGCTTAATAACGACTGGAGCTGTCCTCTTATGTTTGATTGAATATTATATTTTTTAAAATGATTCAGCAGCTTTTTTAAACTATTTGTTTTTTGGAAGCATAATAGGAAACAAAGAATTTAATGAAAAGAATCGACGATCTATTGTTAAGCCGGATCTCCGCGTGCCTTGGCAATTCTAGTCTTTGGCTTTCCCTCCAAGTTCGATTGGAGCTCTGCCTGCACTCTTCCAATCGCCTCCGGCGTGGGCAATCTCTCCGGCATTCCGGTGTCGTACACCTTGAGATGGGTGTACACGGCAATGTAGCTCTGGCTGGTGTCCAGTTCGATGGGTTGACTCTGGCCTGTCCGGCCGGGCAGAGCGAAATGCTTGCCCAGAATCGGCTCCTTTAGGGATCTGGCCAGTAGCTTGTTCAATCCATTACCTTCCATTTCCCACTCGTTGGGACTAAGTCTTGAATTCATTGGGAATTGATTGTAGATTTTGAAGTCTTTTGGTGTAATGCCTAGATATATTTTTCCCAGCAAAGGACACGATGTCCCGAGTTGCACTAGGTTAGTGGTACTGATTTCGACTAATCGGAAAACAACTTTCCCTCCTTCATGGCAACAAGTAGCTCAATTTGGAATTCCTTTCCCGCCCTTCCACCCACTGTGCCTTGTGCTCCATTATGAGTTATTTATTATTCGTAGGAAAAAAAGTTGATTTGCTGGTTTGTTCAATTTGGGAACTCGGCTGGGACACGCAAGGCCAAGAAGCAACTAACTTGTTTCGTGGGTGGAGTTTACCATGTTGATAAACATGTAGGATAATGTGGAACGTCGTTAGAGACAGTTTCATGTGGTTCCTTAATGGTCTGAGCATTGCTTTTATGAGTTTACAGTGAACTCTCTATTTTACTAGCAAAAGTATTGAAAACTTTTTATACAGGTGCATCTTAAAAGAAAATCAGTTTAGATGCAAAGGCTTAGTTTGTATATAAATGTGTATTGGGCTTAGCTACAGAATGGGTTATTGAGGTTGAACAATCACTTAAAGGTCTACTAGCTTAGGATCTCTACAGGCAGCGGGCAATCAGTTCATTTATAGCACTGCCACGATCGCCGTATTCTCCGCCGCGTTTGTAGGAGACAGAGACCTTCTTTTGCCAGCCATTGCTGGGACTGGACAACTGCAAAAGAGCAAATTCAGGTTTAGGATTGTTGTAAGTATATCTACAAAGTACAAAACTAACCATAAAAGAGCACAGGAAATTATTGACAGCGGCAAAGTTCGGCCCGACTGTGCAGATTTCGTGGATAATGTCCTCCAGGCAGATCACTCCCTTGTCGCCCAGCTGCTCCTCCACCATGGTGTTCGACTGGATGGCCGTCTTCTTGCCATCGATGCGGGCAAAGCCCTTCTTGAAGACCAGCTCGCGGATGGAGCTCAGCGAGGGATTGCCGTAGACCACAAAGGGTTCGATCACGCGCAGCAGCAACTGGTTCTCCTTGGTGTTCTCCAGGAAGACGGCGTTGTGGCGCGAGGCCATGCCCAGGGTTCGGAATATTTCCGCGGTGGTCTTGTCGAAGATCTTCTTGCCCGCATGGCGCATCACGAAGATCAGCTTTGGGTTGCAATCCTCGGCGGCCTTGGCACTTTGCTCGGTGATATTGGTGCGCAGAATGGTTTGCTTGATCCGCTTGGCCGTGCGCTCGGCCTTCAGGTAGCCCATTACGAAGGATTCGGCGCGACGGAATTTGTGGTGCTCCTTGGTGGCGGTCCTCTTCTTGATGCGATCATTTCGCTTTTGCGTGACGACGGACTCATCCTGCAGAATCCGCCGCTTGCGATGCTTCAGCACCGAGACTGTTTTGCCGGGCAATTTGTTGGGCACTGCGTATCTAGTTCGCATAATAGTATGACGTAAGATTACATTATAATAATTTAATAGTTATAACTCCACTTACTTGTCTGACATTGCTGGTTTTTGGCTTTTAAAACGCAATCAAAGAAAACACGTGCAATTATCAAAACAATAACTAAAAAGGGATAGAGATGGGCAATGTACGACATATGCTGTGTTATCGATAAACGATTGATGCAACAGCTGGCTGCGGTTCGGGGTGAGTGGCAAGAGCGTTTAAATTTAGGCGGGAGTCTTAATATATTTGGCAAACATATCTACTTTGTAATTGAAAACTAAACGTGACACCTGTTTGTGTAAGATCAAAATATGTACACCCGTTTTCAATGGCAATTTCAAAAGTACACCTGCTCACTGGATTTGTAAACAAACAATTCGACAGCAATTTCCGGTTTTGAGCAATTATTTCTCTCCCAAAACAGCTCTTTTTGATTTTATGGCGCACACTCGCGAATCGCTCTCTCTCTCTCTGTCTATTGCTCTTTCTCTCCGCTTTTGGGGTGGAAATTGCGTTAATTTTAGTATGAAAATGCCGGTCTCGATGCCAACGCACAGTCGCTGTCCGCAGTTGAAGGCGTTTTGTTGTGTCGCGCTCGAGGTAATAAATCGTGTTTTAACAGACGAAGTCCGACTAGATAAACCGAAATAATCAGCCAAACTGCATTCCAAACGTTGCGAAAAAAGGCAAAAAGGGGCAAATGCCAGATAGCACAACTCTGCAACAACTGCAATTTTCATTGCCACGCGTCGCAAAGTGCAGTGGCGACGATGACGAAATCGTGAAAATTGGCACGCTGGCGAAGGCGTCACTACGAAAGCCACGCACAACCTCTATGGGGAATATAACGACAAACCCTGATACCCCGTAAACCCCGCAGTTTAAAGCTTCATTTTGTGTATCGAAGATAGTGGCGGTGTCAGAAAACATAATTAAAGTTTATGTCTGACAATGGCAGATTAGTTTGCTGCCAACGAAGCAATAAGTTACTTCTCGTAGAAAAAAAAAATCATTTGTTTACAGTTTGCGCAACACGTGCTGAAACCCTAATGATGGCAAAAGTTTTTCTAAAATTAACAATTTAAATTTGCCCCTTTTCAGTGGCAATGTCAGCTAATCGGCACTAGAGGAGAACCACATCAAAGCACTCAATCATGACGGACAGATATGCCAATGGAGTCACCACCAGTCTGGTTGAGCCCACGCCCACAAACGGACGCACTGCCTCCGAGGGGGAGGAGAAAATTGTCCTGAAACGGAAGTTAACCCTCATCAATGGAGTGGCCATTATAGTGGGCACCATCATTGGATCGGGCATCTTCATCGCACCCACTGGAGTCTTTCTTTACACCGAGTGAGTGGCATTATGCCTACATACATATGTATGTACATATAGTATCATCCTTAATTCAATTTATTCACAAAAAGGTCAATTTAACTGTTAATTAATGGATAGATTGTCGCAAACATTCCTTTGGCGCCAATTAAGATGAATTTATTAGTTGTCGATTTTCCCCCGAAGATTTTTCCCTTGAAATTCTGCATAAATATTGCGTCAGCTTTAAAGTGTTTTTGAGCGTTTTTTTTGTCTCCAGTTACAAGAATAACGTCAATGAGGCGTGCCAACAGTTAAATTATTGATAAGATGCACAGAAAAGGTGTATGCCATACGCATATGGCATTTGCATAAAGTTTCACGAATTTATTTATGACAGCTTTGTCTTTGCAATGCTTTAATTAATGTTTCTTATGTTCGCTTTAAACCAGTTTATTTACTCAATTATCTCACTATATTAGGATAAGAAATTGAGTTTATATTATCATATCATCTCACTGTAAACGATTTTAAATTTAATTTAATTTTTAAATTTACTGCTAATTGAGTTTCTTAATTACTAGTAGTAAATTATAGTGATGGTCAGCTGACAAAACATCACCAAATACGTTTATATTTCTTCATAAAATTTGTTTATTTATACCACCCTTTGTTTATTGCTTTTCAGATCCGTGGGAAGCTCCCTTTTGATTTGGTCGGCTTGTGGAATTCTATCGACAATTGGAGCTCTTTGCTACGCCGAACTGGGAACGAGCATCACCAGATCTGGCGGGGATTATGCCTATCTGCTGGTGTCCTTTGGACCGCTCGTGGGATTCCTTCGGCTCTGGATAGCGCTACTCATCATACGGCCAACAACGCAGGTCAGTGCCTGGCTTCCATCAATTGAATTACGGAATGTTTATTTGACTTGATTGATGGGCAGCGTTTCGAATTGGTTGTTGATGCAAATAAATAGAAATTTATTAAGTGGCGGCTACCTTCGACCGGAATTGAATTCAATTACGAGAACAACAACTTTCTCCAATGAAAACAAAAAGGGGATTTTGAATGGTTAAATGTATTTAAAGTTTAAAATATAATTTTCAATTTTACAGACCATAGTGGCTTTAACCTTTGCACACTATGCGGCCAAACCATTCTTTCCGGACTGTGATCCACCGGAGAATGCAGTGAAACTACTGGCTGCCATTTGCCTAAGTGAGTAGACTAACAAATCCCCCGGGGAATGAGAAATCTTAATTATTCTGATTTTTCCAGCTCTGCTCACCGCCATCAACTGTCTGTCTGTGAAGGTGTCCATGAAGGTGCAGGATGTGTTCACGGTGGGCAAGCTGTTGGCCCTTATCATGATTATCCTTGCCGGACTATACTATATGGCCACGGGCAAGTTGGAGAACTTCAGCAATCCGTGGGAGGGCACTTACAGTGCCCGCAACATTGGCTACGCCTTCTACTCCGGTCTGTTTGCCTTTGGCGGATGGAACTACTTGAACTTTGTGACGGAGGAGCTCCAGGATCCGTACAAGTGAGTGGTGGGGCTCAGGGTTTCGTCCTGTCGCCAACATGACAAATGGCTGCAAAAGTGGAATGAGTCGGGATTATTTGTCCTATTCATGCCTTTTGCGTCATGCGCAGGCAGCAACAAGTTGAAACTTGTTGAGCGTCCTTGATGTCATGGGTCCTAGAATGTGTGGGATGCTGCCTGCCGTCTCCCTAACGAATTCAATTTGCTTTCGAAGCGCAGCAATCAATTTAAGTGCTCTACACCCCCTCACAGGCCAAGTGGGTTTCTCGTTAAACAGCACGTTCCTATTCACATAGAGAAAATCTTTAACTTATTTGCTCCTCGGCTTATATACTTATATTTCTGAAATAATCCTTAGTTTTTAATGTACAAAATAAACCAGGCAAGAGTATTTGACTTTTTAACTATAACTATTTTAATTTTTATATTATGTAATTATTTGTATATTATAGTTAAAAAAATGTTCTTCAAATTCGGTTCCAATCGTTATTTTCAGAAAGTTTTGCTATATTAAATAGGTGATATCAATTTTTTTTAATTTACCTGTTTTTAGACAAAAATTTCGTATTTTATACCCTTTTTATGCCATTTATTATTATGTGGTGATCTGATCATGTTAAAAAAAATTTTACGGTCGAGCGACTATGTCTTATATAAATGTAGTTGTTGTCCGTTCCGTTCAATGATTCTCCTGAATACAATTCACGTCATAAGAATAAATCACAAAAATACTTAAATATGATTCAACGCTAAAGAATGTTCATATATTAAAACACCGAAACACTTACTGTTCTACTTTTAAATGTGTTGGCGTAATTTTGTTTAAAGCCAATGTTTGTTTACAAACATTTATAAATCCATTACTCGTAGAAGGTATATTGTGTTCGTTGAAAAGTACTTAACAGGTAGAAGGAATAGTTTTCGTTTCACCAAAACATTTTTTCAATCATACTATTATTTTACCAGCTATTATGAAAGTTTTAATTATGACGTCATAACATTTTTGAAAAACGGAGATTATATATTTAAGAAAGCGAAAGATTTGATAGAAGGGGTCGGGGTGCCTGTAGTTTTAGCCGACATTCTATGTTTTTTTGTTCTTAATTTTAAAAAAAGGGATATAATACCATAGTAATGCTATATTTTTTCTTTGTGCAGAAATCTTCCACGAGCCATTTGGATAGCCATGCCCCTGGTCACAGGCATCTATGTTCTGGTTAACTTGGCCTATTTTGCAGTGGTCAACAAACCGGAGATGCTCAGTTCGTTGGCCGTGGCGGTGACCTTTGGAAACCGTGTATTCGGACCTCTGGCCTTCATGGTGCCCATTTTCGTGGCACTGAGCACCTTTGGAGGTGTAAACGGAGTGCTCTTCACCTCGGCGCGACTGTTCGCAACTGGAGCTCAGGAGGGGCATTTGCCAAAGTTTTTCCAGCTGTTTCACGTCAAGCAACAGACTCCCATTCCCTCCCTGATTTTCACAGTAAGTTGGCGCTGGCCATTTTACCATTTTACCCGAGAAATGTGATATGCTATTGGCATATTTAACCTTAGTGCCTGATGTCGCTGCTAATGCTGCTTACGGATAATGTCTACCAGTTGATCAACTATTTCAGTTCGGTGCTCTGGCTTTCAGTGGTGGCCAGCATAGCCGGAATGTTGTGGCTTCGCCATAAAAGGTAATTGAAGCTAATAATACCTTTTCTATATAAACTTATGATCAAAATTAGTAAGACTTTTTTAGAGTATTTCAAAAAAATGAGATAGACCTAAGACACTAACCATTAAAAACTAAAATTTATTGCAGAGTATTTTACTATAATATTTTAAATGATCAAATACCTTTTGAGTTTTAAACCCGTTTGAGTAACTCACCGATTTCTTGCCTTCCAGACCCGACTTGCCGCGACCCATTAAAGTCAATCTCGCGCTGCCCATTATCTTCATGGTGAGCTGTGTGACGTTGGTGCTGCTCCCGAATCTGGAGGAGCCAGGTAATCTCTTGATTGGCATCGCCATCACCTTGGCCGGCATTCCATTTTACTACGCCTTCATTGCCTGGAAAAACAAGCCCAAGTGCTACGGACGATTGTCCAACTCCGTTGTGGAGATTTGCAGGGCCATATTTAACACCACCATTATCGAATCGAACGAGACGATAAACTAAATCTATGTACCGCACCCGTAGAACTTTATGCATTTAGTTCAAAAAACACTCGTCGTAATTGATATTCGAAAACACTGAGAAATTGTTAAATATTTTAAACAGTTTTAAGCAAATCCCCCTGCCCCATTTGTATGATATTTTTTAGCTAGACAATTGGCATTCCTCACAACGCAATCGGCATCGTTTAGATTTTAGTTTTAACATATGTATTTATTTGAGCAAGCTCCTCAGTTAACAGGTTTTACACAACCCAAGGCCTTTTTTGGCTCACTCCCCACTAAAGTTCACTTCTAATTCCTTTTTTAACACAATCAGGAAGTAATTGAATGCGCTTTGATGGGAACAAAACTGTAAACTATAAAATGTGACATGTTTAGGGAAGCCACATGGCAGTACAATAACTTATCGCTTAGCAAATAAATGTATTACTGCAAATTCGGAAATGTTGGTTTAAATTCCTACTGCTCTATGGTTTCTATCTACATGTAAATCTTACGGGTATTATACTCTATAGCTGTTTCCACCAGTGTGGTGCCCCGTATAAAGTCCGCTGACACAATGTTGGCATTGGTGCCCAATTCATTTCGATACAGCTGAGAAATCCGCCAGTTCACGTTGTCGGCCATCTTGCGCAGTCCTCCGTGCTTGTCAAAGATGACGTCCCAGGTCTCCGGGGTCAACTCTGCCATATCGGACACCGGACGGCTGGAGAAACGTCTGCGAATTAGCAATAATTAGCGATAAAGGTATTTTATCTTATCAATAACTTGTAGATGCACTCACGACGTATCGAAGTCGTTAACGTTGCGCAAATATGTCTCAAGTTGTGACCACGTCTGCTTGTTTCCCCAACGCTGTTCCACGGATCCGAACAGGACCTCTGGGAACTCGTCCACCATGGTCTCGTGATCGTAGGCCAGGAACACGTTCTGCCTACGGGCCCAAATGTCGCGCAAGGATGCGCGCCAGGACAGCGAAGGATGAGCTATGAGGTCCTGGAACTGGTCACGCAAATAGCTGATCAGCAGGCGATGCACTCCAAGCCCTTTTCCAAATCCTGAAGGAAACGGAAATGGGGATTTTGTAAGTCAAAATTGTGATTTAAATAGTTTTTATAACCTTGCAGAGGGTATTGTAATTTCCGAGCCTAAAAAATATATTTATTCTTGGTCAGCATCACTAGGAAAGTCGATCTAGCCATGTCCGTTTCTTTAAAAACTAGTCTTTTAGTTTCAGAATATAAATTACCCATAAGAAGAATAATAAATACAAATTATAGTTTCATCTATAATTAAAGTTTCAATTTTTAAAAAAATCAAATAACGACTTGATATAATTGCCATAGAAATTATTGTAAAATTCATAGAAAAATTCACACAGCTTCATTAAAAACTACATACGCACAAAAATCAAAATATATTAATTATAAAGAATATTTAACGCTAGCTGCAATGTTTCTTATTTTTTTTTATAAGGATGCGATACCATTTTTAAATATATTAGAATATTTAATGTTATCTACAATTTTTCTTATTTTTTATAAGGATGCGTTACCATTTTTAGAGATATTAGATTTCAATCCTCCTTTGTTTGATATTGTTTATAGAACACTCAAGAGTTTAAAGTTTCTTAAAAAGAAAATACCTTACAACTAATCTCATTTCTTACCCACTGGAAACTCCTTCAGTCCGAAGATAACAATCTCGTTGGTCTCGTGGACAAAGTCCCGCACCTGGTTGATGACTTCCTGGAGGGGACGCTGCTTGGTGATCCCGTGGTAGATGAAGAACGGGTCCGGTGAGTTCCGGTAGTAGCCCACTCTAATGTCCAGGTAGCGCACTCCGTGCATCAGCTGCCCCCGGATGTCGTCGTCCTGGGTGAGGGCGTATTTGGTCACCAGGCTTTCCCTGAGCAGCGGATCGAAATTGGGCCGATATGAGCCGGAATCGTGGGAACCGGGTATGAACAGATCTCGCAGGCGCATCTCTCCTATTTTGGACTTCAGCTCGTTCATCCAGCGGGGAAACACTTTGAGGCACGTCTTGGCCAGGATGTTACCCTGTACGTCTATGTAGCTGGCCCAAAAGCCGTAGCAGGAGGTCTGAACGGTCACATTCCTGGACAAGGCATAGTCAAAGGGCAGTCCGGTGGTGAACCACTGGGTGGAGAGACCCTGGGTGGGTTGAATGGCCGCCACGACTTCGGTGGCTCCTCCATTAGCCACCCAGTACTTCTGTTCGACCTCATTTGTGTCCGATTTGGCTTCCGGTCTGACTGTGAATCCACTGATGGGCACGTAACTGTTTGGTGGTTCGCCGGAACCACTGCCCTCCTCGCTGTGGAAGGTCGCCAGTGGAGTCCGTTTGGGCAGGAGCTTGGTCTCGAAGCTGAGGGCATCCTGTCTCGTCACCAGGACTTGGTCACCCATCCGCGCCGGCGCATTGCTCCATGAAACCTCCAGGAATCTCTTGCGGGCACTGATGGTCAGCCAGACCTTAAGACTGTTGGGATCCTCGTAGGGTTCGGTCTGAGCTTGCGTCCAGGAGAGGAGAAGAACCAGCAGCGCAAGCTGTAGAATTTTTCCCACCATTTCTCTGATTGAATTACTACTGATGATTCGAGCTGATTGCAACTGACGTTAATCAGAGCAGTAATATAAACACGACACCCCGAGAGATCGTCACAGATCAACCGCTCGCGTCGAGAGCCCCGGACTTAATGAACTGAGACCCAGACCCCAAATCCACTAGATCTTTATCTATATGTATGCTATATAAGGGGGTTGGCAGTTAGAAGCTAGAAATTAGAACCAGACACTAGAGCTTAGCAAGAAATCACTGTGTAAATTAACTTAGACTTTCATGTTCATTGAATTCACTATTTACCCCGGGGATTCCAAGTAATTAGCCCTTATGCTAACTGGAGAATTGAAATGGGTTTGCATACACTAATTTTCAATGGCTGCGTGTACAGAACATTTGACCGGCATAACCGATAAGATTCTAAACAATAAGGGCAGTCAATTCTCAGCAATGTGCAAATTATCAGCACTTGTTTGTTCGCACTCGGCTTTAATTGGCAGTGTAATGTTTAGGTATTTTTAGAACACAAAGAGTTTTGGAGGCTAAACACACACGTATTTCCTATAGGAAACAAAACAATAGAAGCGTTATGATTTGATTCACTTTCGCACCGACTAAATAAATTAATATAAAAAGCAAGCGATCTGTGACAATCCGAGCCCAGCGCCGCCTCTCAACTGAAGCTCAAATGCGAGAACCAAAGCGAGAAGAGCTTGTGCATTGGGTTCTTTTGTTTATTAAACTTTCACACTTCCCATGTAAATGGCTGATACTTGAGTGCCAATTGTTGAATAAACATTTGGGTATCCATTAGGGTTGTGACATTTTCTGTAAAGCGTATTTATTTGTTTAAGAAGTCACCCAATTTAAGCCTTTGTTTTACTGACTATTGAACTTTTTTTTGTTTTATATATTTTTTAGGGAATATTTAACTCGGTATTCTCTGTAAATCGAACCTATTGTTCGACACATTCGAGTTTACTTACATCCACTATTCCATGTTTATACAAAAATTACTTAATAATTTATTTCAAAGTATATAAATTCATTTTAGTAACTTCATATTGGAAAGTTCAAAAATGAAATTGAAAGCAAAGCTTAGTAATTTTGTAAAATGTTTTCATTTGTTAGCTTTAAGAAGTATTAAAAGCAGAATCAAAATAAGATGTACCAAGAAATAAATTGAATTTTCGAATTTTCAAACGGGCTAATACTTATAACGGTCAGTATTTTGTTGTCTGCATTTTTATAAAAAAGTTACCTGGCCACACTGTTTAACAGCTGTTTTTGGCGTCCTAACAAAAACCTGAAATTGCTTTGTTTTGATTGTGGATTAGTGCAATATACAAGCGTAGGAAATGCTGCATTCACAGGCAATGCAATCCATACCCACTCTGCACCAGCCACTACACTCCAAGGTGTCGAATTACCTGAACAACCAGCGGAGAACTGGACAGTTCTGTGATCTCCTCCTGGAATTGGACTCGGATGACTCCCTGAACTTAAGTGTCCACTTCTGTGTGCTGGCTGCCCAGAGCCAGTTGATAAACACCAACCAAAAGCAGCAACAGTTCTCCATTCACAATCCGCTGAAGATCACCATTCGGAATTTTAGCTGCACTCAGTGCCTGCACTCCATTGTGGACTTCTTCTACGAGGACATGGTCTCCGTGTCCAAAGAACACATGCCGCACTTCCGAGAATTGGCGCAAATTCTGGCTGTCACGGAACTACTGAACCTCTACCAGCTGCAGCCTTTGGGGGAGGTGAAGGAAACGTCAGAGAACATGGCTTCGGGCGAGGTGGAACAAAATCAGGAGCCAACTAGGAAAGCGGAGGATTTGTTTGAGAATCGACAGAGTTACTTTAAGGTGGGAAGGATGTCCGCCTTGCTTCCCTGAATCTCATATCACCTTTTCATTGCAGTTGAAGAATCCCAGGGCCGTAAAGTCAAGCAGTAAGGTTAACTACTGCATTGGCTGCGACTACAAGTGCTACCAGGTGCAGAAGATGATCGAGCACATGGGCAGCTGTGAGCCTTCGCATCTGACCTGCTCCCTGTGCGAAGTGGGTTTCCTAGACTGGCGGGAGTACGACACACATCTTCGAAGGCACTCCAGTGATCTTCGCAAACCGTTCTTCTGCCTGCAATGCGGCATTCGCTTCAACACTCGAGCTGCCCTGCTCGTCCATCAGCCCAAGCACAGTACGGAAACGCCACACCTCTGTCCTCATTGCGGAAAAGGCTTCAAGTGGAAACAGGGCCTGAGCAACCACCTGGTGGTGCACAATCCCGAGAAGCAGCTACTCTGCGACGTCTGCGGCTACAGCACCACCCACATGAAGGCCCTCAATTCCCACAAACTGCTCCACACCGGGGAATTCTTCGCCTGCACAGTTTCGGGGTGTAAGCATCGAGCCAATCGCAAGGAGAACCTCAAGCTGCACATCGAAACCCACAAGCAGGGACGGGATTTCATCTGCGAGATTTGCGGCTGCAAGTTCAGTCAGAGCAAGAACCTCAAGCGGCACGCCTTGAAGCATACGGAGAACGGTCCCAATCGGTACAAGTGTCAGTTGTGTGGGTTTAGTAGTCATCGCTCCGACAAAATGAAAGAGCACGTACAGCGAGTGCACACGGAGAAGGCGGTGCAATTGGAGCTCTCTGAGACAGTGGACAGTTCCTTTCCCGACGACTTTGATCTGCCTGTAATCGAGACATTGTCAACGCCAAAAAAAAAACCCAAGAAGGTTCAGAGCAAGGCGAAAATGGATACAAATCCTGATCGACGACTGAAAACTCTACTGCCTAAGGAGACTGTTAAATAGAAGTAAAACTTAAGAACTTTTTAAAATTAATTGAAATTATTAATTTGGATAATGTATCAGTTGGTAAGCTTGGTAACCGAACATTTACTGATATCACAGATTGCGTGAAAGGGTTTCGAAGAGATCGCGGTTATCCAACAAATATTTACCATTGGAATATTCTGGAACCGATTTCTCTTTGGAGACATTCAAAGCAATCATAAATGGTTTGATGCCAATGAATTGTAAACAAAGTTGTGGTATATTGTGGAAGGTTCTTGAAACAACATTGTTGAGGCCGTTCTATCTTATCTAAGAATGTGATAACGATCTATTGCGTCGTTTCTAGAGTTCCAGAGGTACTTTTAGAACGAATAGCTGCTAAATGACTAACCAACACAATAGTTCGCACCTTATCACCGCAAGAACCCCACGTAACATCTGTTGTTTATATAAAATCGATTAGACCAAAACAAACTAAAAGCTTTTCGGTTTTTAGAAATAAACAAATGCTATTCGAGTGGGAGGGAACTGGGTCAACAGATCAGGTTCTAACGCACCCAAATAAAAGTTATGCATTGGTAATTGGTAAAACCTTATTAGACTTTTCTAGAATTAAATTTTTTACTATTGAATATTGAAGAAATAACATACATACATACATATATCTAAAAGTATAACTCAAATATATTTAAACAATATTTTATAAGGAAAGAAAACAATATTTTTAGCAGTGTAAGGTGTATCACACAGACTTCATGTTGCATTTGTTTTTATATTTAAAATGTGGAGAAATACATGCTGGGTAAATGCACTTTGGGGGTCGTATTTTGAGGGCCAAAGTGGGCGGGCGTTACATAACACTTTTGAAACGTGTGTATTATGAAAAGTTCTTTTATAATTAAAATAAATGGACAAGGCAAAATATTATGTTTGACGATGTGTGTTTTTTCGTTTTGTTCAACGCGCATTTTGTAAACAACAAAAAATTAAATTGCGCAGCAAAAATGGCCAAAAAGCTGGCGCTCTCTTTGGCAAAGAGAGCAAAAGGGTTGTCAGGTCAAAAACAAATTACTAAACATTATTAAATTGGCTTAAATTTGAAAAGGAGTGAAAACGAAAGGTAATGAGCTAATAACAACAAAGAGTTTAAGTTTTATTTTTTACGCATTTGGGAATTAGATGATTTAAATTCCATTTCAACTTATCTTATGAGGAAAGTATGGCAACTCTGACAGTGAGAGAGCTTTTAACGGTCTCAAAAAGCTCGGCTGGCTATAAAAGCGGTTGCTCGACCGAAAAAAATTCAATTCCAGTCTGCGAATTTGCAGGGAAAAGATCTAAAATAAAGCGAGAAAGCAGTTAGTTTGTCCAATTTTAAATCGTCATTATGTCCGAAGCGCACTTTGATGAGTACGAGCACTACAACTTCGACCATGACAAGCACATCTTCTCCGGCCACAGCGGGAAGCAGCGTTCTAAGAAGGAGGCCACCGAGCACACCAATCACTTCGATCCCTCTGGCCATTCCCGCAAGATTCTCACCAAGCTGATGAACACCAACAACAACAAGAAGGCCTCCGCCTGCAAGAACTGATGCAGGGCATCGGAGACGGGCCAGCGGTACCGAGAGAGCAAAAAGTAACGGGGAAAGAAGGAAAAGAAAACTTCGAATTTAAAGGAAAGAAAAGGAAAATCAGTTGAAATCAATCGCAGCAATCGCTGGAAGCAAAGAAAAGAGAGAACGAGAAAGAATAACAAAAGCCACTTGGAAATACACTTTGCATTTGGATTGTGCATTGGGATTTCATGCGGCGCAAAACTTTGTGAACTTGTAATAATTTTATTTCGCTTATATTTTCACAAACAAAAAAACAAATATTACTCTTAACTTCTTAATATTCCTAAACTAATTCAGACTTACACGTTTTAGTTGCTAAGCCTTAGTGCGTTTCAAATTATGAAGTTTGATTTAGGTATTACATATAAAATAAAAAAAAAACCAAAACTGAATTATGTTTGCGTTTTTTTTTCACTTTTTTCCACTTTTACAGCGCCTTTCCAGGCACCAAAAGTCAAGCCAGAGAGCTTTTCCAATGCTTTCCCATGCTGTCAGTGTGTTGCCGCTGCAAGTGCATATTTATAGCCTCCTTTTAGTTGAACTCATTTGCACTCAGCTCCTCGATTATCGCCAACGCAGTTGCAGCTGAGTATTTCTTTGTTTAGAGGAGTCGACACGACAAAAAAGTAAACAAAAATGTATTCCCATAAGCAGCTTGACATTTAGTTTCGAAACGGATATGTACGTATGTACATACATACATACATATATTCCCGCAACCTTCCATTGAAAGTTCATAACTTACACAGGTAAATAAACTTGCACACACAAGCAGCATTTCTTCCGGTTTTGTTTAGCGCGTGTGGGTACTATTATGCTTATATGTATGAAAAATGTAAATATGCATTTACATATTAACTTTTTTGGGCTTTCGCTACTCAAACATTTTTTTATTACATGTGGAACACAATAAAATAAAGCGAAGTAATTTTCCACTCACAAACACGCAAACATACAAACGCACAAATATAAATAGATCGAACAAACTTTCCAGAAAGGTCCACTCTAATAGTACTCTCTCGCTCTCTTTGCGCCATTTGCCGGCTTTTTAAATTGCGTTGTTGATATTTGGTAAACAATAAAACAGACTCTCGATCAGGTGGTTTTTCTATATGCTGTATATATGTATAATTATTTACGTATGTCTATGTATGTATGTTTGCCGAATATTAATCATCGACAAGTGACAAATAATTGGGCAATCGAATTTCTTGATGTTCTTTTCAAATTTGTATTTTTATTAGTCATGCATTTTGAATACAATTTTGCCTATCAGTTTAAAGATTGCATTTTTATTAATAATATATTTGTCTAACAATGTATCTTTTCAAAAGTTTTAAGTATCACTAGTTAGAATTTAAATAAGTAAATAATTAATTTTAAATAAGTAAATATGTTTTAATTATTATTGTTTTTCATAAATGAGCGTTTAACCCCTTATTAAAAAATTGAAAAAACTGTGGGTTTTGTTGAACCTTTCACAAATTATGCATTACATTCTCAAAACATAAAATAAAAAGAAAATCGAGCGTTAAACACTATCACGGAGGTCTCAATTAAATCAACAAACACATATAAACTATACGACCAGAGCTTTTTGGTGGAAAACAAGTGAGAATTCTAAACCATAATGTAAACAATTTTGGGGGTAACGAAACTAGTTTGCTACGGTGCGCTTTGCCGACAAACAAATGACGCACTATTAATTCAGTAAGTTCGAGAAATCGCTAGAAGTTACCAAACTTAATATAATACTTAATATAATACAACTAAATAAGAATATAACTGCACTTTTAATAAAAATTTTGTTTTAATTTTGTATGATTTGTTTCTTGTATCTATAGATATTTGTATCTGATACTTTGAAATAATTCGATTTAACACTAAAATAGAAACTACATACATACATATGTGTATTTTTGTTTAATTTCATGCTGATTTCTATATTTATGTAAAAGGCTTTCAGTTATTAAGAAAACACTTTAACATTGTTTCTTTTAATAAAATTATAGTATTCGTATTTTTTCTTTCAACCAGATATTAAAATAACTAATTTGAAAATTGTGGGGATAAATACACGGTGAGTTGAGACCACATAATTCATACTATATATGTACATATGTACATAGTTTGATATCCTCATTCAAAAGTAAGTTCTCTTAAGAATTCGCGAAGTCGCTTAGGATGACATCTCATTGTTGTTGTCTAAAAAATATCTTAATAGATTTCTTTCTTATCATCCCATAATCAAAATCGCACGCAGGCCACGATCTATGAGCACGTGTAGGAAAATATCGTGAGATCGTGAGTTACGAATGGCACAAGACCGACGATGGCGACCATGGTAAATGCGACCAATTACAATTTCCTAAATTCCTCAGGTCCATGTCCCATGAGCTCCCATCTTCTGGACAGAGAATCATATTGCACACTTTCACCGCGAAAAAAAAAAACGAATTTGTGACAAACAACAAAAGTCGGGGGGAATTACGCATATATGAATGGAGATGGATCGGAATCGGAATGGGAATCGGAGTACTGGCGATATGCAGACATGGATGGTGCTAATTGCTGTGGCACTCGGTGGCGGATGAACCGTTAAATCGAAACTGGAGCACTGGCCCAATAACGATGATGCACGCGGCCCACGGATTAGCACCTTTCAACGAGCCACTACGGATAGATGTTCTAGATACCCAAAACCCACCATTAGCACCATCGCAAGGCGGAGTTTTTCTGGACCATCATTTGGGACTCTTCGTTTAGTTGACGATTAAACTCCGAGCCAACTGGCTGTGCGGTTTGTGCTCAAAACAAAAAGGATTCGGAACCATAAAAATCACTTGCCAAACGGATAATGTCATCCTACGAGGAGATGTCCGCGAAGACGCCACGCCGTTTATCGCCCATTTGGATTCTAGTGATCACCCTGCTTCTATTTGCGACCACTCTAACGGCGGTGTCTATGATCGAAGCTGGACGGGCTCAGAGCTCCGGTGGAGAGGGCGATCTCCTGATCCTTACCCGCATGTGGAACCACTTCAGAGCTAGTGCCGGAAATGATACGGAAATCGCCACCGTGGAACGCATTGCCAGGGAGGCCGGAAATGCCACTAATCCGAATCCATCTCAACCGGAACAAGGCAGAAACTTCTACGAGGAGCAGCAGGCGGTGGTAGTGAATGCGGAAAGTATGGATCCTGTAATGGGCCTACGGCAAGATGCCTACGGTCCACCGCAGAGCAGAGAGGACTCCTACGAGCAGGATCCCTACTACGATGTAGCCGATGACTATGGCCCAGGTCGATATCCATATCCAGAGTCCAAGCAGCAGGAGCCTGCGGAGGAGGATCGCTTCTACGATAAGGACGACCCGTCGACGGATTCGGACGAGGGAAGGGCGTCGCAGGCCCGACCCTATGATTCCTTCTACTCGCCCTGGTCTACTGGGAGAAATCCAGCTCCAGTTGCTACTCATCCCGCAGCGGAGGGCAACAACAGGAAGCTCCAGACACCGCCCAATAGGTGAGAATTCTTAATCAAATTTTAGACATTTAGAAGAACACATGAAACTAATTCAGAAACATTATTAAGAAACGAGTAATATATATAATATTTGGATAACATTTAAATAATGAGTGAAGTGTTTTTGATTCCTGATCGAAACCAAAGATTTCGCATTGCATTGCGAAACAAGAACTGTAACAATTTAAATTTCATATATGTTAAATTGCAATACTTTGCAAATAAACATAAATAATAAATAATCAAAGACGCCATTTCAAGATTAACTAAAGGTCAGTAAGTAAAGCCACATATACAAGAACGAATGTATATATAACTTTAAAACCATATAATGTATATGTACGTAAACAAAGATAGGAGCATATATTATGTGACACAATTTCACAACATTGTAGACATTTAAAATATGCCAAATAAATATAAATTTTGCAAAAATAAAAAACAAAATTGTATAAATTTTATGACAGGTTTAAATCTATAAATATGATAACTTGGCTCATAATGTAAATCATCAAGATAGGCATCTCAATAACATATATTTTAAACATATCTTTGACCATTTTTAGATCCCCTTATCCCGCCTACGATGAGGTGTACGATTATCCCATGGGCTTCCAGCCTCGTCCTCATGCGGAATCTGAGCTGGCCAAGCAATCTCAGCCCGCCTCCCATAATGCAGTGGCTGAGGTCCAAGGTGAATCCACTCTGGTTACCGTGCTGAAGAGTCTCAAGCAGATCTGGGATCTGTACCAGGCCCTTATGGGTGCCTGGAACGCAGTGAGCGAACGCCATCAGCAGAGTACGGAGAAGTTCCGCCAGGAGCAGGCGGCTAAGCAGGCCGAGAAGGATCGACTGCGTCAGCAGGAGCAGCAGCAGCAGCAGAAGACGAGGATCAACTCAAAGAAACCACCACGAATGGAGGGAAACAAAAAGAACCCGAACAAGAAGCCCACGACAACGACAACTAAGTCGACAACCACGACCACGACGACATCTGCTCCAGATAGCTCAGAGGAGGAGGAGGAGGAGGAGGAAGTGGAGCAGCCGGAGAAGAAGGTGGAGAAAGTTGAGACAGTGACACCATCGGCTCTGTCCACCAAAGTGGTCACTGGCAAGGGCGAGAAGGGCAATCTGAGATCAGTGCGTGGATTGCGCCACAGACGGGATGCCGAAGCGGAGGAGAAAGCCGACTCCGATGTTGGTGAGGGGCGCTATATCAAGGGCGATCCCCTCAAGGGATACTACGATTTCGTCATCACGGAAGGCTCCTACAAGTTCTGGGCCGTATTTCAGGTGAGTCATCATCACCGAACCACAAAATCTTTTCTTTGTTATAAATTTAAAAAAAATTGAATAAAAATGATTAGAGCTAGGCTTTTGAAAACAATTAGATCCAACTTAAGATCTCATTATAATGATAATAAAACATTTACAAAGATAATGTTTAAATATATTAATATTTACCTCTCAATGTTAACCCACAGGTGGGCACAGCACTGCTGATTATCTACTCGACGTTCGCTGCCATTTACTACTCCAAGGTAAATCCACTGACCAGCGACTACGACTATACGGATTATCTCGGCGGAGTTCGGTCTCTGTCCGGGGGCGATGCCGATTTTGTGGACGACGGAGATGCATCGACTCCGCCAGTTTCCACCACCTTCCGCATCATGGAGTGGCTGCCACGGACGGCGCACTCCATCAAGTTCATCCTGGATGCCATCGACAAGGTGCCACTGGATCATGAAAAGGACAAGGAGCCCGGCTGGTCCACGGGGAAACCGGACACGGCGACGGTCATGAGATAGGGAACTGAATACTATATGCGATATTTGTTAAAGAAAATATAATAATGTTGAAGATAAACTTGGACTGAACTTAATGGGAGATGTTTTAAAATTTGGAACCTAGCAATTTGCCTACTTTTAGTAGCTTTTTAGTTTGAAAACATTTTGAAAAATATAAATAACAAAAACACAAACAAATTTTAGATATAAAAACCAAAAATATATTTAGTAGATGATCTAAATAGAACAACTCCTATCCGCCTTTTTTTTAATTTTGCTCCGTTAATTTTTTTAAGCTGTTCAAAGTTTTAGGAACCTCTTAAATAAAACAAATCACCTTTAGACTCGATTGGTTAAATTAAATGAAATTTTTACACAAAAATCTACTACCGTAATCTTTTCAAAAAAAAATATGTTGTGCTTTTAAATTTAAGGTTAAGCACTTTTTAAGCAAATGACGGATAGTGTTTATTTGGTTCCTCACCGAAATATATATTTTTTCTTTTTACAGGAATTTTTGTTGTTCTGAAGGCTAAATAGTACCATGCAATTTTTATTGTAATTTTATTTTAATAGGTTTAAACTTCTAAATACATACATACATCGACCAATTAACAAACAAACAATTTTAGTTTAAGCAATCATTAAGTAGTCATTTATAACGGTTTTTAGTTCAAAAACTTTGTGAGCTAAAATAACCATTCACAACGAAAGGAAAAAGTCTTCTTCTTCCTCGGAAGCATTCAAAGGACAGGGGTTACAGCGAACATCTGTGCATTATTTTTGGAGAAAAACAACACGTAGCATTTACAAATATTTTAATATTTGTCACGGAAAAAACTTATGTAAAAGAATTGCGCTGTTTACCACGATCATGGAAAGCCCCTACGTGACAATTACGAGAATATCACTGCTGCTGGCCCTGATATTAACAGTGGCGTCCCATGAAGCCAAAGATTTTGACGATTCAATTTTGTACAAAATTGATTTTGAAGTGCCGGAGTTGATTGGACAGCCGGTAAGTAAAGCATTGAGTGATAATTGAATTGTGTATCTATAATACTTATATTTCGGTCAGGATTTGGGCAATCAGCTACGAACTTTCTACACACCGGACAAGGAGAAATACGATTGTCTGATTCCCACTTTGGAGCGTCAGAAAGAAGAGGAAAAGTCCGACAAGCCGGAGTTTTGTAAGATATTTAGGATACCACCTTATATCCTCTTGCATTATATATAATTTTGTTGCTTTGCAGCTCCCATCAGCTTGCTGCAGCCCATTTTCTCCGCCTTGACCTGCACGTACCGCATCGAAGCCTATTGGTCCTATGAGATCTGCCATGGCCACCATGTGCGTCAGTATCATGAAGAACGTGAGGGAAAGAACGTCAAGTTCCAGGAGTACTACCTGGGCAAATGGACCGATGACAAGACCGAGTTGCTGACCAAAGCCTGGGAAGCTGACCAGAAGGCGGGCGTTAAACCAAAGTACAAGAGCCTCAAGATCGATAACACTCGGTATCCCTACTTCGAGATGGAATACAGCGATGGCACAATGTGTGACATTATTGACTCTCCGCGCACCACGATGGTGCGTTATGTGTGCTATCCCCACGGCAAGGATGACGTCTACTCCTTCAAGGAGACCTCCTCCTGCAATTACGAGGCCATTATACTCTCCTCGTCGCTGTGCGTTATCCCTGGTTTTCACGCCGAGGAAACCAAAGAGCTGTCCATACAATGCTTCAACTCCGAGTCGGAGCCGCACAGACCGTTGAGCATGCTGCGATCGGAGTTAAGTGAGTGGGCTGAATCCGAAGCGGACTTGTTGGTTTCCAAGGAAAAGGAAGGCAAGGCCCCGGCCAAAATGTGGCCCAAGGCGGATGGCGATATGGTTACCTTCAAGTACAGCGGCGACATGGACAAAATCATACTGGAGCTCATTGGTAATGGAGACCTCGAGGGGGACAGCGATTATCAGCAACTTTTGCTGAACAGAGCAGCTGCTGGAACAGGGCCCACACCCATCACCGATCTGACGCCCATAAGGGACTTCATTTCGGGCAAGAACTGTCTAACTGGGGTACGGATTTTGATTCGCCTTAAATATTCCATGAATATGACTCATTGCTCTTTCTTAGGGAAACGGCTGGTGGAAGTACGAGTTTTGCTACGGACGACATGTGCGTCAGTTCCACAAGGACAAAAACAACGAAGTTGAGCTCTTCCTGGGCTATTTCTCAGAGGAAGCTCATCGTGCCTGGGCCAATTCCAATCCGGATAAGGGAGCCCGCCGTTCCGGGTTCTCGTCATCCATCTGGCACCATTACGGGCAGGGCACCCACTGCGACCGCACTGGTGAGGCCCGCGAAGTGGATGTGAAATTGACCTGCACTCCTGTTACCAGCAGCGGCACTGCCGTGTCCATGTATCTGCTGGAGCCGAAGACGTGCCAGTACATCTTGGTTGTAGAGTCGCCCACTATTTGTGATCTCATGCATTACGCGGACTCCCACGGCCTGGTCAAAAGTGAGAATCTGCAGAAGGTTCTGGGCAGCGAGAAATCGTCTTCGACGACTACCGCTCCCGCGCCCATTCCCAGCCCAGAGGAAGAGATCCGCTCTTAGGCTGTCCTGGTGTTCCAACTCTAGTGAATTCTGTACTTTTAAATACATTGATTGTAATTTTAAGTCTTTGCTTTATGAGGAACCCTTATTAAGTGGGAGAGTGAAGGTGGAATGTATACGCTTCTGTGTGACTGGCTTCAAACAGCTGATAACTAATGCTTGAGAACAGCAGCGGGTGAAATTAAATCACACTTGTAAAATTAAAACTTTCAGAAATATTTAATAATAGGTTTTCAACAGTTTTTAGTTAACTGCCGATTGACAATGTATTTGGTCTTAGTTTTTTAATGAATATGTACAACTTATTTAGTTACGAAAATATATATACATCCAATAAAAATATTTTGAAAATTCATTTCATAAGGAACCAATAAAGATTTTTAAATTATTTTTTATGCTATGCCTATGCTATTGCCCTTTGTTGTCAAGCCCATAGACCTTCAAATCGGTGTGTGACCACTTGGTGGGTACACCAAAAACTCACCTAAACGGCAAACGGGAACAGTTGTGCTATCCGGCTTTCAGCCACTTGGTCACACTATACCACCATTCGTGTGCTCAGCAGGCTGATGTACAATAATATCTAAGTTTATCGAGTTCTAACTGAAAATAGGCCAAACAACGTTCCTTATAAGCCAAATTCACATCAGTGTTAAGTTTCTAAAAAGTGTAAGTTTTGTTTGCGGGATGCCCTGGGCCAGCTGCACGGCGGTGGGGGTTGCGAAAAATCAATTGGGGTTGGGGGTTAGGCGGCGGAGAAACGTGCCCCCCGCCCGGTGTTTAGCGGGCTCAAAAGGCGCCGAACGATAAGCCAGCGGAGTATTACACAATTTGTGGCGATACCGGCATTGACCAAACTCTTTTCTTGCAGTTCACACAAGACACATACAACCAAACGCACGGAGTCCAGCACGATGGCGATGACTCTGAACATTGGCTCCGTGAAGCTGACCAAGTGGCAGCTGGCGCTCATCCTGGGAACCCCTTTGGCCATTGGACTGGGCACCTATGCGGTGAAGCGGTGGACAGCTGCCCCCAAGGAGGCGGACGGGGAGAAGAAGCGGTCGAAGGCCAAGATCGAGAAGCAGGCCATCTCCCTGGACGGCACGGCGCCGGACAAGGAACTGGAGCGCAATAAGAAGTCCGCCGAGCTGGGCGAGAAGCTGTCGCCGCTCAAAGAGGCCAACAACTACAAGACGGAGGGCAACAACTGCTATCGGAACGGAAAGTACGACGAGGCCATCAACTTCTACGACAAGGCCATCGACAAGTGCCCCAAGGAGCATCGCACCGACATGGCCATCTTCTACCAGAATCGCGCCGCCTCCTACGAGATGCTGAAGAAGTGGTCCAAGGTGAAGGAGGATTGCTCCGCCTCGCTAGAGTACAATCCGCGCTACGCCAAGGCATACTTCCGACGTGCCCGTGCCCACGAGGCCACCAAAGATATGGTGGAGTGTCTGGACGATGTCACCGCTACCTGCATCCTGGAGATGTTCCAAAACAATCAGACCATCATGTTCGCGGATCGAGTCCTCAAGGAGACAGGCCGTGTGGACGCCGAGAAGGGTATGCGCGATAGGGTGCCCGTTGTGCCGTCCGCCTGCTTTGTGAACACCTACATGCGCTCCTTCATCGCGGATCCGCTTCAGTCCTTGCAACTACCGCCCGCCACGGAGTCGGAGGCCCCGGCAAAGGGCTTCGTGCGGGCCCATCGCGCTTTCCTCGCGGAACAGTACGAGGACATCATTCCCGCCTGCACCGAAGAGATTGAGTCCTCCGAAGCCGAAGCGCAGTACAAAGTTGAGGCTCTGCTCATGCGAGGCACCTTCCACCTCCTGTGCGGCTCTTACTTGGAGAGTCAGCAGGACTTTGATGCCATCTTAGGAAATGGTAAGATACTTATAAATTGCCCCTTTTCATTTAGTTTTTTGGGTATAATCTTTTTTGTCAACTGTTTATATCTTAAAGAAAAGAATTAACATAGACAGATAATCTTGACTTGTCTTTTGTATTTGACTATTGTTTATTAAATTAACTTTTTAACTTGAACTTCTCTCAAAATTTATAAAACACTACCGACCATTATTGTTGGAAATTTGATTTATTAAAACTCATCTAGTTTACTAATTTAAAAAATATTTAGAACGAAAATTAACTTCTGCAAGCCGATGATTTAATATTCTTGCTGTCAAAAGATAGATTTGACGCTATGTTAAACCATTATTTAAAGCAAAAAAGCTTTATAAACACATAGTTTCATGAAACAACAACAAAATCAAGTAAGATTATTAAGATTCGATAATTTATTCTGTAAATACTTCCTATTTAAATTTAAACTCTTAAATATATGATGTAATTAGTTAGAAATGTTTCATAAAAGAAAGCGATGATATTAAATGTCTTCTTTTTTCTTACAGCTGATGCTGATCCCAATCTGCGTGCTTATGCGTATATTAAGCGAGCCGCCCTCTTCATCCAGCTGGACGAGCGCGAAAAGGGAATGGCGGACTTTAATGAGGCGGAAAAGTTGAACCCCGAAAACCCGGATGTGTACCATCAGCGCGCCCAAATCCTGCTGCTGCTGGAACAGATCGATGAGGCTTTGGCCGAGTTCGACAAGGCGGTGCGCCTTGCGCCCAACCACGCCATCGCCTTCGTCCAGAAGTGCTATGCCGAGTACCGTCTGGCGCTCGTTAACGGCGACCAGCGGCGCCTGGAGAGCGTGATGCAAAACTTCGAGAAGGCCATCGAGCGGTTCCCGAACTGCGTCGAGTGTTACAGTTTGATGGCTCAGGTTCAGGCCGATCAGCAGCAGTTTCCCCAGGCGCAGCAATACTACGAGAAGGCCATGAAGTTGGCGCCCAAGAATCCGGCACTTATCGTTCACCAGGCCATCATGGTGCTGCAGTGGCGCGGAGACATTGAGTCGGCCGTTCAGCTGCTCAACAAGGCCATCGAAGTGGACCCCAAGTGCGAGCTGGCCTACGAGACCCTGGGAACCGTGGAGGTGCAGCGGGCGCAGCTCAAACGGGCCGTTGAACTGTTCGAGAAGGCGCTGCTCTATGCCAAAAGCCAGGCGGAGCTCGTGCACGTCTACTCGCTGCGCAATGCGGCGGTGGCCCAGATCAACGTTACCAAGAAGCTGGGCATCGACATGAACTCCGTTTCGGCCATGGCGCAGTCGGGTTTAATGCCACAGGGCGTAGTGTAGAGTTTGTTTTGAGAGATAGCGGAGCATTTAGCTAGACCACCACCAGCAGACCCCTACTCTAATTAAGTTAATATCGACCATACCTGTTATTTATATATATATATATATATACATATATATATATATATAAAGCTTGTTTACGTTTATGCTCCTAGCTATAGCATAGAAATTGTCATGTATTATGATGCTACATATGTAATCTAGAATCTGTTGCCTAAGGAACCCAGTAAGACAAAACCAGTAGCTTATGTTTTTTTAGCGTAAGATTAAACCAATAACAAGCGATTGTCCTTATTGTGGCTCTGGTTACTCCGGGTTCTCCGGCTCCTCCGGTTGGTTAAAGGCCTGCACATCGCCGGAAATGTAGCTGGCACCGATAACAACCAGGGCGGTCCTCACGCCGCTAACCAGCGCGTAATCCGTCTCCAGTTGCTCCAGATAGGGCATTAAAAGGGCCGGCAGGGCGCCCAATCCGCTGGAGATGCCCATCAGAGTCCCGGCATAGTTGGGGCTCATGTCCAGCGGCAGCAGCTTGATGCCACCATAGTAGGCGCCCATGGCCAGAACGCTCCAGATCCGGGCTCCGTCCTCCTTGCTCTGCAGCATGTACATGGATCCGCAGATGAAGACCAGCCAGGACATGAGGCGGCGGCACTGGGTGCGAGTGAGGATCTGCTGGGCGATTAGGTGATCGCTAAGGCTGCCCGAGCTTAGCGAGGCCAACCAATTGCCAATGTGCGGGGCGATCAGTGCAAATGTGGCGGGCAGATCTTCCCACAGACTGCTGCCCCGCGAACTCACTTCCTTCAGCAGAACCTGCAGCTCCTGGGGCAATTTCTGCTGGAATTCCTGCTGCATGGAGGCGGAGATAAGTGCCCAGAGCGGAGTACTGGTCAGCATACTCCTCCATGGAGCTGCGGTGGCTGCTGGGACCTCTGTTGCGTCTAATTCTCTGTTGGATTCCTCTTCCTCAGCTTCTCCCTGTCGTCGTTCCCTAACTTCTCTGTTGGAGATCAACAGCAGGGAGGCACTTGTGTTGCATCTAATGTACTCTCGCTCTTCGTTTTGGATAAATGGACAGAGGTCCGGCGTACTATAGCAAACAAGGGTCTAAAATGAAAAAAGGCATAACATTAAATACATTTTTAAATTATATTTTTAATATATTGTATATATATTCTCCTTTATTTTGGACCCTTAGTCCATTTAAGTCACACACTACACTTTTGTTACACCCGTAAGTAGTTAAACTCAATATATGTATCTATAAAATTAAAATATTTAAAAAAGTTTTGTAATAAATAATGGAGAGGATAGGATTTGGCAAGTCTATTTATCAGAAACTTTTTTTTAACTGTATATCTCGGAATATGATTTAAAATAACGAAGCTATCATTCTTTTGGGTTTCAAGAAGGGAAATGTTATATATATAGCATTTATTAGTGATACTTTCGAAAATTTTTTTAAAATTCGTTTTCCATTTGAATTAGTTTTTAACTCACTAGAGAAAAGTTTTTGATAGTATTATTATCTAAATGATAAGTGAATCCATTTAATGATAAGTGAAAACAAACATTTGTGGCTTCTGAATAAATGTAAATCATTCGAAAGTAAAAAAGGCCTGATAAACTCACAAATCCGAGGAACCAAACCACTGCGCCTCCGCCAACCAAGTAGAAGACCATTGGCCAGTCCTGATCCTCAATCAGTAGTCCGCTGACCAGCTGGACCATCGTAATCCCGATTTCGCCGCCACTGAGGACGCAGCTGGCCAGCATTCCGCGTTCCTGTTCGGGAACCCACTGGGCCAGAAGGGCACACACAGCCGGAAAGCAGGGACCCTCGCAGAGGCCGACTAGGAGGCGGACGCCTATTAGGGCATACGGACCGCCCCGACGAACTGCAGCGGGAGTTAGAAGCGTCAGCACCGCCGACGTGAGGATGGCAACTCCCAGGACCCACTTGCCACCGTATTGCTCCGCCAGACGACCACCCGGGACATGGGTGAGCACGTAGCCGACATAAAAGGCCATCACCACCAGGGATTGGGTTTGACGAGACCACAGTTCGGAGCAGCTGATCCCGTCAGGTGGATTTAGCTGTACAGGAGGATTTACTATGACAGTTTTCCGGCTCTTTAAAGGCCTCTTTTGGATTCCTTTCTTGGGCTCCTGAACCGACTGCTCCTTGCCTGCTTTTAGTCTGCCCCTCAAATGATTGTCCGACCGATTGAGTGTCATGGCCAGTTCCAAACGCCAATTGGGCAGGGCCTTGGGATTGAGCACTTGTGGCACTCTAGAACTCTGGTCCACCTTGTCGCCTCCACATTCCAGAACGATCTGGTTCAGCGAAAAGTCCAGACACAACCGCATGGTGTAGGCATTGATGATGGCCAGGAAGGTAAAGCAGCATAGCACCAGGCGCTGTCTCACTTCCAGATCTGTGGGAACGGATTGAATACCACCTGGTTGTAATGGATGCCTTGGAAATCCCTGGCCAATGCTCACATATAAACATATAGCTCAGCTTCTGCTGAACGGCTGGCAGCATTTTACTGACTTATTTAATAGGAACTTCCGTTAACAAAACCCGCCTTCTAAGTTGTATTGCGATAATGACATTTTTGAGATCTTCTGGATTGAGTTTCTATTTTTTATAAATGCTATACGCCTCTGGAACAGCCTACCACTCAACTTAAAAACTATTAGGTGCGCAACTCAGTTTAAATGTAACATTAAGGAATATTTAAAATAAAACGAAATAAATTTAAAATCAAAAGTATCAAAAACAAAATTATTAAATTAAACAGAAAAAAAAATAGTTATATTAGAAAGATTAATGCAAATTATTGATATTAACAATAAATAATGAATATATATAATATAATATAAATTTTGTAAGATTATTTAACTATTTTTAACCCATTTATATATAAAAGTCAAAAGCTGAAAAGATACAAAGGTCGAAGTATAGACATTTTGAACGAAAATGTATTATTTTTTTATAAAAATTTGACATTTTTTTTTACCTTTAAAGCAACACATTTTGTTTTACCAAACAACTCAAGTAAAAATTTTAATATCTCTCTCTGTCTCTCTCTTTAAGAGCCTAAAAGTATGCTAAGAAAATAAAAGTTATACAAATTGTAAAGACGATCGGTAAAAGTAAACTTACCAATAAAGTTATCCCATTTATGCAAAAATCAAAATAAGTTTCCATAGGGCTTTAAAATTGTACGAAAAGTTTATCCGTTTCAGCATTAAAAAACAACAAGTTATTTATATTTTAATTTGCTTTATACACTTTATTTGACTAACGTCATAAAAACAATAATGTCTTAATGGAACAGTTAAAAACACGTTTCACTTTACACATTGATCAACAATCTAAAATGTACAAATTATTTCATCATTTGATTAACAAAACGGCAATACGAGCTCTGTGTACACTAAATCCTAAACGTGAAATCGCTTTTCATTTAAATACTAAATAATAATTAAGAGAGTACGTGGCGTGCGCGGCTAAGGCAACTTTATGGCCATCCCAACCAGGACAGGAATACACATAGAAGTACACGGCCCACGTTCGGGAGTGTAAGTAAATTCGCTTAAATTAGTTGGTTGTCGCCTCTGCCAGGGATCGGCCAGATCGGGATCGGGATCGGGATCGGGATCGGGAATACTATAAAACTAGCAATCTGAACAGCAGCCACGGCGTATACAGTACAGTGACAATGGCCTTGGGATCGCCCGTTCCCGGTTCACGAATCCACATAGGCAGCATTTTAACTAGATTACAATGTATATATATGGCACTTTCGTTGGCGATCCGCCCTAAGAGCTGTGCGCCATACCCCTCGACTTTCCGGCACCGTACTTGCGCTCCTGCGCCTCAAAGTCCACGGTGCGCGGCTGGATGGGTGGGTTGTTGAACGGCTGCACCTCTCCGGATGCCCAGACGCAGTAGATGACGGCCGTGATGCAGAGCACACCGAAAGCCACCCAGAACACAAGACGCCACTCCAGCAGCGAGGCCTAGAAGTGATGAAAATGGGTAAGTTACAAAACAGAAATACAATTTGTAAAATGTATATATATTCTTTAACTATCCTAACCGCGACACATTGTAGTTTAGATGCTAAAAATTTACATCACCCCTATCAGGATTTTAATAAAAGAAAGGAAAAGCAAACGGAATTCAGCTTCAAGCAGCCAAACTCACCAATGGTGAATAAGAAACTTTTAAGGTTATTTAAATTCACATTGAAACAAAAAAATGTATTTTAAAAGTCTTGTCTAGAAGGATATTAAAATAAATTAATATTTAACTTAATAAGTTTTATAGAAGTTATTTAAGTAAGTTGCCTTAAAATACATATTTTAAATGTATTATCTAGAAATGAATAAAAAGAGTAAAGTGACTTAATCTATGAGCTTTAAGTTGCAGTTAAAAAGTTAAAGCAGTTCCAGTTGTTAGTTTATGGATCACTTAATTTTAATAGAGTGTGAATAAGGTGATCTAAGTTGAGTCATTTTAACTCCCCCTTTTATTAAAAACCAAATTACCATGACGGTTGTTGAACAGTACACAGTTGAAAATAACTTATTACTCAAACCAAAATTCCACTTTGAAAACGTGAAACAACATTTGTTTATATAAAAGCTGATTGCGAAGAACATAATTGGTCCCTGTCATATATATGATGACTCAAACCGACAGATATAGCAACACAGTACAAAAGTCAAGTGAAAATTTATCTTATGGAGAAGCGTAGGGTTCAAAATACATAGTTACAAAGATATTTCTTTGTTAATTTATAAAATTTGAATTATAATATCCAGCTGAGTGTACTTACATTTGGTGTCATCACGCCCACCAGATAGGGAGTTATCACTCCAGTGATGGCTCCAATTCCGTTGGTGATGGCCATCAAGGTGCCAGCATAGTTGGGACTCATGTCCAGAGGACTGAGTTTCATGCCAGCGTAGTACGCGCCCATCAATCCCATGCAGATGGTGAAGAGCACCACGACGAGGACTCGATCGCAGCCGGCGTACGAGGCGCCCACCATAAAGATGGCCGGACCGAAGGCGGCCAGGCCCGTCATAAACTTTCGGGTGTTGGTCGTGCTCATCACTCCCTTGCGGATCAAGAAGTCGGCCACGAAGCCACTGCCCACCGACACGATCCACATCATGATGTAGGGCAGCGAGGAGTACAGGCCGTTGGCCTTGATCGAGAACTGAAGCACGTCGGCCATGTACTTGGGCAGATCAGTCACCATGATGTAGAAGCCCCAATCGTGACCAATCTGGGCGGCCACCAGGGCAAACATGGGCAGGTTCGTGAGAATGGCCGTCCACGGTGTGGGGGGCAGGTTCTCGTTGCGACTAATGGTGCCGATCTCATTGGTCAGGTATTCGCGCTCGCTGGGCTTGATGAAGGGATGCGAAACGGGATCGCTGTAGCAGAGGAAGACCTACAAAAGAGGATACATTGCATTTAATAATATTCATGCCATTGAAAGTGTGAAACTATACTCACAAAGATGGCAAACCAGATACAACCCAGACCGCCAAAGAAGTAGAACACAAACTCCCAGCCGTAGGCGTCGATAAACACTCCCGACAACAGGTTGCCCATGATGGTGCCCACTTGACCACCACCCAGCACCAGAGCACCAAGCTTTCCACGTTCGTTGGCCGGCACCCAGGCAGCCAGCAGGACACTCAGAGCGGGAAAAGTGGTTCCCTCGCCCAGACCCATCAGAACACGGGTCACGATCAGCCAGTCGGAGCCACCTTTTTCGATGGCCAGAGGCGTCAGCATGGTGAACACGGCGGTGGAGAGGATGCCAATGCCCAGGGTCCATTTACCACCGAACTTTTCGGCCAGCAGACCGCCGGGAATGTGCGTAACAATGTAACCGATGTAGAAGGAGGACAGGATCAACCCCTGAAGCTCCTCGGACCAGTCAAAGTTGCCGCCATTCTGGTAGGAATAAAAAAGTATATCAGACATGATTTATTTTTATTATAAGAAACGTATTCCAAGACAATGCTTTCGGTATTCTTCAAATATTTTCCAGTTTAATTAAATAAACAAAAATTTAAAGCAAACTATATAATTTACAAGAGTAAAAAAATAATACTCAAAATAAGATATGTTACCCTACCTTTCAATGTTTTTTTTTTTAATAATTTTAATAACATGTCAAATTAAAATTAATTCTAAAGTTTGGAAATTCGAGTTAAAATATTTACTCTAGAATTTAGACAAAAAATAGGTCGAATATCTTATTTTAAGGATTAATTTTATATTGTACTAAGAGTTTTTCTTATACAGAAGGGTGTTCTTAACTTCATCTGTACATGATCTTGCTTGATATTCTATTAATAATATTGATTGATTTTTTTACTTTGAATCAACTTCATGGATCTCCACTTACGCTTGTGCCCTCGTCCAGGTTATCGGGTTCGCAAATAGCTTCAGAGTCGTCGTCCGTGGAGTTCTTCTTGATGACCAGCACCGTAATGGCCTGCGAAAGACAGACGCGCATTGTGTAGGCATTTAGGATGGCCAGGAAGCCCATGATGGCCAGGATCACTCGCTGAGGGATCACGAAGTCTGCGGGCGAGAAGATCGAGAGCGGAATTGACGTCAGTGGGTTTCTCTTCTTTTATTAATTAACCGGCTGGGCAACATTTGTCAACCACTGCGTCAAGCATTTTTTGAGCGGAATGGATTTGCGTCTCACATATTGTTTAAGCAATTTACCTATTTAATTTGGTTAGCGTGCGAATAAATAGTTTGACGGGTGGCTCAATTGGGTACAAATCAATTTGCGCTGATAAACTTCAAATTGCGCTTGATTGCTGTGGCACTATATCAATTAGCGGAGCTGCCGGACCCGATTCTACCAATGTTTTAACATAAGCAATGGGATAATATTGAAAAAAATGAGTTCTTAGTACTGCTAAATAACACTACGATTTAACTCAAGCAAACAGTTTGCGGGGAGCAATTGTTTGCCATCAGCAGTGTAATCCAACTTTTTTCTTAAATCATTTTTTTAATGATGTGAGGATGTAATTGTAAAATCACTTAAGTGAAAAATAATCGAGACTCTGTGATGTGCAATTTCCTTATTCTATAGTTTAAAAAATATGTAGGTGGTTGATTCAGCAGATTTCAACAAAATATAATTTAAATATCTAATAAATATAAAAAACAACCGCGATGCCACCTCCATGAGTATTTTTAAGGGTGTTGTCTGATCATTAAGTTTAAAACCAGTTTTCAATTAACTGAGCTACAGATTTAAAGGTCTCAACATATGTTAGGTTTTTTCAATTTTTTGTTTATCCAATAATGGAAAATTTGTTAAATTTAAATTTCTTTATATGAACTGGATAGTTCTAAAGTTCAAATACATAAATACATTTGAAATGTAAATAAAAAAATGTGTATGTTTTGTTCTTCAGTTTTCCAAAAAGTGATCTTAAAACTCTTTGATATTGAATGAACTCTTAACTTATAATAAATCAGCATAATACCTAACAAAATCAAACCAATAATCTTAATCAAATCAACGAATATTGTTGAGCACCATAAATAACGATTTTTCACATATTTTGATTAAATATTTTGATTAAATAAACATTTCATAAACCATTTGCTGATATATGGTGGTTCTCAATCGTTTGAACCCAAAACTGTGGAAATTTATTTGCTTTCATTGATGGACTTCAATTATAAATTATTTTATTGCTTATGTAGTTAAGTGAATGGCATTTAAAGAATTCAACAAATTATAGCCCCGCTTTGGTGCCCACTTCCTGTCTCGTGAGGTTTATGGCTCGTGTTTAAGTTTAGTGTGAGCACTCTGGCCGAAAGATTAGGGTCTATATTAACGGCGCTATGCAATTGTGATCACAAGTCCCTCTATCAATCACCAGGCACCGAATGGCGGGCGTAGTTTATATGACGCCATACCACAATCAAATTGTTAAGCGGAATTACGCCCAGATAACGCCAAGTGTGGCAGATCTGCGATAAATAACTGGAGTGCAGGTCGCGCAATCTCAAGTATTTCAAATTGGCAACCAAGACCAATGATCATAAACCAATGGCGGGTGGCAGGGCCATTTAAGTTATGTGTAGTACAACTTTATAGGGCTAAAAAAGAAACGACTTCCATATAAGTTGAAGGTTGAAATGATCAAGTTCTCAGACACGCTAGGTTAACATTGACCCATTTCATCCAAAAAAGATCTAACGAGAACGGCACGCAAAAGCGTTTTGCTAACAATACGGATCTCTGCATTCGAAATGAGCAAACAGCGCGGCTTCTTGGGTAAACACAGAATCAGAATCCAATTCATGATAATATTATTAGATCACCCACAGCCACCGACTGCTGTTGTTATTGACATTTAGCCACGACTCCGCCTACGTCAGATCCATCCAGCCAAGCACCACCCGCTCCTATAAAAGCCAAACAAACATGTTTGTCTTCTTAATGGATCGCGAAACTCCCTTAGTTTATGAGGGACAGGGACTGTTTCGCAAAAATTCCATCGACGTCACTCACTGACAAGTTTATTTTCCCTATAAATTAACATTAATAAATCTTTTGCTGCTGGCAAATTGCAGTAAACCAGTGACCGGAGATGGTAAAATTAACAGTATGTCAATATTTGACAGGTTACTTAACAAATTTCGACAAGAAAATTTATTCGCGCTCGCTCCACGAGTGTCAAATAGAAAACAATTCGCCTAATATGATTACCATGTGATAAGTTGATAAGGCCATAACTCGCCCGGGGCTGCATATATGTAAATGGGTGCTAATCATATCGCCGCCCGCCAAGTATGGTAATATTTCACCCCACCAATCACGCTTAGTGGCGTTAATATATGACCGCTCTCGAGTTAGGTCCCATCACACACGATAAGCCGTTTAAGATTTAATCAGAATTTAGTAACGCACTTATCGCGTAAATATGTAGAAATTGAAAGCCAAGTGGGAACCTTTCTGGGGGGAAGGGGAAACTCACTTTGCAATAAGATTTAATCAGTATCACCTATTTGTCATTTTAATTTCTAAGAAATATGACAATTGCTTTGTACTGAATTTTATTGAATATTATATGGCTACCACGACCTCGAGTTTAAATTGTCTATACTAATAAAGCCTTAGAGAAACTTTCTAATTATCTTGATTTAACAATTTAACTATTTTGTGGGAATTTTGTAAAATAATATAAGTCAAACAAATTAAAGTAGGTTCGATCTATGTATTTGTTATATGAAAAAAAAAACTTTCAAGTGCTGTATTATTTGTTGTTTTATAAAATAATCTATTGAAATATCTTTAAAACAATATGTCTTCATTCCTTACATATACATTCTAAGCTTAATATAATATTTTATTATGGGTTGTTTAATGAAGATCTTGTAGTGTACGTAATAAAAATTTGTAAAATTTATTTATATTAAGAAAGATATTAAAGAAAGTCGATTGCAGTGCCACTGTCCAGTCATAGTCATTCATATCCGTTGCAGTAATGAGAAAATGAAAACAATTTCTTCTGTCTCTCTATAGTCTGTTGACATTTCTGGGTCTGTGGCTCTTTGTCCGGCAATCGGCAGTGTCCGAGTGATAGCACGGCACGAATAAACACCATTTCTTTTGCTTGCATTTCCGCGGTCTTGCGAAAATTATGTCAATGGGTGGGGTGGGGTGGGGGGGGGGCAATGCAGAGGGTCGGATCGGATCGGCTCGGCCGTAAAGTGCGATTGCTGCATACGAATGCCAGATAGGCCTATGCGAGGCCCTTTCCATATGATAATGAGACTTTGAGCAACTCGGAGGGGCAATAGAACAAGGCGATTAGTCGAGGGTTAAGCGGTGCCCACTGGGGATCGTCATAGCTCAAAACTAATGCGTAATGCTGACTGCCAAACGATTGATTTATGGCCAACTTGTAAAGTTTCAGCTCATTAGGCGGGCCAAAAAATTAGTTCAAAATAATTACCCTTTAATTTACATAACTGTTTTCCGTTCATTAGACCAGGTAGTTGAGTAAGCGCTTACAACTTTTTGTTAACTTGCACAGAATAAAAAGTATACATAAGTTTAATATTTAAATTTCAGGATGAACTACTAGTTGTTGAAAAAGCTTACAACTTTTTGTTAACTTGTACAGAATAAAAAAGCAAACATTAGTTTAGTAATTAATTTTTCAGTATGATCAGTTAAAATTAGATTTTAAATGCTTACGTGATATTTCAAAATATATTTTCGTGAAGCTCTTACAGAACAAATGGGTTGCCCAATCGGACGAAAAAAGCCAGCGGTCGGAAATCTTTATTGCATTGACCTTGCCCAAAAAAGAAGAGAGCGAGATGGGGCGAGGAAATGGGCAGTGCCATAAACGGTTCTACAAGTCCATAATAACTGTTAACGTTTTAATGATCGTAATCGAGGAGTTGAGTTCGAGAACCGAAAAACAATAATACCCTCAGTTGCTAGCTTCTAACTGCTATGTTATAGCTTCTAGCTTCTGGCCCAACCCACCGATTCCATATGCAAATCGTATGCAAAATATTTACCAATTATGCGTGCCGGGAATATTAAGAGCAGCCACCAAACAAACAAAACCCAAACAAACGTGAAATGCGAGACACGAAACACAAAAAATCGGAAGTGGCAAAAGCGTTTTGTCATTGTTTTCATTTATGCATTATACAGCATACACATGCGCGTATACATTTAGGATTTTACATATATTGCTGTCGGTCAATGTCGGTTAACCACTGAAATATTTGCGTAACCGCCTCAAGAATGCCCCTTCAATCGGATCGCAGTTCATTGATCCGCACATTCTGGATTCCGATTCCGCACTTCCTTATACGATAACACCCGAGAGGATTCATTTTTTGGCTGTTATTTTTGGCCATTGGCCAACACTTACACCTCGATAGGCTTATGCCCCATTGTGGTTGTTGTGTCATCTCGGGACTGTTGGTCTGCTGCTGCGTTAACAAGCTGGCCAGTTCCTTCGCCACGGTTACGAGTTAAAGGACAACACCGCCGGATCCTTAAATCTTATAATAGCGCGCGCGCACTTAACTCTTCGTTTTTTTTTTTTGCCGATTTCGCCGCGATTTCTATATCGGTTTCTATATTCCTTGCACTTGGCGCAAGCGCAATTACGAAAACGGAGATGGAGCGAGATGGGGATATATGACACTTTCGGTTCGGCTGTCGCTTTTTTTTCGCTCTCCTGTCAAAAACAACTGTAAAGCAAGAGCAAGTGATGCCAATACACTCTCTGGGTTCTAATTCTCTGATCCGCGCACGCCGCCTGCCAAATTACAAATGAGAAATTATTCCCGCCGACTTTAGTTTATATGAGAGCAGATAAGCGCCGCTCCGCTGCTGCTGCGCTGCCAGCGCCTCTGCTGCCGCCGGAGTTTTTTTTTATTAGCCACCGGCCAACGATCGTGTATCGCTATATTGACAAGGAGTTGACTCGTTATACTTGTTGTACATACTGCCACAATTGAACACTGAGAAAAAATAGTTATTACAATAATTTTATGTTACAAATTTTAAAAAAGCTTTTATCTGGAAACAAGAATAACGTTAAACGTTAAATTAGATATATTTAATCCTACATTTAAATAGCAATGTAACTAAAAACTGCAAATTTATTCGTAATAATTTTTGACTCACATTCTTGATGAATATTCTTCTTCTTGAATATTGCTCAATTGGGCACTTAATAACGTTTAATAAAGTTAAATTTTTTATAAAAAGTTTGCTTCTTTAAATTAAGTTTACATCCTATCCCAAACTTTATTCCAAAAGGGCCCGCCACCTAAAAAATAATTTAATTTACAGAAAAAATTAAGTTGGGGAAATCGATTTTATTTCAGTATTATGAACATCAATTTTTAAATATTCATTTTTGTATTAAATCAAAAGGATTTCCTTTAGAAACAAACATGGCCCAGAACATTTTATTTACGAATTCATTGTTATAACAACACCAATTATATTATGAAATCCCAAACGAAGATGATTAAATTAAATTTTGAACTGTGTATAAACTGTTTTTTCTCTGTGCATGTACGGATGAATGTTTGAAGCACTGGCACATCATAAAAACTCTCGCTATCTTGACCGATCCGATTCGATCGACCATCGGGCCTCCGCATGCGTAGAGCATTCCAACAAATGCAACCTCTACTGAAACTTTCAGCTGCGTCGCCAAGGAACTTTGGATTATTTGGCCATTTGAAGCTCGATTTCGATTTCAGTTGGTATCAACGAACAACCAACAATCGATTCCGCGCTGAATACTTAACGGTTTTCCGCCGTCGCAGTCGCAGTCTCAGTCACACTTGCTCGCGCTCACTTTATAGTTAGCGTTATAAACGGCCAAGTCTAAAAAACCCACCAGACTATGTGCCAAACCGTGCACCCTGCTCTAGTTAAGAACTAGCGAAACCGGAATACACGAAACTTTTGCCAATACAATGGCCCAGACAATAACGCCATTCACCAATATTGGTGGCTGCACCTAGAGAAATATGCCTTTATTACCGATTTCCCCAAAACATGGTCAATTGGTCAATTTTCTCAGAACTTTCCACTAAGCGAACTTTATCTTTGGTGTTTTCCAAGTATAATCATAAGTATGAAATTTTGAAATTCCATGTTGCAATTAATGGCAAAGTAAGTTAGCAATAAAAGCCAAAGATAAAACAAGTAGTCTCGATAATTAAATAGACATACTTATTTTTAAACATATTTTATGATAGTTTAGCATAGTTTTAGCAAAACAATAGCATACAAGAAAACTTGCTGCCAACAGACTTTGCTTAGTATATGTACGTTTTTTATAAATACAATTTCAAGAACATTTACATTTTTTTATACACGCGGCAAGGTATTCCGTCTGGATATAAAAACTATATATATATATTTTAAAAGACACATAAGTATGGCAGATTATTCTGGGGAACAACAAGACATATCTTTGTTTTCCCATTCAACAGTGCCATGCATAAAATGGGACTTTGATGTTCACAGACTGCTGATACTATATTCCATTTTGAAGATATTTTACAGCGATGATACCCTACACTCCGCTGTGTAGGGTATACTTTAGTAGAGAGCGACAACTTGTGTTGTGGCTCCAATAGAATTAGTTTAGTCGTTGTGCGACTAGCTGTTGCAGTAGTTATTGCTGTTTTTGTTGCACGTTTAGTTAGCCAGCAGCGTTTACCGGTTAGAGGCGGGTTTTTGACTTTATGCAATGCAATTAACTACGAAACAGCAGGCGGAGATGGGCGGAGGGGGGAGGTGGGAGGCTAGCGGTCGCGAGAATAGGGAACGCTTATCGTTTTAATCGGGTGAACCACCTCAAACCGCCCCTGACACTTCTATTATACGATCCGTATTCATTGCAGGCCACTCGAATGCCATTTCAGTTTCAGTTTCGATTTCAGTTTTATTTCGCTCGATTTGTATAAATACAAATGTACATCTGCATAACTTGATGCACAAACACAAAAATTGACGTCTGACTCAACCAGTTACAGATGCGGTTCAATGCAGCTAAGCTGCGGCCTAAAATACATCCATATTTTACGTTCTATATATATATATATTTTTAGGAGGTGACTGCTTTAATTGACTGGAGCATTGTCAGATCAGTTAAAAATGTACGCGTGATATATATTCTGTATGGCAAGCTAAATACTTAGTAGGTGTTCCGATGAATGTGTACTTTCGTACGTCCAAGTGAATTTAGCTTAAGATTCGACATGTGCATTATCTGAACTGCAATCAGTCCATTATCGCTGGAAATCTAATCCACTGCCAAGCACTCTCCTTGCGAAGTATGCCATGTTTATCAGGTAAACTTTGCCATTCTTATCGATGGCACAATTTGTCCGGACTTAAGATCATCTAGGTGACAACTGCACACCTATCATAGTCTAGATAATTTATTAAGAACTCGAAAACTGGCATGAACTGGGAATATTCCATCTCTTGGCTAATGAATAGTGACAAACTTCAATTAATGCTCAACCCATCAATTAGGCGCACGCACATATGATCCAATCCATTCCGGACGAGCCATGCAATCCGATAGGATCCAAGCACTAAACCGATCCGGACTGATCTTTAAACTCGTTTTTTTGCGTTGTCATTTTGAGTTGACTTTACCAAGTCAGCGAACCATGCTGCGCAAAATGAGACTCTGCAATTGAAATGTTTGTCCAAATAAAAATATATTAATATTCAGAATATATCAACAAAAATGTAAATTTTTACCGACTGGGTCTAGAATCTAGCTAAAACTGGCTCCAACGTCCATGACCGAAAACGCTACCAGCTTGAACTGGTAATCGGACAATCGGACGGACGGACGGACGGACAGACGTCGCGGCAGACAGACACATAGCACTCAATATTTAACTCGCATACCAAATATTTTGCGTTATATACTATACGGCAAATTAATTAAAGCGGCCTGAAAGTCTTTTATATTTGATGTCCATTAATGGGGTGCGACGGGTGCCAAAATATATATATATATATATCAAGACAACATAATACTCTGGCTGAGGGTATTTAACAAGTGAAATATATACAATGGAAAAATAGAGTAATCAAAAGGAAACACTTTTTAATGGAATAGGTATACATAAGAAACAATAATTCCTTATCAATAAAGCAATTAAAATTCATGCTTTAGTCAAGTCAAAAATATTATGCTTTTTTTCATAGATAAGGATTAAAAACACAAATATATACTACGTTTCAAGTGTATTTGAAACGTCGCTTTGCAGTAAACCAGAATTTTGCTGTCAACATTACTCCCAAGACCTTTAATTCCATGGGCGCACAGCATATGTACATATGAAGAAGAACCCGACCAATTAAAGCCACGAAGTCAAGTGGAAATTTCATCTCCGCATTGGAAACAGTGTCTGTAGAAGGACTAAAGCCAGGAGGGTATCAATCATAAAAATATGTATATTAATTTTATAAAAATAGCATTGATGTGTTTATTAAAGAGCATTTGGCTGCTGGGCACCGATTCCCCGAAAAGGCAATTGAAACTGGTTAAAAAAGATAAATTTCTCTAAAAATTTGTTATATAAGAGATACCTAAAATTATCATATACTATCTACTAATGGGATCAAAGATAATGATCATATAATCTAAAAACAAATTATATATGTCAAGATAAGATATGGTATCCCCATCAGTTTATTCCAGCTAAGCTGATCTAAAAATTCCAAAGTTTTAGTGTTAAAGTATAATTGCATTTCCATACGCACAGAAAAACTAACTCTTAAATTTTATGGTGCATAAACAGGGCAAAAACATACAAAATTTGTATGTGAAATTACATTTGTATAAAATGTTTTGACAAGACAGCAGTTAAAACTTAAGCTTGTTTTGCCTAGTTATGTATGTTGTTTTTGCTGTTTGAGCAAAAACTTGAGCATAGCTCCATACATTTCAGACACATGTCTCTAACGAGTTTGGTTGAGCTTTAGTAACAACCGCAAATCATTCAAGCGAAATCTTAACAGGTGATCGACATCTATTAAGGCGAGAATAGTTTTAGCTTAATGCAGTAAATAAGCACTTAAATAATTAAAATAGCTACCACAAATAAAACGAATCATCGAGGCAAGGAAATTGCCGCACAATTGACATTTCGAGGGTCATCGATGACGGGAAAATACTCGAGATCTCACAGAAATAAAAAATGTAGACCGCGAATTCGTCACGAGACTCGAATTATTTGGTTAAATTGGAGTGTTGTACTGGATTGGATTGAGTGATCGGGGCGAGGAGATATGGATGGGGTTTAAGTGATTGAAGGCTGACTACCATTGGGTCACGGGGTTATACGAGTTCTGGGTTTTTTCTCTGCTCTGTTCACCGGGTAGGGAAAAGGAAAAACATTGCCATATTCGAGGCGGTCATAAAAACCAATATTAACTGCGGAACGGGACGGCCAAAGTTGGCTATCTTAAATATGCCTTTTACAATGGTACTAACCATAATATCGGTGCTAATCTTTATAGCAGCCAGAGGCTTTAAAATGCGACTTTTGTACCAAGGCTCCAAGGAAAAGATAAGATTGTCCCTGGGAGGAGGACAGGCGGGAATCTCCGCTCCAACTTTGGACAAATAGAGCTGTCAAATCTAAGGCATAAAGCTCAGCAAATCACATGCCGGTTTAAAGAGTCCACACTAATACCGTATAATTCTATATATATACCTGCATATATACCGTGTGTCGGGCGGGCGAGTCCCATTGATACAGATTTATGGGCTGGAGTGCGACCATTTGGGGTGCGTCATCCACAAGGTGTTTTAATAACTTAATTGGTAATATTCGTTCTGATCACAGGCAGTCGTGTGCGCCGCTTTATGAGTGCGCTTTAATTCGCAAGTCGGCAAGGGAAAGTGCCAAAATCAATTGCCCCCGTCGTATATAGGGGTATTTTTAAAAATTCCATTATTCCCAAAGCCGGGGGCTGGCATTCTGCATCGATATATGTACAACTTCATGTACTATACAAAAAAAAACATGTAATAAACAAGAACATTTTTAACTTGTTTGCACAACTCATTGGAAAGTGTGAAAATTGGTAAGAACTTTTAGCAGGCAAATACGCTCTTTTTCTGTTGCTCCCCTCTGATCTCATACGAATCACTTAATTGTGGCACTTTGCAAATATGTGGTCCGGAGTGAATTTCCTAAGAACATCTGGACAGGTGAACCTGGAACCGGAGACAAGCCTTTAACACGTGATTCTGATATTTATACACAATATTTAAGCACGCTAATTTTTGCAAAACGGAAGTGAGTTGGCTGCATCGGCTTGGGAAAGGTTCGCCGGATTGTTTTGGGGCAGCAAAACCAGTTGGATGCCAAAATCGCACTGCTTATACATAAATAATATTGCTACTGTACTCTGACCGCGAGTAAACAGAGTAATCTTACAAATTTTGGCCCCTGAAATGGTTAGATGTGATAAAACTCGAAGACCTTAAAGTTGGATGCTTTTTCGTAGTTTCTTTCAAGTGCCGAACGCAAACAAAATATGTAGAGGGAGATGGTAAAATGCGGTCTACATTACCTCATTGATAAGATTAGGATTTTAGATGAGAATGCGGAATGCGGAAAGCTGAGGTAGGGGAGCGTGGGAATTTCCATGAGGACAAAAAACACATTAAATGCCAACCAAACAAACACTTTTTTATTTTGTTAAATATATACATATGTACGCTTAAAAGTGACACTGTAAGTAAAGATAATTTTAAAGTATAAGTATCTGTTGATATGGTAATAATGAAAATGTCTTACGGTATTTACTAATTTCTTGATGTTTAATTTAATTTAATTTGTTAGTTAAGGAAATATGATATGTATGTCAAAGCTTAGAATAGTTAGAAACCAAAACTTAAATTAGCAGATCTGTTCTCAACCCAATACAAACTTTTGTTGACCAATAATATATATTTGTAATTATTTGATTTTTAAAGTTCCCAAAGTTGACCGCTGATATTACGCCCTTTGATTACATTTGCGATTGTTATCGGTCAAGTGTTTCTCACATGCGACGCATGCCCAACGTTTACAGCTGCCATACAGGAAAGTATTGACATCGGTTGAAAACGAAAATGTTTGCTCAGCAGTGGCAAACACAAATATCGCTTAGCAAATTCCTGGAATATTTTCTTAATAATACATTAATAATAACATAATGTGTAAGAATTTTTTCTTTACTATGTAATGCACCGGAAACAACGGACATCAGTAATTATTCGTAATAGTAATACTAATTCGTACTATGTTAATAGAAGGGAGAAGGCAAAATTTACATTTTTTTTCAGAAAATCCGAATTTTTTGATTGAAATAATTATTTTTATCAAAGATTTACTGATTTTATTGATACATTTTGAATTGAAAATTAAATCTTCACGGCTAATGTTCTAAAACAAAACGGCAATAAAAATCAGGTGTATGCAGTATTTGTAGTCGCTTTCCGGGAATCCTTGCCAATTAAAATGATTGTTCCTTGTGGACCATTCAGTTCCAGGCTCTCGGCGTGATTGATTAATCTTAATTATTTATTATTAATTATTTAATCTTTAATTATTTTAAATTTGAAGTTCGCAATAGTTGGACTAAAAATGTACTTCAGTATTTTGTTGTGGTATATTTTAGAACGCCGCAGTTGGTCACACTTTTTGAACAGCTGATGGGTGCTCTGTCTCAGGTTCGCGAAAAAAATCGCAGCGTTCTTTGATAAGATAACAGAAAATCCTCGAAACACCCAACAAATCGAAGAGATTAACCGAAAAAAGCTAATGGCGGAAGGCGGTCGAACCTCGCCCAGTCGAGAAATGTGATTGGGCCGCTGAAGCAGGCAGCATCAGCAGGATTGCATAGTTATCCGGTTGGAGCAGCACCCCCGCAGAAAAATGGACGACAGCGAACTGATTTGGCACGAGATCGGAGTGGATCCGCAGCATGTGTGCCGGGCGGGCGGCGAGGGGCGTTTCCAAGTGATCTGCGACAAGGCCTGGCTGCAATCGCTAGAGCGGAACAGGCGGCTCACCCACTTTCCCAGCTGGCCACTGTTGGATCGCAGAGCCTATCCCACGGGACAGCTGGAGCATCCGTGGACCCGGATTCTGGTGCAGACGTACCGCAAACAGCCGCAGTCGAGGGTCTACCCGCTGCCCAGGATCTCCGCTGAGGCGTCTGCGTCGGCGGACTTGCCACTCTCCTATTCGCAGGCCGTGTCCTTTGTGGCCCACAGCAACTTTAAGCAGCTGTGGGAGGAGGCCTACAGGAAGTACAATGGCGCCCATGTCAAGCTCTGCAAATCTACGCCCACGGCATCCGCGGCCAAGCCACCCAGTGGCCAGGGGCAGGGACAACTGCAAGCTCATGATGTGGTGCTCAAGGAGCTCATCCAACGCGTCTACCAATGCCCCGTGCTGCACTCTCAGTTGGATCGCGAGGGAAATGGTGACCCAACCACCACTACCACGTCGAATTCCCAAGGCAACTGTCACGCCAACGTCTTGCCCGCCCTGGTGGCCATCGAGTCCTCGACACACTTCAGTGTCTTCTTTTATCCACCGGCTCTGGAATGCAACCTTTACGATTGCATCACCTTCAGTCCGGCACTGTTGGGAAAGAACTACAATAAGACACTGTTTGTGATCTACCAGATCCTCCAGCTGGCCAAGCATCTCCAAGGACAGGGCATCTTTCTGGGCGATCTGCGTCTGCAGCATATCGTGCTGCGCGAGAATCTCTGGCTGCAAGTGTTACCCCGGCTGCAGTGCAATCTGCTGGAGGATGATCCAGCCGGCGAGGATATGTCGCCACTGACGCCCATGGCCAGCGAGGATTTGGGAGAGACGGGGGATGCGCAGCAGCAGCCACGGCCCTCCAGCAGCACCATGTTCGACCTGCGATTCGCCTACGATCCCGCACACTTCAATCTGCGCGAGTATGCCGAGATGTGGTGTAATGGTCAGTTGTCCAACTTCGACTACCTCACCATCCTGAACAATGCGTGTGGCAGGAGTCTGACCAATGCCGCCCACCACCACATCATGCCCTGGGTGACCGACTTCAATGGACGCGGAGGAGCCAATTGGCGAGACTTGACCAAGAGCAAGTATCGCCTGAACAAGGGAGATGTGCATCTGGATCTCATGTACGCCCATGCAAGTCAGCATGGAAGCGGAGACGGCGGCTACCAACCTGTTGGCGATCAGGCGCCCCACCACGTCTCCGACTTTCTCTCCGAGATCACCTACTTTGTGTACATGGCAAGGAGAACGCCCCAGGCCATTCTCTGCGCCCACGTGCGTCCCATCTGGGTGCCGGCCGAGTATCCGGTGTCCATTCAGCGTCTACAGGAGTGGACGCCAGACGAGTGCATACCCGAGTTCTACTCAGATCCCATGATCTTCAAGAGCATCCACGAAGATCTGCCGGATCTGGAGCTGCCCGCCTGGGCCACCTGTCCCGAAGACTTTATCTGCAAGCACCGCGAGGCTTTGGAGTCCCAGTACGTCAGCGAACGACTGCATCACTGGATTGATCTCAACTTCGGGTGAGTATTCTTTGGAACAATACATATATATATATAACTTTAGGGACTTAAAGCACATGACGATTGAAAATTTTAGATTGTTATGTGTTCACTGCTTAGAAAATATTGATTTTGTCTTTCTGTCACTAATTTTCCTATATCCCTCAGATACAAACTAAGTGGCAAGGCGGCGGTTAAGTCCAAGAATGTCTGCCTCACGCTGGTGGATCAGCACAGGAATCTCAGCCAGCGCGGCATCGTCCAGCTGTTTGCCAACGCCCATCCTCCGCGCCGCTATGCCACGCCCTGGTTTAGCAAAACCGCCCCCAGGCTAAGCCAACTGTATGCCAGTCCCTCGAAGCGTCTGGCCAAAAGTACGGAGAACCTGCAGGCCGAGACTGCAACTGGATCGTCCCATCTCTCGCTGCGTCTGGGCGACGATGGATCCAGCAGCTCTGTGCACAGCAGTTCGGCCTCCGCTTCGGCTTCTAATTTCTATGCGATTACAAACTTTATTGAACTGCCGGAGAACTACAATCCCGCGCTGCTGCTTCAGAATCTGGAGACTCTGGAGGCGTTCTATGCGCGCACCTTCCCCCAGCAACGACCGACGGCTAATCCTGAAGAGAAAATGATCAGCAGTGATCTTCTATTCGAACAGAACTCGGCGGATCACTCTTTTACAAATCAGTTGTTCGCCAGTGGCGGAGAAATCACCACAAAATCAAAGAATCTGCTGAGGGAGAAACGGAATTCACTGCAGCAACTTGTGAGTGGCAGGAGGGAGCGTGATCTGCAAGTCCTAGGATGCCTCATGGTGGAGCTCTTCGCCATGCCACGTTTGCGTCCGCTTCTGATGGGAAATGGTTTGAGTGCCGCCTTCGAAGCTCGCCTCTCCGCCTGTCGAACGGTGGCCCAGATGCATCGCCAGGAGTTACCCAAACCAGTGCGTCGAGTGGTGCGTCTGCTGCTGCAACTGGAGGATGCCGGAGAGGAGGATCAAGGGCTGCCACAACCGACCAGTCCGGCTCAGCTGGTGGAGCCCATGTTCGCCAACTTGTTGCTCCCGTTTCCCAGCCACTACATGGCCGTGTATGCTCTAGTGAGATCTCTGCACGCCTTCGAGGCCAATGCAGTGCTGCTGGAGCTGCACACCCACTTCAGTTGCAAGGGCGGAAGGGAGTGCACCAGGTACACGGAGATGGACCGCCAAAGAGTGCTATTCGAACGGAAAATCGCCGAGTGTAAGGTCATGTCGTGCTGTGCCCATGCGAAGAGGCTTCTCGAACCTGTGGCCTTTGCCTACGAGCAGTTTACGCCAGTGGAGTTGCTGCTGCCCCACATCATCGATCTGTTGCGGGACGAACGTACATCGATCTTGACCGCCTGGAACTTGTTCGATCCCATAGCGCAGGCTTTGGGCGTGGCCCAAACCCAACAGCATCTGCTGCAACCTCTGCTGAAGCTGTACGACGTTGAGGGGATCACTTCTCCGGAGGATGGTGGTGGCTCCAATGGCTCCAGCAACAGTGGTGGCCATCTACGCTTCTCCGCCAGCAGTTCGTTCAAGTCGAGGAAGTCAGTGAAGCTGTATCACCACAGTTTCCTGCTCCGTTTGATCGTTCGCTTCGGACTGCGGTGCTTTCTGCATCACTTTATAGCACCGCTCATAGAAGCCGTTGGTGGCTACAAGGAACCGGAACAGGGCAATGGCTATCACTACCACAGTGGCGGCAGCAGAAGGACGAGTAAGAACCTTAACTTTGCCGCCGCCGAGGAGGAAGTGCAGCACGTAAGTGAACCAGAAGCGCAGAAGCCCGACATCGAAGAGCTATTCACCTTCGAGGATGATCATGACAGGGCGTCCATCCAGGACAGCAAGTCCATCGACTCCTTCGACATGCGTCCCAGCACCAGTGCCGCCAGTGCGGAGGAGGCTCGCGAGTCGGACGGATCGCCGGATAAACTGGTGATCAATGAGCTCATCTACGGAGCCAGAATATCGCCGGATAAGCTCTCCCTAAGGGAGGGTCAAACGCCACCTGCTCTGGTCCCACCTCCACTGGGACCACGCTCGCCCACCATCGAGATACCAGTGTGTCCCACTGCCGGTGGCATTCGTCGCAGTTTCCAGCTAAGCGCCATCGATTGTGACATCGGTTCGCGCAAGAGCGTGGACAGCTTTGAGCTGATCAGTCAGGCGGTGGAGCAACTGCCTCCGCCTGCCGTCGACAGCGAAGCGGAGGCCACGGACTCCCTACAGGCATCCGTAATCTCTCGGCTGTCGGAGGCCAAGGCCGTGCAGAACAACCGCATCAGCGAGATGAGCGCCGAGAGTCTGGTGTGGCTGTCACATCGCCTGGGTCCGGTGCTCACCTCTCGCTTCATCACCAGGAATCTTCTCAAGCTGCTCTCGCTGTGCTACGTGGGCCAGGAGAACCTGCTTCCGGAGATGGACGATGGTGGCTTTAGTGGCAGCCCCGAGGCGGCCAACCTCAACTACTTCAGCATTGCCAATGCGAGGGTCGTCGGGGATCGCAGTGCGGCTAGAGTTCTGGAGTGCCTCATGTCCATAGCGGGTGAGTAATGCACAACAGCAAATGGGCATAAGTGATGAGCCAGTTAAAGGGGCTTTTGAAATATTCCCAATGCTTTAAGACTTTGTAAAAACCAATGCTTACTTCCCTTTTAAATCCAATATGAGTACCCTCAGTAAAGAATTTATATCATTGACTGCGTCCATGTTCTACTTGTATATGCAAAGAAAATATTACTCATACCTTATCAAGTTATTTAACTTAAAGTCATTGAAAAAAACGGATGAAAAATAATTTAAAAAAAAAATTGAAAAATAGATAAGATAAATGTGATAAATATCTCAAATTAAAATTAAATTAAAAAAATTAATTGTAGGTCTAAAAGCATAAAAAAGCATAGAAGAGCAATGCATTTAGTCAAAAAAAAAATCATTAATAAAAATATTTTTATTTGATTTTTAAACTATTTTTTGCGTACTATGATTTTTTTAATTTTCCCTGACTTTCGAAACAAAAATCGCATTTTTTTTCTTCTACATAAGTTTAGATTTGTAATGATATAATCAAACAAAAGAATAAAAAATATGTTTTTCTTAAAATTGAAAAAAAAAAAACCAATTACCAGAAGCTGATGAAATATACATAACATAAGTGAAGTGGGAAACTAAGCTTAACTAAGCTTATATTACATATATTGTATTTAAAGTCCATGTTCTAATCCTGGACCCCCTTCCATTCCAGCTCTCTATGGTGAAAACTTCCTGCTGCTGCAGTACTTTCCGCACATCAGCGAACTGATTGGACTGTGCTCCAAACGCATAACTGGCAGCCTGGAGGGAGCCATCATCAGTTCGCTGCAGCTGCTCAAGTACATGGTTCCGTGTCTGACCGATGCCAGCATTATGGAGCATCTGCAGCACATCCTGCTGGAGGCCATTCTTCTGCCCATACTGCGTCTGTTGAGCTCCACCAATCTGCTGATGCCAAGTGGTTACCTGGGACGCTCGTTGCTGGCACGAAAGTTTATCGACGCGATTTATGCTCTAAGTGTACGCCTGGGATCGGACATGACCCGCGAGCATCTCTGCCAGTCGCTGCTCAGTCCGTTCTTCCTGATCTTCAACAAGGCGTTTGGTCTGCCAAATGATTTTGCCTGCGATCTGGCCAATCTTTCGCTGGTTGGCGGTGCCTCGCAACAGGAACGTGCCCTGGCTGAGTTGAGGGATGTCTTTGGACCGGAGCTGGCGCACACGGCCTATCTATGTTTCCTTCGTTTCCTGGGCGAGGCCAACATGAAGCGGACTCTGTCTAATCTGGAATTCGTACTGACACTGTGCCACGAACACGAGCAACCCAGTGGTCATGAGCCGAGCAAAACCCAACTGGCGACCAGTGTGAGTTCAGGACAAGATGTGGACACTGTAGATGCCAGCTGCCAACTGGCGGCAAATAGCTTTGGCACCCAGATCGTTGGAAATCGCCTGCAGGTGGCCAGGAACAATGTGGAACTGATCGACATGGTGGCCTACAAGCTGGACCAGATGCCCAACACTCGGCATCTGAAGGGCAACTGGTTGGCCTACTGGCGCAACGAGACGACGCGCAGTGAGAAGGACAACCAGACGCTCAATCTCAAGCAGATACGGCTGCAGTCCTTTGTGGGACACACCAACTCGGTGAGGGCCATCTATGCCCTGGATAATGAGAACAGCTTCATTTCCGCCTCCAAAGACAAAACCGTCAAGTTGTGGTCACTGCGCAGCGAGGGAGATGGCCGTAAGACCAGCGCCTGTCAGTTCACCTACACGGCGCACAAGAAGTCCATTAATTCGCTGGGCTTCCTGGAATCCTTGCGCTATGTGGTGTCCTGTGACTCGGGCATTCATCTGTGGGATCCATTCATTGGCAGACCTCTGGGCATCCTCGATGCTCCTCGTCACAGTGCCGTCACGGTGGTCAAGTGCCTGCCGTCGCATTCGCCGCTGGTAATAGCCGGCACAGCGGAGTCCACGGTGAAGATGGTCGATGCCAGGAGTTTGGAGTACGTGAACGAGTGGCGGGTATGCAATGCGGCCCTGCCCAATGCCACAGTTCGTTGCCTGGCGGTGGCTCCGTCTGGGAATTGGCTGGCCGCAGGACTCTCATCCGGCGGCATCGTTCAGCTGGACACGCGCACTGGGATGGTGATCAACTCGTGGCGACCCATGGAATGTGATTTGCTGCAGTTGACGGCGCCGAGTGATCAGTTCCTGGTGAGCTCCGCTTTGGATCACAGCCTGGCCGTTTGGCATGCCCTCGATGGCATCATGCACTATCAACTTAAGTGAGTTTTCGATCTTATCAAATTGGTTAGTGTCTAATAGTGTATTATTATTTTGAATAGACCTCCTCCGGAACCCGCCCATTTCCTGCAGAGTGTTGGCTCCTCTTTGGTCTATGCCACCACTGGCAACCGTGTCGGCGTCTATGCGGATGTGGCCCATTGCCACGCCTTCAACACGATCACCAAGCTGCGGTCCGAGACATTCCGGGGTGTGCTCACCTCCCTGGCCGTTTTGCCCCTAAATCGAGCCTTTCTCGCAGGCAACGAGAGCGGCAACATTGCCCTGCTTTGCTAGAATAGGGGGGCTATTGCTTGTACCATAATATGATATTATAATCTAGTTTATTTTATATCAAATTGCACCAAATATTACTTTAATGAAGCCAACACAGAGACCTACTGCCTGACCAAATGAACCTATTTATTGAGTTAGAGCGCTTGCAACACAACATTTGAATTTACGACCGCACAATTAACCACTTTTAGCAACGTTCTTCAACCATTAAGAATTTAGTTCTTTTACTCGAAGCTATAATTACACCATGTAAGCATTCCACATCCACACTTTGTGTATAGTTATATTTATGTCTGTACAAAAGAAGACAAAATTGTATTTACAAAATATCACTTAAGCTGGAAAGAGGTCAAATATTTATATAGAAATATACGAACGCAATACAAAAATAACCACTTAAACGTTGTTTGATTTTTTTTTAATCATTCCAGCATTTAGTTTTTCTCTGTGTTTTAGTTTTTATATCGAAAATTTTAGATCTCGATTTCAAATCGACTTTTCTGTTAGGTTTTAATTTTCCCATTTATATAATTTTTTTAATTCCAATTTTTGTAACCGTAAAGTTTTATAACAGTTTCGAACGAAAATATAGTTCGTTGTTCCAATTTTCTGGTCACAGGATTATAATTTTAAGGGTTTTTAACCTTATTTTAATTGTATACTCTTTATTATATAAACGGTATAGCTTAGTTTATTTGTACAAAAATCAAATTGGAGAACGCCGCTGATCGGAGAATTATGCAATTAAATTCTATCATTTGAGTTCCATTGATTGACCGCAAGGGTATTCAAACTACATCTTACGGATTTATTTTAAATTATCGTAAACGGAAACATACTCATTGCACTGCCCTGTGAATATCATATACGCTATGCAACTTTCGATCGAAGTCGTAACCCTGAAACCAGTTTGCGGGACGCAATCGCAATGATTTGCTCGTTCAATTTTCGCTGTGCGCTCTTTTCTTGATTTCCTTTTTCGCATCGCCTTGAGCTGGGCCAATGAACTGGCTGGGAGCAGCAGCAACAACAGCACAGCAGCAACATCCCAGCAGCAACGGACATTGCATCCGACGGGTTGGGATCTCGATTTCCAGGGTTTAAGCGGGATGTGGGGCGAGTGTGACTACACACAAAAAAATAAAATTGTACTACAAAACGTAGAAAAATTATTACTTTACACTTTGCAAAAATTGCATGTATATTTTTGTTTGGTTTTTTAAGCCGTAGTAGAAAAACTATTTAAAAACTATTATTTTGGGTCTTTGAATAGCAATATAAAAATTGAAATTTAAAATTAAATTTAAGATAACCCATTTTAATAGACATTTGTATATTAACAGCTCAGTGTTTAGACTAGTAATCTGTGAGTCCCGAGCTCAATTCCACCTTTGCAGCAAAATATTTTTTAAATAAAAAAAATAGTATAATAAAAAATATAAAAAAAAGCATATAAACTGTGCAAAAAGAGAAAGAACGATTTAAATAGTTGAAGACAAACTTTTTCGAACCATTACGATTTTTCTTAAACATTTTATAAGTTATCAACTATTTTCAAGGCAAATTACCTACATATATGTTATGGGTTGTGGGATTTTTTTTTCTGTGTACAGCTGAGGATCGTCCATTCGGAGGCGTTGCATTTATTTTTGGGCGATGCCGATGAGGAGATGGAGATGGGGACGTTGTCGTCCGTCTCTTTATGGCAACTTTTTTGCATTGGCAATTCTGTTGTGCTGCTGTTGTCGCTGCACTTTCCGCAGTCTGGAGTCAGGTCGACTTATGCGTAAGGCAATGATTCTGGGCGCTTGTTACAATGAGGATTTACAGAGGACAATAGTGCGTCTAACTCCAGCAGCACCACTGCCACCCACTTTTGGCCAGTGGGAGTGCGACCCAGCAAGGTGGCTCCATTTTACGGATCTGGACGGGATTCGGTTGCTCGGTGGTGCCACAGCGATGTCACCTTGAGTTTAAGGAGTCGATGTCGGTGCAGTGCGTAATCTGCGGAGGGGATAATGAGGTGATTCCCCACCAACTCCCCTCCACTCTGATGGAGCAAACTAGTTGGGCCATCGGCACTTTTTTCGCCATATGCTGCCAAGCAGCTCTTTTTGCTTAAACGATTCTCTGTATGAAAGGAAGGTCCAGGGAAATTGTTTTCAGTGTGCGCCCCTTAAGATCCACAATCCATTATGATTACAACTTGTGCCAAACACCAGAGGCTCACTTTTAGTGAAATTGTTTTGAAGAAGAAATTTCTTTGCTTTAAATTTAATAATTATGAATGTACATTTTTAATGAAGAGATGTCTGTGTTACTTGTGAATTTGTTTAAAACTTATTTCAATTTGGGAAGTCGAATTTCGTTTCTTTTTTCTACAAATTGTATTTTAAAACAATAAAAAAACACTTCCAATTATTTTGGACTCTTAGTAATGTTATCTTGAACCATATTTTTTTTTTATTGTCAATAAAAAACATACATATAAAAAATATGAGCTTTTGCACCTGGAGAAGCGACCTGCTCCAGTAAAGAAAGAATCAACGCCATCGATTCACCGACCACCACCAAAAAGAACTCGCCCAGCTTTAATGCAAATGGAGCAGGAGGAAGTGGCATCCACGAGAGCAGTACCTACATAGCGATCTGCTGAACGTGAACAAAGTGGAGAAGCACACGTTTATACTCCGAATCAAATCTCAACAATCCAAATAAATTTCACAACTCGCTGCCGGGCAGCGTTGCAAACAGCGCAATCAAAATATTTACAGTGGATGTGGAAGTGGAAGTGGAAGTGGAAGAGGAAGTGGAAGCGGCAAGTCAACCAACCCAGCCATAACGTCATTATCACGAGCAGTGAGAACGGAGCCAAAAGTAACACAAATGCCAACGGCACGCCACCCACGAAAATATGTGGGGAATTCGAAATTTGTGCATGAAATTTCACTCAGCTGCCCGAACAGGCAAGCAGCGCAAAAAGCAGACGGCTTTGTTATGCTAGGAATGCCATTGGCCCGTGGAACGCTCGACCAGGGTTGCCGCGCGGCCGTCAGACCGACGGCCACCTGTCGCGCCTCGATCCCGTCCGGTGGCCTGACAACCCTGGCCTCGCCCACAGCGGAATGCCGAGCGTTACGAGATTCGAAATATGCGGTCGGGAATGCCGCCCCAAAATTCCGAACAGGCTGTTCGCGTCGAATGAGATAAAGATAGAGAGAGAGAGAGCGGGATAGCGAGAGAAGCGTTGCCAGAGCTGCCGCTGCCGGGCTCGAACATTTTGGGACCACAAAATGTTACCAACATACAACCGAAAATTATTACCAGGCCTCCAGAAAAATGGAGCGTGTCCCAGTGCAAATCCACCCCCCACTAGTACATCGCACACTGTGAGGCGCATAAAATGACTACAAAATGTTACCATACACTCGAAAAACCGCCTAGGCGCCCAGGAAATGCAAATGCAAGCCGTCGGCGCAGCGGGCCGTGTGTGTTTATAAATTCAAGACAGTTTATGCCATCAATTTTATAACTCACACCCCCAGCCGGGGGCGTCGAGTCAATAAATTCTCGTCGGCCGCATACGTATTTTATAGTCGCACATTGCAGATCTGACATAATAACTAAGAGGAGCGCAGAATGCGTAGCAACTGGGCTGTTAGCGCAATTCCAAAGGCCTCTTGTTGGTTTCGGTTTCGTTTTTGGTTTTGGCTGGGCTTGGGCTTGGGTTTGCCTGTGTAATTATCTGGCAAACACACTGCTCTTTTCCCGCTCTTTGGGGCGTTGCTGGAATTCTATAAAATCGAATTTTTAACGTTCAAATGATAACAGAGTCGCAGGATAAGTGGGTGGAATCCCAAACATCATCTGTTATTGATTTCCGTCATGTTAATGCTGTAAGCCTGCTGCTAGTTAACAGGCGCCCACCCCATGAATTGGCATTATTAGGACGATCATAGAAAGACGATTAATGCCGCCAGACGGAGACAGAATGGTCGGCTGTCAGATGTCGCTTGTCTGCAACGAGAGCAAGCGAGATGACAGAAGGAAAAGGTGGGTGCCCTGTGGGAAATGAGACGGATACTTAGGTCACAATGGGAATTTTAAATTTGGTGGTAATAATTTGTGAGATAATGCGAAATTTAAAAATGCAATATCTATTGCTTTTGAAAATGAGCAGGAAGGAGTTCCCTTTTCGGAAATAAAAATGTCAATATAAATATATGTATAATATACAAACAAATTTAAAACAACAACCATTTAATAATGTGTATATCGAATGTTACAAAAAAGCAACAGACAATATGAAGACAAGTGAAATTATGTACCAAAATAAACTAAAACTGCAGCTGCAAAAAATCAAAAATGAAAATGGAATCAACAAAAACTTATAAAAACAAGGTGTACCTTATTTGTTTGAAATCACCGAGTTTTAGGTAGTAATATCCCTTCACATTAAAATGTCGTTTTGTTATAGAATAATTTTAATAATAATAATTTTAGTTTAAAACAATTTTAAATTAATACTTATGATGATTTTTATTATAATATTTATATCAAATGTATTACTCCATTTTATATAATCGTTGCCGAGTCAGAACAATTCTCTGCAGCTAATTCGCAAGAGGGCTTCAAGGTGCTCGACAAACGAGTGTGGAAGCGAGACGACCGTAGAGTGCCGCCCATTCAGTGGGCAATTTAAACTCGTATGGATTTCAGTGCGAGAAACGCAGCGGCAATAATGGCCGACCGACCGCCTCTGCGGCGCTGAGCGCCTGTTCGCAAACGATTAAATTCAGTTTAATCATCCACTAAACAGCTACGATACCGTTTCGTTCGTTATTATTATTATTACACACACAATAAGAGGAATGTCGAAAACGACACACCAGAAAGCCAAAGCCCCGGACACAGGCAAAGCAAACGAATCGAATCGCTCCGAGGCGACAGCACTTCAATTCAACGCGCAAATTGGATTATCCGGAGAATCGAGTGGGTTGTGGTGGGAGGGGATAGGGGATGGGGTATACCACACCAGGCAGATGCTGCATGCACATCTCTCTATCTCTCTAATCCCGCACTCTCTACGCTCGTCTCGCTCGCACCTGTGGTCGCCGCTTCTAACAGCGTTTCTATTGAGTTTCCATTGGAAATCTAATCGCTCGCTAGCCACCCAGCATGCTGCTAAATCTCCTGGAGACCTAGTAAAAATGTTTGTTGTTTCTTAAAGAGCAAGAAGAAGCCCCACTTCGCGCCACTCGCTCGCACCGTAGTGGTCGCGGTCGTCGGGGTTTTGGTCTATATCTACATTCATATGTATATTGAATTCCCAGTGGTGCTGGTGCGGGAACAACTGCAACATTGTTGCCATGCTCCTCGCTCCGGATTCGATGGCCCACCACTCCCACTCGGCCAGCCAATCACGCCTTCAACGGCCGCGTTTAAATGTTGTAAACCGCTGCTAACGGCTCTGTTCACCTGGTAGCGTGTGGAACATTCGCTGAATTGAAACGCCGCTTTTCGTTTTCGGATTGGTTGGATGTGCGCAAGCAACAAAGAAGCACAACTTCTTCAACCTCGCCGGTGGTTGGACTGGCCGACTGGACTGCCACTGCCACCACCACCTATTGAAATCGCCGTTGCCGCCGCTTTTCAGTCTGTTTCTGCTTCTGTTTCCGATTCCGTTTCCCGAGTGTGCGCTCTTTGTATCTGTCAAACCCAATTGTTTTCGATTAGCCAGCCTATTGTTTTGTAGATAGGAGGGGTTCATGAAAACCCCTAACTCTAGTTTGATTTTGGGGGTAAAATAAATTAGAAATTAGAACAGATACAACCCGAAATACATTCTATTCCACCATTTTTAAAATTACATATTTTTAGTAAGAGGGGAAATGTCTATATTATTTCTTATATTACTAATTTATACGTGATTACCAAAATATTTGTATACTATCTTGTCCTAACACTTCTTCCCCAAAAGTGGTGAACAACCATCCCTATTTGGATAACATTTATGGTTTAACGCCTTTATAAAATATCGTTTTAGAAATTCTCGTTTTTTGTTTAAAAGGTTTTACATTTTTTTTATAAAACTAACTTGTTAAAATTTGAATAATCAATTATTTCGGACTACAAAATATAGTTCTTATGCAAGACATTACCAACACATCATTTAATTTAATTAAGCAGGTCAAAAGTTACTTATTTTCTCATCAATGCATGAACTTTTGATAGACAAATTTATTTTGGAGTTTAAATGTGTATCTTGAAATGATTAACACGGTTAAAAACGGTCTATAAGTAATAGCAAATTTAGGATGCGTACAAAAATTTAGTGAACTTGTTAAAATTCTGGTTACGTGAGGGAAATTTACTTTCAAAGCTTTAACATTTTTAAAAAAGATAAAAATGACTGATTGCATAGTTTTTAAACTTTTGTGGGCGCTAATAATTAATCATTTTGTAAAAAACAAACATTGATTCCGCCCTGTTTTTTGTACAAAAAAGCCATGTGTGATTTTTCAATGCCAACTTTTTTTGGTTTGTATTTTTGGAACTCTTTTAGTTCATTGCGCCTTAGAACTAATCAAATTATACACTTATAATCATGGTTATGGTTTCACTTCGTTAATCCATTTGACGTTCCATTAGTTTTGCACACTGAGAGCCAGAGTATCGCCGCTGACACTGGCCACGGTCTCCTGGCCAGCAGATGAGCCGGATACGGCCTGCTTCTCGCGGATTCCCAGCCATGGCAGCCGGCGCTCCAGCTCCAGACGATACTTGGGATGGCTGGCGGCATAGACCCAGGGATCCAGGCAGGACACCGACTTGCAGAACAGGCACGGAAGCATCGAGACGATTGGTGTGATCAACTGCTGCTCCCCGAAGCATCCAATTAGCGCCACCACCGAGTACGGGGTCCAGGAAACGATGAACAGCATGTAAATGATCATAGCCGCTTTGGCGATCCGCAGTTCCACGCTCATGCTGTCCGCATTGGCATTGGCCGATAGCGACTTAACGTTCATCTTCTTGGCCTGATCCGCCAGCATCTTCTCGTGATCGCGGACGTGGGTGAAGAGCTTGTAGTAGGAAACGATGATCATGGTCATCGGAATCACGTAGGACCACACGAATATGGTACGCACAAATAGCCGGTTTTCGTCCGTGTTGGTCAGATAGTCGAAGGTGCAGGTGGTCAGGAAGCCCTCTGAAAATAATTACCATGTTATTCTTTATTTTTATACGAAACTTAACTATTGGTTACATCAATTTAAACCTATTGGCTATGACACTTTTCTCAATAAGATGAGTGTTAAATTAATACCACGAAAGTATTAAATTAAAACGTATGTGTTTTTTTTTTGCTTTTATTTTCATCCATTGTAGTTTTTAGATATTAGAACATTAAAAAAAAAATTTTAAATTATATATGATATAGCTTATTAGTAATTTTTTCAGTGTTTAATAGCTCAGAAGCCTAAAAGCATGCAAAGAATTACAAAAACTAAAGTAGTTTCCACTCACCTGGTTGATAACGTCCCCAAATCTGAAATAGGGGCAATACCGAAAATGGCGTGGCCCACAACCAGGTGAACATTATTAGCAGAACAATCTGGCCATAGCTTAACCGTCCGTCTATCGGGTTTGATATTGTCTTGTACCGATCGAAGGCAATAAAGGCATTAGTTATGGAAGCTCCCATTCCGGAGATGCCTCCGTTCAAAGCGTATATATCGCATCCCAGATCGCCTCCCACTATATAGCCAACCGTTGCGTTGAGCAGATAATGGGGCATATTGGTGCACATGAACAGATCGAATATAGCCAGGTTGAGAATCAGCAAGTTAGAGGGTGTACGCAAAGATTTCGATCTGCATTTTCATGTATTATTATCAAAATGTCAAAATGTGTTATTTATTTTAAACACTTATACTTACGTGGAAAAGATCCAGAGAACCAGTCCATTGCCGAAAATACTTGAAAGCATAAGGACGAAATAGGCAATGTAAAATCCAGCATGATAGTAGATGGGCGCCTCTCTGAATCCCCGCCAATGGGAGTGCACCATGTGTTGGTACTCCGCCGGATATCCATGTCCCATCGGGAACACTCCTCCATCACCAGCGCTCTCGTTCACATAGGCCTGCGGCCCACTTGGGCCGTTGAGGTGCATCCTGTTCCTGCTTGGTCCGCTTCCGCTCCAAAATTCAGTTTCCTTTGGAGCCCAACATGCTTGCCCCTGACTTGTGTCACCTATGGCCTGGGGCAAGTTCTGTCAAAATGCTTTTATAGCACGGCAAAGAATCTAATTAAGGCGGCTTAAGAGGTTCAAGTTTAACCTTGGGGTGCGTGTGCAGCTTAAGGCGATAATCCCAACGTCTTATTTGAGACTTAAGACATTTTTGCGGTGCTCAAGTTACGAAAGTGAGCGTCAGCAAAAAAAAAGGTAAACGTAAGTTTTTACGAATATTTAAAATTATTCCTCTATTTACATTTTAGTACAATTTCAGCATTTTAAAAAAATAGTTTTTCAGATTTTTTTAAACTTACAATTTTTAATTGGTATGCCATTATTGTAATTGTATTATTTTAATTTCAACTAGATAAATTAGATATATATTTTCTAAATACAAAAATTAAATCTGACAAATTTATTTAAACTATATATTACGTTTAATTATTTTTATGGTAAGCTGATGATAACTTCATCGGCTAATTTAAATTAATATATAATAATTAATATTCGTTAACTTATTTTGAACTCTGTAAAGATAATATCTTCAAAAAAACTATAGTTACTCAGATTAATTTTTAGTGTTTTTTTTTAGTTACAATAATTATATTATTTAATAGTTTCTTTTTTCTTCAATTGGTTATTCCAGTAACGTATTATGGTTACATACCTGAACTTAATTTTACTGCATTTTTATATTTTCGTCCCTTTTTTCTAGCTGGGACTACATATTTAAGTGAAAAAGTCGCTACGTTTCTCCATATTACACGCGATTACACGATTTGAATTTCCCATTTTACTGTACGACCAGCGGCAACAAGTCAAATTCGAAATGTAACGTCTCGTTCTGGCGCTTGCAGCGACAAATGCGGGTGCGAGCGAACACTTGCACGACATTTTCCGACATCGAGGGACCGGAGCCCAGAATGAACCGACAAGCGGATTTCGGCATTCGCCTCGAGCGAGCGACATTCACATTAATCTTCGTTTCCGCGGGTTTTGGCCGGCTTCGACCTGTTTCTTTCAGACGCAAAAATGCGCACCGGCGCCCAGCATGCGAAGACGGGCGTCAGACAGGGATGGCACTAGGTAACAATCCAACCCCGAACTGCATGACTCCGCGGGCTGTCTCGCTCTGGCAACCGGAAAGAGCGAGTCCTGCTTGCGCATTCTGTGCGCCTGGTTGGTTCGGCGCTGTCATTTCACAATGACCCACCTTCACGACTGACAGCGACGGCAAAAAACGCGTCGCGACGCGACTCTTCGCCTCGCGCGATTTGTGCAGTTTCCGTTTCTGTTCTGTTCTGTTCTTGCGGCGGCGGCCTGTCGTTTGATTGTTTGTACAACAAAACGGTGAGACGGCGGCGACGGTGTTTTATTATATCAACAACAAAAAACAAAAACAGCAACATTTTCATTAGGCGGCCAGAAAATATCGTACACATGACGACAAGAACAAACCGACAACAACATCTCATCGCCAACAGAAACAACATGGCAAGTCAAAAAACCCACGGGTAAACAGGCGAAAGCAACAAAAACAGGAGCAACAACAACGAGCCCCACTTGATTCGCTTTCGCTCCGCCTTTGTTGCGAGGCGGAATTCGTTTTCGTTGTGAATTAGTGTGTGTGCGTGTATCGCTGACGTATCGAGAATCGTGCGAGGGTAGGCGGTACTCTGGGCACCCTTCTTTTAAACGGAACGGTAAATACACTTTGTTGATTGGGTATATTTGGAATATTTAGATTCGGTTCTTTTTAAATGATTTTCAGTTTTAAATTTCCTTTTCGTTTTTGCAACTTTTGATTATTTAGCATACAACAAACATTTACTTTACAAAAAATCATGAAATAAAAAAAAAATGTATTTTTTTTTTTAAGTTTGCATGCTAGCACTAGAGCCAATATACCCCAAGTTTTGTAGCTCACCGCGAGAGCGAGACCTCTGCTGACACTCAGTCAGCCTCGATCTTTTTCTCTTTCTGGCATTCTCGTTCTCGTTAGCCTCGCCTGCAAATATTAACCTTCGGCTGGTTAAGCGCTCGCCTTGACCGTAATTTCGGGGCCGTTCCCATTGCCAAGTGAAGGACGCACCTTGAAACTCAAGGATTTTGCGAATTTTGCGAAATTTCGCAAACATTTTCGGCAATCAGTAGGTCAAAGCGAATTTTTGGCAAACTTCTGGGTGGTGGTGGTGGGGGAATATGGGGGGTTTTTGCTCGACTGTCGATGACATAAGCAACACGTACATATAATCTCCAAATGGCATTGAGATGTGCCGAAACAAGTTCGCCATGTTTTGTGGAGCGTTTGGTTTTTTCGGTTACTATTGGGGAATGGGTGCGGATGGGAGGGGAGGGGGGCAATGGGGAGGCGGTATATTCACTCGATGCGTGGCAGGTTAAATGAACTCTCGCCGGGTTTTCCTCGACGCTATATTTCGGGTGGCCCGGCAACCAGCTAAGCACTTTGTGAGCCTCATAGCACAGGTTGTGATTTGAGCTTTTTTGGAAGCTAAGGTTAAGGTTATTCGCTAATTGTCGACGCGTAGCGGTAACTAACCACAGTCAACCACCCAAGTGGGTGTGGCTGCCGCGGTCGGTGGTGCAATGGCACTGGTGCGGTTCATTTCGCAACGGTTCGATGGTTGATTGGTACATTGGCAAGTGTCAACGCCTCGCTTGTCCGTCCCGGCACTCGATAGTGCGGTCAGTCAGGCCCCAAAATCCAGTTTCGGTAACAGGGGCGCACGAGCGAGCAGCAAGTGGACGACGCCCCAGCATTGGCGTCATCGCCGTCAGCGGCAGCGGCACAAATCACATCCACACTCGAAGTTCCCCAAGCATACCATTTGTGTTTGGTCAGGGCGTGGTCTGCCAATCGACTGGCCAGTGGCTCTCCGCTTTAAAGGGGAATGGGTTCGGGTTTGATCGGGGCTTCTCCGGGGTAAAGGGGCTGCTCCACAACGCCGACTCAACTTGGCAAGCGTCCAAAAGGGCCAGGCATGAAGTAATTTAGAGCGTCGTCAGTGTCAGGGTCACTTGAACTGGTCCTTGGCTTGAAGCGTATTTGGTTCAAGGCTGTTCTCATGGCTCACAGCCATGAGAGCTGGTCAAGTTCAAGTGTACAGACTGTACAGGGCTATTGATGTTTTCAAACGAAAAAAATACAAAAATATTAATTATCTTGGAATTTAAAATATATTTTACAAATTAGTGTAATGAAGTAATTTAGTAAGTTCCCAAAGTTGCTTCTCTTTAAGAAATATGCATGGTTTTTTGCTTAACAAGAATGGTAATTACATACATACATAAAAAAAAGTCGTTATTTTTTTATAGATCAAAATGTTATTAAATTATTATTGCACTATTGAGTAATACCAAAGAGGAATTCTTATAAAATTAAAATATGTCCTCTACTTTCTATCATATATGAAATTTATATAAAAAAAACTATATAAATGTAAAAATGTTTTAAACTTAATAAAACAAATAATTGTTTAATTTTAAATTAAAAAAAAAAACATTAATTTAAAATAAAGTAATTAAACAAAAACTATTAATGCAGCGTTAACATAAAAACTTGTGGTTACAGACAAACCCACATCGCCTCCATAAAAAATACTCACAACTGGACGCTTAATTTGTTGCCCACTTAAGTTGCGCCTGTTAAGCAGCTCCCGATTGGAGCAGTAGGGTTGCTGGCCGTAAAAAAAAGCCAAGGCAAACATCAAAAGCTGACCACACGCTGTCCAACTGACCGACCGACCATTGGAGGCAGAACGGACGGACTCGGATTCGAATTCGGATTCGGACTCTTGGAGCAACGCCAGCACACACGCAGGCAAAACTGGTTTCCCCCTCCCATTAGCCCCCTTTTCAGATGCTTCTTCTTTTTCCTTGGGGGCATTCACACACATACACACACACACACACTCATATACTAGCAAGGCGAATAGTTGTTGGATCTTTTTGCGCTTTTTTTCAGATGTGGAGACGCTCTTTGTGGCCCGCTGCTGCTTGCCTGTTATGATTCATGTGGGAAAACGTTGAACGCCCACAATAATGGACGCTTTTAGTCCGCTCTTTGCCTTGGCTGTTAGTTAATCGGCGGTGTTAGGCGATAGTTTTGGCGCATAATGCCGAACGAGTGGTGCCGCTATTGCTGCGGGCCCAGTACAAATTTGTGCAATAAGCAAAATGACGGGCACAAAACAAAATGTCCGGCCGGAGTGGGCGCCCGCAACTTCCGCCGACGGCGCTCTACATGGTCCGCGCCGCCATCATGCAGTTTCTAGGCCCTCGCCATCTTATCGCGAATACCATACTATACCATACCATATACCAATACCAAATGCCACAGGCCATATAGTAGTTCATAGTCGTAGAACAAGCGAGAGCGTTTGGGGGCAATTTTCCGATTTCTGTTGGCCTGTGATGTGAGCAAACAAAATGACTGCTCAAAATTGAGCAAAATGTTCGAGCGATTGCAGGGGCGAGTGTTTGCATTAGAAATTGCGGTTCAAACAAACAATGTTTTGGTTTTGGTGTTGTTGTTGTTGTGTTTTCTCCGCTTGGTGTTGCACAGTGGAAACGAGAGCGAGATGGCGAGACGGCAAGAGGGGCGCAAGAGGGCTCGCATTTGTGGGCGTGTAGCATTGGGGTTTCTTAGCTTTTGCCCTAGGGTTTTTTTCTTTATTTTCCACAGTCCCCCTTACCAGGAGGTGGCGCCCTCTGGAAGTCAGTCGTTGAACCAGCCAATTTGCTTCGATTGCCCTTGGTCCAAAAAAAAAAAGTACCATCGAACGAGAGCTAAAGGGAGAGAGAATACAATTGTTTGCTCAGCTTAAAGACTTTCAATAATCACCGGTTTTGGCCTTAAACTGCCGCAATTTGTCAGCTTTGGCAATTTCATTGCTGACACACACAGACACGCACACACCGGCGACCAGTCACATTGAAAACCCCTGCCATTGCGACACTACCGTCATCTCGCTCGCACTCACACGTCCACCGCTCGTCACGAATTCGCTGCCATTTCGCCGACCTGCTCGTTCTGGGCGCCTGGTAAAAAAGAGGGAATTCACTTTTGGCGGGGTTCTCGTTTTTCCAATTTTGTCCAATCGGCCTTTGTGGGCGCTGCTCTGTCTGAATTGCCGCTCCGCCCGTCCAACGAGTCCGGGCGGCGATTGCTGCTGATAAGGCGGGCAAGTTGATAAGGCCTCGGCATTTAGGGGAGTAGTTAGTAATTTGCGTTAAATGGGCAGCAAGCAGCCAAGCAGCCAAGCAGCAGCGGCAGCAAATTAATTCGCACGGTAGGCGTGGTTGCAGGCCTCCGCCCACATACAACAAAACAGCACGTGCCGTGCCGGCGATGCGATGCCATGCTTTCGGAACAAAAGTTCCAATTCCGATTGCGATTCACAACGAAATTCGACAACGGCGACAAGCGATTCGCTCCACGGCTGGGGAACAAAATCGCCCCACACACGCCATTTGGCAGGTGGGGACGTGCACCGGCCCGTGGTGGTGGCGGACTTTTTCAGACACGTTCGGTTTTCGGTTCGGTTTCCACCAGGCGATCAGAAAAAGCCGACCGCATGCTGGCTCATCGCATAAACTGGCCGTCGCTCGCTGAAAAGCATCAGCTGCCGGGTACAATGGGGTGCGCTACGATAAATATTGCTTGAATTTAACGTGTATTTGGCTGGGCACAATGGGCTTGGCGTTTTATTATTTTATTAATTTCCTTGCTGTCATAAATACATTTTTACGTTATCTAAGTAAATAATCATATATAATTTGACTTTAAATGGGTGCGGAAATCAATTTTTCCTCAACCTAGTATTAAATAAATGATAAAGGCGTAGTTTTCTACAACATAGGTGATAAAAAAATATTTAATAATAAATTGCATAGAACTCTTTTTAATTTTGTTTTTTAGATTCACTTAATTTAAATACAACGCTTCAAAGGGCAACTTACTTATTTTTTTAAAAAGAAAATTTAATTGTTTTGTAATTATATCCCAAGGTTCATAAGGTGGTATCATTGTGGGTAAAGTGTGGCAATAGAAATTTATAAATCAACACTATATGTAAATTATCTGTGGCCAACATCATTTAAAATTTTATTATTTTATTTTAAAAATGTAAAATATTAAAATAATATAAACGAATTTTTGATTTTAATACTTCGAGGGTATTAAAGATCGGCTTACACCAGTTTTAGTGTAATTTCGGATTATTTGGGTGTTGGCAGTGCGGTCACACTGAACCAATCAGGTGAAAGCGACTTCGGAATTATCGCGCGACAGAGCGATAAGTTTAACGACTGATTAGTTAACTAGCGGCGATCGTCGAGGTGAAAGTTCACGCAGCTCCAAAATGTCAGCAAAGGCAGTCAAGTCCAGCAAGCCCAGCGCCTCCAAGGAGCCGTCGGCGGTCACCAAGCTCTACCTGTTCGCCTACAACGCCGGCCAGGTGGTCGGATGGAGCTACATCCTGTGGCAGCTGGCCAACTACTACCTACTGCAGGGCCCCGAGTTCCGGGCAAAGGTCACGCTGTGGGAGTACACGCGCCTGGCTGTGATTATCTTCCAGAACGCCGCCTTCGTGGAGATCCTGAACGCGTCCTTCGGCCTGGTCAAGTCCAATCCGGTGGTCACCGGTTTCCAGGTGTTCAGCCGCATGATGGTGGTCGTCGGCGTGGTAATGGCCACGCCCACTGGCAAGGTGTCGCCCGGTCTGCCCATCGCCCTGCTGGCCTGGGCCATCACCGAGATCATTCGCTACGGCTACTACGCCCTTAACATCATCAAGGTTGTGCCCCACTTTGTGGTGTTCCTGCGCTACACCACCTTCATTGCCCTGTACCCCATTGGCGTGACCGGGGAGCTGCTGTGCTTCTGGTGGGCCCAGAGCTACGCCCGCGAAAACAGCGTTTGGAGTGTGGTGATGCCCAACAAGTGGAACGCTACCTTCTCCTACTTTGGATTCCTGTGGATCGTCATGCTGGGCTACATTCCCATCTTCCCGCAGTTGTACCTGCACATGTTCGCCCAGCGTCGCAAGATCCTGGGCGGCGGAGCAGCGAGTGGTGCTTCATCCCAGAAGAAGGGCAACTGAACCTTGACCAGCGGCAAATGCAAATTATTATTGCACCATTTGCATATTATTGGTCGACGTACTTTGGAGTCGTTTTCGCTTTTCGGGGTCTCTCTTGTCTCACCTCTTACACAAGCGCACATTGATACGTTCGGACTAAGCGTAGTTTTAAGTGGTTTTGTGTACAAATAAACCTAGATACTCTTCCAACTAATTTATTTTCCCTTCGCTTTCGACGAGAGTGGTGTAACAGTAACGGCTTACATATTAGTATATTAGTGCTGAGACCATTGGATGGTCTTTAGGTCGATGCCCTCCTGGACCATCTCCCACAGCGGCGACATCTCGCGCAGCCGCTCCACATGTTTGATGCACTTGTCGGCGGTGTAGTCCACCTCCTCGACGGTGGTGAAGCGACCAATGCCGAAGCGAATGGAACTGTGGGCCAGATCCTCGTCGGTGCCGATGGCCCGCAGCACATAGGAGGGTTCCAGGGAGGCGGAGGTGCAGGCGGAACCGCTGCTCAGGGCCACATCCTTGAGGGCCATCAGCAGGGACTCGCCTTCGACGTAGGCAAAGGACAAGTTCAGGCAACCATTGTACGTGGCGACGGCATCACCATTCCTGATGACATGCGGCAAGGCACTCGAAATCCTGTCCAGCAGGCGATTGGAGAGAAAGTCCACCCACTTCTTGTCGTAGTCCATCTCGTGGAGGGCCAGTTCCGCAGCAGTTCCAAGACCCACGGCCAGCGGGGCTGGAACCGTGCCGCTCCTCAAGCCACGCTCCTGGCCGCCGCCACTTTGGATGGGCTCCAGACGAACCCTGGGCCTGCGACGCACATAGAGCGCACCCACACCCTTGGGACCGTAAATCTTGTGACCGGAGATGGACATCAGGTCGATGTTCATAGCATTCACGTCCAGCGGGATCTTGCCCACCGCCTGGGCGGCATCCGTGTGGAAGAATACGCGACGGGAGCGACACAGTTTGCCGATCTCATCGATGGGCTGCTTGACGCCGATCTCGTTGTTCACCGTCATGATGGATACCAGCGATGTCTCCGACGTAATGGCCTCCTCCAGCTGCTGGAGGTCGATGAGTCCGTTGACCAGCACAGGCAGGTAGGTGACTTTGAAGCCCTCGTTCTCCAATGCTCGGCACGAGTCCAGGACGCACTTGTGCTCCGTCTGGGTGGTAATCACATGCCGCTTCTTGGTGCCGTAGAAGCGGGCAACCCCCTTAACGGAAATGTTGTTGGACTCCGTGGCGCCGGATGTGAAGATGATCTCCTTGGGATCGGCCCCAATCAATGTGGCCACCTGCTCACGCGCCTTCTCCACTGCCTGCTCCGTTTCCCAGCCGTAGGCGTGGGTGCGCGAGTGCGGATTCCCGTAGTAGTTGGTCAGGTAGGGCAGCATGGCGTCCAGCACACGTGGATCCATCGGCGTGGTGGCCTGGGCATCCAGATACAGGGGTCGTCCCTCGGTCTGTTCGTTCTTGATGTTGAAGCGCACCTGTCGCTCCCGAAATTCTGCGGATATTATGGATTTGTTAAGGACTAATCACACACTTTGGAGGACTCGCTTACCTTTAGATGTGGCCGCCGGCTTTGCGGCTGTCTTGGAGGAGCTAGCCTCATGTCTGACCACTGTGGCCACTGCATTTGTGGCGCGGGAGCGCAGGACCTGCGTCTGGAGTCTACCCAGCACTTTCTGCATTCTGATGGAATCCAAGTAGTTCTTGTGTTTTTCGTTATGTTATCAATGCGGATTTCACAATCAGTGGGACCGCGCTGCGATGGGCGTAATATACCAAAGGACTCGCGAAAATATACCAAAAGAATACTATAATCATTAGCTATGTTTATGCGGGAAATAACAATTTTAAATATATGATTCTAGTCCCAACAATCTCCATTAAAAAGATAACACTGTGTTTGGGCTAAACCCATTTATTTATTTTTAAAGTGTTTTTCTTACTACAATACAATCTTTGGCTCCACACAACAGATTTATTAAAAAACAAAAATTTTAAAATATTTAACTTTGCCCTTTATGACTATTATTATTATTCTTATTTTAAAAAAACATATTTTTAATATTTTTTTTTGGAAATATAAAAGATTTTATCTCGTTGGCTTATGTTTTTTCAGCTCTTTGTGACTTTATTGTGGCATATAGAAGTATACATATAAATTTATTTAGTGTATTTCAATACACGATTAATTCATGAAATCCACGGCATGAACACAGTATGCTTGCATTTGAATGTCAAAATACTTGAATCTGGTATTTTAGCGGCACAATACTGTTCGTATGTTGTTTTCGGAGTTCATATCACATAGCCTTCAGTTCAAATAAAAATTGTGTTTACCATTTTAAAGGAGATATATAAATCTAGTCAAATATGGTTGTGTGCCGGTTTTTCCAGCAAGGCGCCTGTCGCTATGGTACAAAATGCCACAACGAGCACTTTGATGTCAAGTAAGCGCATTGAGGTTGTACCATTGTACCAGATGAAGTCTCAAGTCTCTTTATTTTGTATGTTTTTAGGCAATGTCTCAAGACCGACATGGAGGCCAGCCTCCATGGGATGTGGCCTTTCTCTGCCTACGGGCCCTTTAAGGACAAGGCCAATTTCCCCAACTTCATCGAGGACCAATCCTTCGAGGAGGTTCGCTTTCTGTGCTACGAGGCCAAGCGGCAGAACAACTTCGAACAATTCCAACAGCAGTTTAATCGCGAGGTTTTGGAGGCCACCAACAAGATGAAGACCATGCTGCAGTGTTCGCCCCAGATATTGGACATGATGATCAAGATCCACGAGACGCCGGAGGGCGGAAGTGTGACGGCTGCCCCGCAGCAGCCCAATAATCCCTTTGCTGCAGCTGCTCCGGCGGCCAATGCATCGGCCTCCATCTTCGGCAAGCCCGCTTTGTCTGCGGGTAATCTTTTCGGCAATGCCACCAGCCAAGCGCAGAATACCAATAGCATTTTTGGTGGAACCATGGCAAATGCCAATCCGGGCAACAGCATTTTTGGCGGAGGAGCTGCGGCAGCCGGAGCAACAAGTGTCTTTGGACAACCGCAGCAACAGCAGCAACAGCCGGCAGCACAGGCCTTTCAAGGAGGCAACATTTTCGCCCAGGCTCAAGTCCAAGTGCAGGCCCAGCAGCCCGGGAATCCCAATCCTTTCGGTGGCTTCCAACAGCAGCAACAGCAGCCTCAGGCGGCGGGACTTTTTGGCCAGGCAGCTAATCCGAATGCGGGAGGACTCTTTGGCCAGGCGGCTCAACAGCAGCAGCAGCAGCAGCAACCTCAACCCGGGCTATTTGCTCAGGCAGCGGCAACCGGATTTCCTAACCAACAACAACAATTACAGCAGCAACAGATGCAACAGCAGCAGCAGCAGCAACAACAGCAGATGCAGCAACAGCAACAATTGCAAATGCAACAGCAGCAGATGATGCAGCAACAACAACATATGGTGCAGCAACAGCAGCAGCAACAAGCTCAGGTGGCAAACGAAGTTCAAACCACAGTTTATAGTCGCATGGAAGATCTCAGCGAACAGGAAATCGAAGCCTTCAAGTCAGATCAGTTCTTGCCAGGCGCGTTGCCTTTTAAACCACCGCCACGAGAACTTTGCTGAGCCAACCGAGTTGCTTGTTAATTTATATATTTCGTAGAACTAATGTTTAATACATCTAATAAACTAATGCATCATCATGTTCAGTCGCTCCATGTTGATAGCGTAAACAGAATGGGAGCCGATCAGGTTGCGGTCCCTGAAGGCCAGCTGGCAGTCCTTAAGGGTGATCACTGTGCGCTCGCTGGGCAGACTGCAACAAATAGGGAAAAAGTTATTTGTAAAAGTAAAAAGACAAGAGCTATGAAAAATAGTCTTTATGACAGCTAAAACATGATGGATTCATGCTATTTGTGAGTCTGAATAAAGCAATAAAGCTAAGTTATTGTGCGTAATGTATCATAATATCCTATGTATAAGTGTTTAGCTAACAACAAAAAGTTTCTAAGACGTTTTCAGATCAATAATATAAATAACAAGCAGTCCTTACACTTCTTCACAGGCGGAGAGGAAGGTAACATCGTCGTTCTGGCGCCGCATGAAGTTGGCCGTGTTCAGCTCCTTGTCCAGCTCCAGGGGCGTATCGTCCACCTTCTGGCGGGTGACCGTGTTGCGCAGCGAAGGATCCCGCAGCGGAGCACCCACATCGTAGTAGAAGTTTCCCTCGCCGCTGGTCTTGTAGTGCTTTCGCTTCTTGATGATGGCCGACAGGAGATCCTTGAGCAGGACCTGCACGGCCATGGCCACGTACTCGGCAACGTTGTCGTCCACGGAGACCAGTCCGATTTCCCAGGCGCCGATCAGGAAGCGGCCCATAATGAATCCAGCATCGGGCAGGAAGAGTTCCTGGGCGCAGTAGCGCTGCGAGGGGAGCTGCTGATCCACCGAGGATCCACCGATAGTGGGTGGTGGTCGGATAACCTGCATGTTGTCCTCGGCCACGAACTCGAGGACCTCGCAGAGCTCGAAGTTCAGGCGCTCGGCAAATGTGCGGGAGCTCCTCTTGCGCCGCTTGCTCCGATTGCCGCTGCTGCTGGTTTGGACAGCCGGCGGATTCTCCACGGGTGCGAAGGCGTCGATCTTGTTGAGCAGCGCCAGCAGGAATTGATTGTGCAGATGCAGTTTGTCCGGCGAGAGTATTTTCCGCGACTCCGCATCGAACTCCTCCTTGGACCAGCGGCTGCGGAACCAGTTCTTCATGTTGGCCCGATAGCGCTCCCAGTTGTCACCCAGAGCCACCACTAGCGCCTCCTTGGTCGCAAGTACTCGGTCGGTCAGCATTTTGTGCAAACACACTAGCAAATATTCGTGAAATCGGAAATTTGCAATGAAAACAAATTTTAGCAGCTGCTTAGTGTGACCATTTACCAATGTGCAAAAAATACCAATGACGGTTTAAAATACATAACCGAAATCAATTGGTTGTGTTAAAATGTTAATTTAAGCTGTGAAAATTTGTTTAATATTAAAGGATTTTAGCTTCACATAAATAAGTAAAAAAAAATTTCGGTATGGAGTAGAAAATATAAAGAATGCATACTATTACGTTATAATTAGTTTGTCAATTTTTAAAAATATTTGTTTTTATTGAACACAGCTATATATTTTTACAATATGTTTTTGAACATAAATATTTGATTAAGATTACATAAATATTCATAAATTATATAAATAAAGTTATTAGGTACTGTAAAACGAATTCTTATACAGAGTTTCAGAAGAAAATTAGAGTCAAAAAAAGGTTACAAACATGGATTTATAATGCGCCTGCACCATTAAAAAATATAAAAATATATACTTAAAAACAAACTTAAAAAAAATTATAATAAATAGCTTAGCCAAAAATTAATGATAGGTAGTATAGCAAAAGATTTCAAATAGAAATTGTATATTCTATTATGAAATCTGGAACAGTTAATAAACATTGCAAATAAAAATGCTATTAATACATGCTACACGACAACAGGAAATTGATACAACTAGGTATTTCCAAAAGGGAGCATTACTCTGAAGGAGATCTATTCATTCAAACTATTTGAATACCCTAAGCTTACAACAGTCAATTGTTTTTTTCTAATTTACGCGATCCCATCGCCACACAGTGCTGTCATCGCACACGCAGACCAAAATAGAGCCGTCTTTGGAGAAGGAAGTCTGCCGAATGGTGGAGGTGCTCTTGGGGTGGACCAGCTGACTGCACTTGGTCAGATTGGGATCGTTACAATCCAGTTCCCATACGAAGGTGGTGCCCTGTTGGTTGCCCAAGGCCAGGATCTTTTGCCAGGCGTTGAAGGCGAAGCGCACAAACCATATCTCGCACATCTTGTAGTCGAAATGGTGCAGCACCGTGGTGGCCGACTCCTGGGGCTTGATCTCGTGCCAAGGGGCTGACAGTTTGCCCGGCTTCCAGCACACAATGGAGTTCTCGCAGGATTTGGAGAAGACAAAGTCGCCGAACCACTGGACGCAATCCACATAGTTGCGATGAATGTCCCTCGTGGAGAAGTCCGGAAAGTGCTCCTTGATGGTCGGAAACGGAGCCGTGTTCTTGTTGGGACTAAAGCCAGAGCTCAGCTCAATGGCCTCCTTAATATCCGGCTTGTCCAGGCGCCACAGCTTCAGGGAGTGATCCATTCCGCTGGACATGATGCGATCACCGCGCAAATCAAAGTCAACGGACAGCACTTCATCCCGGTGACCTTCCACTCCACCGAACACAGCCACACAAACGTCCGACTGGATGTTCCAGAGCCGCAACGAGTGATCCTTACTGCCGGAAAGGAGTAACTGCGGCCTAACCGGATGGAACTTGAGCTCATTGATGGCGTGCCCGTGGCCAATGTAGTTCTTGCTGCATTGATGCTTCACGGGATTGAAAATGCGGATAACACCGCGGTAACCAGCCGCAGCCAGGACAGGATCGCCGGTCACTGAGTCGTAGGACCAAGCGCACGTGTAGAAGCTTTCATCGGTCTTGAAAAGAATAAATAAAAATGTTTGTTATGAATAAAATTCTAAGTATATACGTATCTCAGGTTTACTTCCAGATTTCTTGTATGTTTTTTACTATATATGCGAGGAATATTAGAAAGCTTTACGTTCTAAAAAACAATATTTTCTAACCGTTTAGTTTTTGCGGCTTGGCTGACAATTTTTAATAGAAAAGCCAAAAATCTAGATATAGTTTTACACGTTTGAGTACCTACATCTGGATCTGCATAGACCTGGAGCAGTCGGATGCCTTCGCTGGACTCCTCGCTGGACACGTTGCTCCTTTCGCATTCGTAGATGGAGACCCGATCCTTGCCAACGGTGGCGAAAACCTGCGGTTGGGATCTGTCCAGGAACGGATTGAACTGCACGCCGAAGATCTGGTGGTTGTGATCCTCACGGACATGTGAACTGCAATGCATGCAAGGATAAATATACAGAAATCAAGTCACACTTAGGCAATTCCACCTGTATTTGTAGAGCGGTGGAACCATTTTTGGAGCCTTAACCCGTCGGCACAGGCGATTGAGTTTTCGTGTGTTAGGCGACTTGCTCCTGGTAGTGGTTGTCGTGGTGCTAAACAGGCTGGCAGAGTCATCGCGATCCACGGAATCAGCTTCGTGCTCATCCTCCGGTTCCAAGACATTGCCGGCATTGGAGGAACTGTTACTCAGGAGTGCCATTGCCTCTGGTGGGGATTGGGCTTGTGAATCCTCCTCCGCGGATGGTTCTTCCCGGGGCGAGGCCAGTTCACAAGGATTTGTTTCATTCATCGCCAGTTAATTGCTGAAAACTTCAAAGCTTCCTTTTGTTTACAAATGGTTTGCTCGCCAGTGTGGCCGTACTAAAGGTCAGCCATGTAACACCAGCGTTGCCACTCTGATTACAGTAACTAGACAAACGACCCTGTTTCCTTAACAATTCTTATGTATTTTAATCTAATTTACATAGTTATATTTTGCTTTATCTACTTTTTGGCGGCGAGCAGCTCGTCCAGGTGCGCCTCAACCTCTTTGTGCGCCTTCACACTGTATTCGGTGCGGGAAGCGGCCTCGTGGACAAAGAAACCGCGCAGAATTTCGGCTTTTGTTTGAACGAGTTGCGCCTGCGCCTCTTGCAATTTCAGTTCGTTGGCCAACTGGGGGCCCAATTTCAGTTCGGCGGTGTCCTTAAGGAGCGAGCACTTGCGTCCAAGAAGCTCAACCAGTTGCTTCAGCCCGCTGCGATGCTCCTCCTCCAGCCGCAGGATCTCTTTCTGGTCGCTACTCAGGTCCGCCTCTTGGTCAAAGGCATCCGGAAACTCCTCGCGCATTTTGTCGCCCAGTTCTGCAATGGGCTGTAGAGTGGCCCGAAGCTGGGCAGATAACTTTGTGCGCACCGTCTTGCGATCCGTATAGCTCAAGGGCGGAAAACTGCTGGCGTGCGGCAGACCTGTGGGACAGAGAACAAATGTTAGAGATGCCTCTAAAGACGTTTTCAAAGCAATTTTACCCAGCACTTGCTCCTGACCACTGCCCTCGAGCTCGCCCAGTCGGGCATAGTTTCCAATGGAAACCAATTTGAGAGTTCTTTTGATTTCCGCACTTGGATTTGGACCCAAATCCAGACGACGCAGCTCGTCCAGCACTAATTTCAGCTTGAGCACTTTCTTCAGTTCGGCATTTCGCGCATCCCGCAGATCTTCGGATTCACCGGGCAAGAGCGTGGCGGATGGATCATCCATTTAATAATTGCGAATGCTTATATTGTCCAGAAATTGATTGTTTAATTCGAATGGGCAAACGCATGGCCGCGATACGGCAACGCCACTCAAAGTGTGGCCAAAAACCAGTTTGGAGATAATACCAAAGTCTTAAAAAAAACAAACTGAATTTGATGGTCACTCCATTAGAGCATTATTTAAAGCGCAGAACTTTCAAAAGAAATGTTAGATTTCGATTTAAATATGGAGCAGATCCAAAAGCATCCCATTGTGGCCACCATTAGCATTGCCGCCGGCGCCATTCTGGCATCCGAGGTGATCTGGAAGGTGTTCACGTTCCTTCAGGGCCAACTTTCCGGCAAGAAGCCACTCCGCGTGCACGAAGTGCTTACCTTCAATGAACTGGGCGACATTTGTGCAGCGCAGCACCTGCGGTCATCGGATTTGTCGAAATCTCCGGATGCGGTGGTGTTACAGTGCCGGAACCAGCACTGCACCCTGAGAAATGTGGGCAAGATCGTGGAGCAGATCGACCAGGCGCAGTACTCCATCGACATAGCCATCTACACGTTTACTTCTCTGGTGCTGGCGGATGCATTTAAGCGAGCCCTGCTGCGCGGCGTGAACATCCGCATCATCAGCGACCGGGAGATGGTGTTTTCCGCCGGATCGCAGATCAATGTCCTGGCCTGCCTTGGCGTTCCGGTGCGCACGCCCATTACCACGTACATGATGCACAACAAGTACTGCGTTATAGATGGAGTAGAGCGAGTAGAGGAGATCCGGCTGCTAAAGAAGCGCAAGTGGATGCGTCCGAGCTGCAGCGTCGTGGTCAGCGGCTCCGTCAACTGGACGCGGCAGGGATTCGGAGGCAACTGGGAGAACTGCATCCTCAGTGCGGACGAGAAGCTGGCACGTATGTTCCAGGCGGATTTCGCCCGCATGTGGAAAGCCTTCGAGAATTCCGAAGATAAACTTAAGCCCAAAATCTAAACCAGAACTCATTACCAAATGCGTAAAACTTCAGCCCAAACATATTACCAAAAGTTCCTTTACGAACATGACCACAAACAATCTCACACTTGTAACTATACTACATTTTTCAGTTCCTATCCTAAACTAGAAATGTTAAACATTTGTACAACAATTAGTTTACAATTTACATTAAGAAATGCAATGATTTCTACCACAAGTAGCAAAATGAAATAAGCAATAATTTTATTCTCCGTTAACTAGATTTAAATCTTTTCATTCTAATCGGCTTTAAGTTAAGCGAATTGCTTTTTAAGCCATTGGCCTAATTTTTTTGTTATGATAATTTAAGTCAATAGCAGACAGTGTTAACTATTATTGTTCAGACTATGAATTTCATTATATTTCTATTGTTTTCTTAAATGAAATTTAGTTATTAACTACTTGTCTTGTTGTTTCAATTTTTCCGCACGGCGCAAAAATGTCTCCTTTAAACCATTGAGTCTTTCGATTTCTGCACGAATCTCCAGGTATTCCAGGTAGGAAACTCCAGATTTTAATAATATCTCCTGTTTTAAAGTGAGCACGCGGGCAACTTCCTTTTGCTTGCGGTGCAGGGCCGTCAATTTGATCGAAACGGCCGATTCCTTAACACTTCTAGGCGACTTCGATTTCTTGGCGTTCTTCGATTTCTTGGATTTCTGTGGTTCACAATGGTTAAGTTTAATTCTAAATAGGGCTTATCCTACTTACTTTAGTTAATTCCATTGTTTATTTCAATTTCCGCGTGTTGTTTTGTTATTATATGCCAGTGTTGCCAGATGAAAAATCAGCTTTTACCCTGAATAATCTCGCAGAACCCCGAAATCCCTCTAAAAAATTCGATTTCCCCCTTAATTACTTAATTTTATCACAATCTATAATTTTTTGAAATGATTGCTATAAAAAATTAAAAAGATTTATGTAATTTAATTTAGTTGACTTTTTTTAATACGCCTCTTGGAACGCAGTATTTTTTTTATATATATAACTTAGTATTTTTAATTCAGTATTTATACAATTTTCATTTGTGGTCACACCGGCGTCGTTTATTGCTTTTTTTCTGTGAAATTTTCTCTTCTTATTGAAAAAAATGGGTTCCTCGTCGTCCGGAAAGAAGCACAAGAAGGACAAGAAGAACCGGCATAGGTCGCGAACGCCGGAGCGCCAGCGCCGAGCCACGGAGGACGAGGATTTGACCCTGGATCTGACCGACGACTCGTCGTCGCGTCACAGACACCACAAGCACAAGAAGCACAAGGAACACAAGGAGCACCGTCACAAGCACCACAAACACAAGGAGCGCGAGCGGCCCAGCGAGGTCATCTCGCTGGAGGAATCGGACTCGGACAGTAAGTGTTTGACCGCTTTTACCCACAGGTGCAGGCCAGGCTCATCGCAGGGCGATTGTCGTGGGCGGCGGATCCGGCGGAAAAGCGATAATCTGATTGACGGACTGCCAATGCCCGGCAATCGCCTTGGACCTGCACTTATCCCATACCGGACGTACTAAACCCATCGTGGCGTTTCTCCTCGCTTCTCTTTTTCTTACAGGTGGTCCGCTGCTGGAGCAGATTGTGAGTGGGCGAGCAGAAGTGGTTGAAGCGATTGTCCTGCTGGTGATTCAAACACTTCTAACCGGTGTTCCCTATTTGCAGGTTCCGACTGCGTGGAGGTTCCGGTGCAGGAGCAGACCAAGGTCAGGGATGCCAGGGAAGTCCCAGATCGCGAGCGAGAGCGGGAGCGAGAACGGGATTCTGGACGGGAACGTGATCTTCTAAGGGAAAGGGAGCGTGAACGCGAAAGAGAACGTGAAAAGGAGCGCGAAAGGGAGCGGGAGAAGGAGCGCCTCAGGGAGCGGGAGGAACGTGAAAGGGAGCGTGAGAAGGAGCGTGAGAAGGAGCGCGATAAGGAGCGCCTCAAGGAGCGCGAAAGAGAACGCCTCAAGGAGCGTGAGAGGGAACGGGAACGTGAGCGAGAACGAGAACGGGAGCTCACTGCTCCCCCACCTCCGCAAATCTCCAGGCATGCCGAGTATGAATCCCGGCGAGAACGGGAAATCGAGCGCGAGCGGGAGGCCCGCAAGCGATCGGGTAGAGAACGCGAGCGGGAACGCAACCGTGAACGCTCCCGATCTCAGTCGCCTCCGCCGGCCAACCGCAAACCCGTCGCCAAGGAACGCGAACCCTCCTCCCGTTCCTACTCGCCCATTCCGGAAAACGGAGCCGGCGATGTGCTGTCCATTACGGAGACCAATAAATTGCGTGCCAAGCTGGGCCTCAAGCCACTCGAGGTGGAAAGTGGTCCCAGCAAGGTGACGCCGACCGCAGCAGGCAATGGTAGCCAGTCCGAGAATAAGAAATCCTCCGGAGGCGATGCCGATCTCTCATCGTACAAAGACGAGTGGGGCGAATTCCTGCACAAGCCGGCCGACAACCTGAAGGAGAAAAAGCAGGCCGAGAAGCTGCGCGAGAAGCTCAAGCAGCGCAAGGAGAAGCGGTTTTTGGAGGAGCGTCTTGCTCGCATCAAAACGCTGGGCGAGTCTGACGAGGAAACGGACAATGTCTCCAAATGGGTGGACAAGAACAAGCGAGTGGTTAACGAACGCGAAGAGGCCAAGCGCAAGGTAAGCGTGACATCAACATCTACTAAATATCAAATTGAAATTAACATGCATTCAATACAGGCCAAAGAGCTGGAAGAGCTGGATGAGGCGTTTGGCGTTTCAGAGCTGCTCGAGAAAGAGAAAACCAAAGCTCGTCAACGGGCCTATGGCGATAGCAACCTAAAGGGACTGCGAGTCGATCACGACATGGATGATTTCGGCGAAGGTCGCACAGTCATCCTAACACTCAAGGATCAGGATGTGCTCAACGAGGAGGAGGGCGACACTCTAGTCAATGTCAATATGCTCGACGAAGAGCGCTACAAGAAGAATGTGAGCAACAAAAAGCAGAATCCGCTCAGTTATGGCTACAATGTGTACGAGGAGCAGTACGATGAGTTGGGCAATCCCATCGAGCGTTCGGTGCTGGAGAAGTACGACGACGAGATCGAGGGTCAGCCCAAAAAGCGCAAGAACTTTGTGATCGGCGAGAATATGGATGAAGAGCGGGAGCACAGGCGTAAGCTCTTGGAGATTAAAACCAAATTAGCCGGCAAGCGGCTGGAAACCTTGGAGGACACCCATTTGCAGCTGGCGTCGGACACGTACAGTACAGAGGAGTTGGCCAAGTACGTTTAAATGCTCTTGAATAATACCCATTTTGTTAATATAAATAATGTATATGTTACAGGTTCAAGAAGCCAAAGAAAAAGGTTAAGAAACTTCGACAGAAACTAAAAGCCGACGATCTTGAGCCTTTGATGGAACCGGGGACATCAGCTTCGTCAAACTTTGGTAGTCGTGGTGGACGTTATCGTGATCACGAAGATGAGGACATGGAGCTGGAGGCGGTTAAAACTGAGGTCAAGGTGGAAGCAGAGGATGATGATTTAGAAAGGGTTTTAGCAAAGGCTCGCAAACTGAAACAAAAGGAGAATATCATAAAGAAGCCATTGCCCGTTGATTTCGAAAATATTCAGCGGGAGATAAAACCCGAACCCGTAGAGGAAACCAGTTCAGGATTGCTTCCTACCGGCGTGGATGCCAACATCGTGTTGAACGCCACAGCGGAGTTTTGCCGTACCTTGGGTGACATTCCCACGTACGGTATGGCGGGCAATCGAAACGAGGACTCCAACGACATGATGGACTTTGACAAGGCCGATCAGCCGGAGGAGCACATGGACACACAAGACGATGAGCCTGCCCTGAGTCATGGCACCTGGAACTCAGTCAATCCGGATGAAGTCATGCAGCCAGCCGATTTGGACAATCTGGGAGATGACCTGGAGGATAGGGCCATTTTGGATGAGGAGCCGGATGTGGGCGCTGGTGTAGCGAATGCTTTGCGCCTGGCTCTGTCTAAGGGATACCTCGAAAAGGAGGAAAAGAACAGGCCTAGCAACACCAAAATGGCCCATCTGCAGGCCAAGAACTATTCCATTGAAGACAAAGCTGCCGGGTAAGTTAAACTAGTTATCCTAAGATATACCTTTCAATAGAATGCACTATCTTTGCAGTGAGGACGACAAGGTGGGACGTCGTGATCGGTTCCACTTTGGCCCAATTACGGACTTCAAGGACAAGGAGACCTTCAAGCCCAATGTCAAGTTGGATTATATCGACGACAATGGTCGCATATTGAACCTCAAAGAGGCTTTCCGCTACTTGTCACATAAGTTCCACGGCAAGGGGCCGGGCAAGAATAAGATTGAAAAGCGTCTGAAGAAAATGGAACAGGATGGGGTGAGTTTATCATCAAGGGAATAAATAAAGGGCATTCATTTATAAACTATTTTCCTGCAGTTAATGAAGACCATGAGCTCGACCGACACACCATTGGGTACTCTTACCATGTTGCAGCAAAAGCAAAAGGAAACGAAGACCGCTTACGTCGTGCTCAGTGGCAGCAACAAAAACGCGCCAGGTGTCAGCGGCTCCTCGATAGCCAAATTCAAATAAAGAATATGGAAGCAGGAAATCGATTTCGATTTCGATTCCGATTTCGATTTAATTACCAAGACAACATAACCAAATGCAATAGATACTTTCTAATCCGCGTACTCAATAATTAAGTTCAGAACTCCTATGTGTCCATCCGGCCCAAATATGTAATTCTCTTCATAATTATTCAAATACACTTTGGACTTAACTCAAGAAGCTGATTTCGATGGGCGGATCATCGTTCTTATGGGTCACTGAAAAGGAGAAAAGCAGGTAACTTGAGAACGAATGTGTATGTAACTCCAAACTTACAGTTAAAGGATCTGCCAAGCGAAGTTCTCCGCTGACCCTGAACCTTCTGGAAACCAGGACCAAAACTGTCCCAACAGACAATTTTGCTGGAATGGTTCCTGAAAGTCAGGCTGCACTTAGCCCTTCCATATTGAATCGAGTTGATATAGACCTCGTCCACGTTTGGCGGCGTCCTAGTTGGACCTATAATCATCGAGAACTGGTCGCCAAGCCGGCCAAAGTCCAGGCCTCCGTAGCCAAAGATCAAGGCCTGCAGGAAGCCACCGATGCCGGTGAGGAAGTTCGCCGATCCTTCGTAGCCCAGCGGCGTCTCACTCCACACCTTGAACTCGGGTCGAACGTAGCCCTTATAGCTACGCTCGAAATACTCGTTGGCCAGTTTATCCTGCCAGGAGGTAAGATAATTGGCGGCGAACATGGACCAGGTCATCGCAGGACCCGATTCTCGGGTTACATTGGCATAGTAGCGTAGGTCATTCAAGTGTGTGGGGCTTTTAAAAGGTTTGTAATTACCAAGTGTCTTATCAACCATAAATTATTCTCTTTACCTGTCATCAAATCTTAAGGGATATCCCAGTAGTATAGTATCCGCCTGCTTGACAATGGTGTTTGGCTTATAGCCCTGGTGCTGGGGATGGTAGTCAAGGACCTCATCCCGCAGAATCACCAATCGATCGCTAACATCACGCCAACTTTCAAAGAGTGCAGTGCTTGTGTTACCACACATTTGACCAAGCCATTCGGCAAATTCCAAGGCGATTTTGGCCACCGCATTCGTGTACACATTATCATTCACGTCCGGGTGATCCTCATCGGGTCCCATTACCCTGAGGAAGTGGCACACGTTTTGGGAATCCTCACAAGATGCTCGACTCACCAGGAACTCGGCCACCTCAGAGGCAATGGGCCAAGCTGTCTCACAGGCCCACTCCTTATCCGCCGATTGGGCGAAAAACTTTTGCAGCGCAAAGGATATGTCGGCCGATATGTGGATCTCCTGTTGCGCCACTTCGGGGCAGCAGGGATTGGTGACCTCAGTTCCAGTGTAGGCACTCTCCCAGGGAAATCTAAAGACAGGTGGGAGAAATAAAACTAACATTATACACTAATAAAGTTACGATTCCCTTGCAGTCAAGGATGGATCCAAAATGATATAAAACCATCTTTAAAAATTAACAAATTTAGTTAATTTAACACGATCGTTTCTGTGACGGATATAGGATATACTAAACCGATCGGCAAGATTTTATTCTATGATCAGTGTAAACATTAGCAACGATTTGGAAAGTTTCAAGACTACCTTCACACTTCTTGAAAAATCTGGGTAGAACAATAGTCAACCGATTTTGATTGAAACACAAGAGCTATGTTCTAAATACTAACATTTAGTCTAAGAATCAGCGTTTTTACTCAAATTAAAACAAGAAAAATTACCAAAAGTGTAAAATTTAGACCTGATCGATCCTATAGCAGCTATAGGATATTGATGTCCACAAATAAACATACGATTGCTAAAGTTTCAAGTCTCAAGTTTTTAAGCTTAGCTCGCAAACAGTATAGTAGTATATAGACAGGCATGACTATATCAAATCAACTATATACAATTTATGTACTTTATAAGGTGCAAAGTGTGTTCTTTACTGTGTTACAAAGCATCTAACCAAATTTATAATATGGTTATATAGACTCTATCCACGATCTTACCTGGCGCCCTTATAGCCAGTGGCGTTCGCATGGTATTTTGCTGCCTCCAATTTGCTCTTTCGGTAGTCCAGCACCTGTTTTGCATACTCGAGGCCGAATTGAGAGACCACCGGTAGCATCCAGATCTCGGTGTCCCAAAAGTTGTGCCCCTGGTAGTCCGCTTCCAGATTGCCACGTCCCAAACCAGTGGGACTTAGTCCATAGAAGGGTTCGTTTTTCTGGTTGGTTTCGATTGACGGAAGGGAACTAACCAAATAGAAGATACCAGCGTTAACAATGTGCGAGAGCTCCAAAGCATCACCCCTTAGTTCGATGGAGAACTCATTGTCCCAAAAGCTTTTCCACGATGCCGTGTGCTTCTGGAGAAGATTTCCAGAGCTCAACTCGTGCACAGCCTGCAGTTCCTTTCGGGCAACACCTTCGTCTCTGTCGATGGTGATGATAATGCTGTAATTCAACTGATCTTGCCAGGTGGGCCACTGCAGTTGTAAGGGCTGCTCCAAGGATTCACTGAAGAGGACAAAGATCTCCTGGGGATCCGGTTGGAATTTTGCAAACTCAAGCACCTTTGTGCGACCTCGAAGTGTGCGATAATCTCCGCTGGAGGAACTGCCATTGTTCACTACGACAAAGTCGAAGGCATCACTCGATTTACCAGAATACTGGGTGAGTTTCAGGAACTTTGGAGCTAAAAATAAAGAGCAAATTTTATGAATAAGTTAAGTTAATTAAAATCGAAACTATTTGGGAGCCACAAAACTTTAAATCTTTTTTTTTGTGTTTTTTCAAATGAATTTTTTTAACCAGTTGAACCTTTAACTCAAAATCTTGAAATTTCATTTCATTACAATTTTTTTACAAAATTTAATGCAAAAATTAATGTTAAAAATTTTTAATTTTTTTAAAAATAAAAAAAACCAGATGCATTAACCAAAAGCATTTTTTTTGAAACTTCATTAACCAAAGTATTTATATATTAAGAACTTTTTAATTAAAATAATGTTGTTACATCACAAAATGTTCATAAATGATTTAAAAAGTGCACTAAAATGAGTGCTGGTGTTGACTTAATATCAGCAAATTTAAAATACTACTCAATATGATTTTTAAATTTATGTAATATTAAATTTTGGGTTCACCCACAATTACCTCTTGAATTTCTGCTGTCAATCCTGTTAGCTACAACTTCATAGACCAAAGCGCGATTGTAGAACTTGTGCGGATATGTTCTCTGTTCCAATGAAAATCCCAGTTTTCTGTAGGTTGTGCGTTCGCGAAAGTAGCCATCTCGCAAATCCATCTCATAGCTCGTTCCATTGACATCCACATCGTCTGCAGAAGCGCATCCGAAGCGATCACAGGCTTCCGTGCTTATGTTTATCCAGTTGGGGATGCGAGCACGTTTGCTATTACCTCCGGCTCCGTTGTACACTCCGTTCATGAAGATGGAGTCCCCGAAAACCGTATAGCCCAGGTGGCCATTGCCCAGGGTTGGCATAAAATTTAAATCCGGCGGAAGACTGTAAAAAAGATTTATTTATAACTTTAAATGAGAGTAGTGAGTGTTAGTGCAATTGGGCAGGGAAAAGCTAGCAAAAGCGTTTAAATATATATCTAAAAATGTGAGCAATATTATTCGGTATTGTATTCATAATCCTTAAAACCTTATAAAATGAATGTCCTGAAAAGTATGCTTATTTTTTTTTATTGAAACTTATATATATTTAAATGATAAATACAGTTTCTGAATTTTAGGAGCATTGTATACACAATTTTTAATGTTTTTACAATTATAAGTTGATAATCTACCTTTCTGATTTTAAAAGATATGTTTCCTTAAAACCAAATGAAATGGGTATACTAAAATTATATACTATTAATAGTATTAATAGTAATATTAATTAAAATAATACCATTATTTTAAATGGAAAGCTACATATATTTAAATGATTAATACAGTTTCTGAATTTTAGGAGCTTTGTATACACAATTTTTAATGTATTTACAATTATTAGTGGATAATCTACCTGTGTGATTTTAAAAGATATGTTTCTGGTGTCTCGGCGTAGCAGCTTTTAAGAAGCGCTATTATTACAATAAACAAAATACGTTTCAGCATATTTTCGCGATCTACTCAGTGGCAAGGTCCGAAGTATACTGATTTTGTTTCTCCCTTCAGACAATTGCAAGTCTCTTGAATTTGATAAGAGCGCTGATAATAAGATTTAATCTCTGCGGGGAGTACCGGGGTGATTCACCAGAGGCGTACAATCTATGGGGTTCTAGTTTTCTCTGGTCACTTTTCTTAGTATTGAGTACCCCCGGTGATTTCCCCAGCTCTTAAGTGTTTTCTTATCTGTTCACATTTTGCAATAGAACGTAACTTTAATAGCGTTTAATTAATTGTTACAAAAAGAGATTGCACTCGCTAATCGATCAGTTTTCTTGCGCCGGAAACGCTTTCACCTTAATATTTTGTTTGTGTCTTATCTTGCACTATTGCAATATGGCCTTTCTAACTTTTATTTTACATTTATTTTGTATAACTTATATCTTTTAGTAATCCAGCCTTTATAGGCTTGCATTTAATACTATTTTATATCCATAAAATTCGATTAGTATGTATGTATTTTCTTTCTGTTGATCACCTCATTTTGTAAGGCAGCATTATAATCTCAGTCCATGACTAAGGATGTGAGAGGAAAGTGCCCATAAAATGTGTTAAAAACTTGGACCAGAAGAAAACGAAGTCTTTGGGCATTGAGCTGAGGTTTTTCTACCACAATGCCGATAATATTGTCCCATGTCCAAAGGCAATTGGCATTCTTCCCAAGCACTTGAAAACAATAAAAAACTAAAAGACGGCGAGAGAAGTACACACAAGTGGCTGAGTTTTTATTGCATCGCAGTTAGAGACCCGAATGGGCAGACAAGAAATCGACTTGGATGGACCGAGATTATCAAGACGGAGATTAGACGTGACCCAAAGAGAAGATGCGAGTGCTGAATGGAGGCACAATCATGGGAAACCCTCTTCTAATGTACAAGAAAAACTCATGAAGTAAAATAAGAATAAAAGTCATTAAAGATTGACTACTGTCAGGAGGCTTAGACCTGATCTCTGCGGCTGGGTGGCCCTAGACTACATTCTTTTCGCTATTTTTTCAGTCTGTACTTTTTTTTTTTTGTTTTTTAATGATATTTTCATAATTCCTAGTTACAAGGTAATTATGGTCTTTGTTGTCGACTCTAATTACCTGGGAGTCAACGGCTGCCCTTTCCCACATCGGATGTTGGCGGTACTTCAATACTGAGCTTTACATCTGGCTGGGTAGAATCGGATCGTATCCGAAATACTCAACGCCATCTTAGTATCTGACAACCAAGCGTAACCAGGCAAAGAACCGACTAGCTATAACCGATATGCGTTCGTGACTGGAACCCCAGTTGACGGCTCTGTTACCCCCATGTATATATCTGTATCGGTACACTAAAAGTAATTGCATTTTGTGTGGCCCTAAAGCTTGTTTTTATTATAGTTTATAGATATATTATTAAAGAACATTTTTTATGATATTTTAAATCTTTACCAAAACCCAAAAAGTTTATGCGTATAACCTATACCTTACCTAGCTAACAAAATATGAGACTACCCGTGTTCTGTTAGGTATTGTGGTACTGAAATATTTGTATTTATTTTTGTTTTGACATTAGATTGATACAACTGAATTCAATGCAGTAATATTTTCTCAAATATGCCTATACAAAATATCATAATTTCACTGTCACTTGAAAATAAGTTTATTCTTTTAACATGCCGAGCGTATACAAAATATCACAACTCAACTGCAACTTCAAAAATAACCTAATGACCTCAAAATAATAATTATAAAAAAATGTTATTAAAAATGTGTTTGTTTTTAACCGTATACCTTAGCAAGTATCTTAAAAAATTAAGTATCCTTTACCTTACCTAAGTATTTATTTTTGCAAATACCTTGTGTCTTAACCAAATCCAAAAACTTACACCTTTCTTAACACTGATTGTAATCCATACAAAATTAAACGTTTAATAAAATGTAATTTTTAAACCATTAATTTGAACTACAGTATTGAAATTTATTTCTAATCTTGTATAATGCTTTTCATTATACATAAAAACCCAGTTATACATATACCTGCCTCTCACTCCATTTTCCAAAATTAACATTTATAATCTTAGTTGTTTGTTAACTCTTAAGAAACAGTTTGCTGGCATTCTAATTTTAGAATAGTTTTTAAGAGTGTATCTTTATCTGAATCTTACCGGGCTATAGTTCTCTCTCCGGGGCTCCGAAGTTCGGTTCAGCTGAGCTCGGCACTAATTTTAATGGCGTTACGCCGCGATAGGTTTTCTGCTCAAGATCCATAAAGAAATGCTCAGGTGTTCGTTCCCCAGTTGGTCGCCTCGGCCTGGTAGAGTCTTCTACGGCTGTGGTTTGGGTTGGCACGAGATCTCCATCGAGAGGTATGTGGGGCTCCTCCGTGATTTACCCTTTTCCAGTTCATCCACATCCCCGCCACATAGAGTGCATATGTGCTATATGGTACTTTTCAAGAAGTCAAAGTCGGGGGCTCTATCGCGATGTGGTCGCTTGCCGAAGCGTAACTGAAATATTAAAACAAATTTTTCCGTTTTTTTTTGTATTGTTGTTGTTCTGGCTTTTGTTATTGTCGGCCATTTTGCTGGCGGTTTTGGTTTTGGTTTGGCGTCAGATTTGTTTTTTCTTTCTTGTTTTATTTGACGTGTTTTTTCGTTGTTTTTTTCGCCAACCTGTTGGCCGAAAAGTCGCGTCGAGAAATTTACGCAACGAAGCGTTACCAATGAGTTTCCGCTTTTGGAGGCATTGGGCTTAGTTGTTGCCATTCGATGCTTGTAAAGCCATGCGTTGCCCAGAATTTACAAAAACAAAATATAAATGAAGTTAAACAGAGCCGATTTGGTTTTTAAAGAGGGAAACTTTACGTTTTGAATGGCTCAAATTGATGATGAAAGAAATGTACTTTGTTATTTATGAACCTAAAGTTATACTCGGGGGTGTCACAGAATTTAGTTGAACCAAATTCGTAATATTAAAAAATAGTTTAAATTCTGTTTCAAGTATTTTATTTTATATGCCAAACTCAGAAAGAAACACAATTTTGAAAGTGAAAAAATTGATATTTTAAAGTTGTTTTATGCTCATAAGCAAACAAATCTGGATCATGATGTTCTTCAAAATATATTTTGCGATTCACAAGTCAGTGAAAATATATTTTATAATTTATAATTGATAATTTATTAAAATTATATTCTTTTATGAAAATATAAGACCGTTTAGTGTCGAATAAAAGCTAGAAGGATAAACAATTTTATAATAACTAAGAATATAGATTTAAGAAACATTTAAAGTCTATAAAATATTCAAGTCTATTAAGTCTTTTATATGTTCGGCATAATATCGCGGCCAACTATCCAGTTCATTCTTCACTCTACTTTCTAATCGAAACGAAATTACGAAATAATCTTGAACTTTTAAAATGTTTCTTCCCCCGGCCCTCGCTACCTGCTGTGGCTAAAACCATTGCTCGCGTTTTAAAGTTTTTTGGGCCGAGTGTTTTTCTGCCTAATTTGTGAACCGAAAATGAAACGCGTGTGAAAATCATGTTTATTGTGCGGCCACCCAGCCATTGTTACATGCCATAGAGTGTACAATGTGCCAAGAGGAGGGACACATTAATACAGGCAGCCAGCAATCATTTGCTTTCCCCTGGCATAATTTGGCTTTATTTTTATTTTTTTTTTGGGTTTTGGGTTTTGGGCCAAAGTTTTGGGTGTTTTCCAACTGTGAGCCGGGAGCTGCCTAATTGTTGTAATTTGCCTAGATATTATATTTATTGTTTGCCAGATAATTATGAAGATTATCTATGAAACGGAGTGTTTAAAACGTTTTCCACTGGCCTGGGAACCAATGGCCGAAAAGTGCCGAGAGCCGAGAACCGAGGACTGAGAGCCAACCCCACCGAGCATTTGCAACTCAATTATGGGCTAGCAGCGGCTACTGGCTCATCTTCCTCCCCAGCTGCTGCTTCATTATGCACCTGACCACTCGTGCAATTTCTAGCTGATAATTTGCATTATTTTGTGCGCCCAGGTGGCTGCTGTCGGAGCACCAACATCCATTCCACGGCTATGAATTATGGCAGTGGCGATGGCGATGGCGATGGCTGCCGCTTCTGCCTTATTCATGGATGATCTCACGCGTTGAGCACTCGCTTTAATTACACTGAACAGAAGGGATATTTTATTTTATTATTTTACTGAAACTATTAACTACATGAAATATTTTTACATCTATAGGCTTATTATCAGCATTGTTTGTTTCATTCTGTCAGCTATTTTAAATTCAAGATCTCGGCATCTTAAGAAATATTTAGTTCTTCTGCAGGTTTAACATTGGCCAAACTCGATTGCGTTTTCAAAAGCGGAAACATTTTTGAAACCATATTTTTGATGGAAGCGAATATATTTTTGATATTAGGAATATATTTTTTTTCAAAGTAAGAAAGTATACTTTTTTCTAGTTGTGACTAGCGTTAAGTATAAGTGTATTCCTTTTGCCGTAGAATAATATTTAAAGTAAATAACTAACACTATAACATTTTTGTAAAAATATTTATAAATATATATAAATAAATAAATAATTCACATATAAAATTTTGTTGAAATAATATTAATTCTGTTAGCTCACTATTTTATTTTCAGAAGTACGAGCATCTTTCTGTTAGCTCAAACTTAAGATGAGAAACAAATTTTCTGAAATCCGACGTTCAGTCAGATTAATAACAGTCTTAACAAAGGAGGACTTTAATGAAAATCTGACTTTCTAAATAATAAAATACTTGGGTTGTAAAATTACTTGCCCATAATCAAAAGCTAAAATGGTTTTATCATAGTTTTTTGTTATGTATGAAAATTTGTTTTCTAATTTATTTCTTTAACTTGGAAAAGCTCAAATAAGCTCAAAGTTTATAATTACGTTGTATAATTTATTAAAAAGCATAATGTGTTAAACGTTGCCTTGTTGTTAAATGGATTTTCTTCAATATTTTGCAGCTTG